TTCTGGCAGCACTCTGGGGACGGTGTGTCAAGTCGAAGAGCGGAGTACTGCTCCCAGCTTTTCAAGGAAGGCATTTTAGTAGACGCTTCGACGCTTAATCAGTCAGCAAGAGTATGCAAGGGTCCCAGACGATATCAGAAGAAGACGTCAATTGACCTGGACACCTCGGGCGACTTCGCCAACGGCAATGGAGAGGTGCAGGATCCCACTCAGTTTGTGGAAGAGAGATTTGGTCGAAACCTGGATCTCTCCAAAACCAAGAACGCAAAGTTAGCCATTCGCCGGCGCATCGCGGGTTCATTGACTGCGGACGTCGGTTTGACAGAAGCAATGACCTTGGATCATGATGCTGCAAGGAGGCGGCCGGTCGCAGGATTCTCTGAAGACGATGTATATCTGTACCCCACAGGAATGAGCTCAATCTTCAATGCTCACCGGAATCTCTTGAGAGCAAAGGGCTCAAAGAGAGCCATTGTTTACGGGTAAGCCTCCTATCTCGTCCCTTTATACCACGCTGACAAAATCAGCTTCCCTTATATCGATACACTGAAGATAACCGAGAAGTTCGGACCAGGCTCGCAGTTCTACGGGTTCGGCTCAGCAGAGGAGCTGGACGACCTCGAACAGCGTCTGGAAGGCGGTGAAAGATTCGTCGCGCTGTTCACTGAATTCCCAGGAAATCCGCTGCTGAGATCACCAGACCTAGAGCGGATACGCAAACTAGCGGACCAGTACGACTTCTGCGTAGTTGTAGATGAGACTATTGGCAACTTCATAAACGTCAACGTTTTACAATATGCCGACGTCGTTGTCAGTAGTTTAACCAAGGTTTTTAGTGGAGACAGTAACGTAATGGGTGGAGGGTAAGCACTTCTTGTACGTCTGTGTCCCAGAGAACATCTACTGACAAACGTTCAAAGTCTCGTGCTCAACCCAAAAGCAAAAAACTATGCCCTCCTCAAACGAACATGGGAAGAAGACTACGAAGACAACCACTGGGCCGAAGACAGCATCTTCCTCGAACGCAACAGCCGAGACTTTGTCTCAAGAATTGATCGTATCGGTACCAACGCTGAAGCCATCTGCGATGTACTGAGCGCACACCCTCGCGGTAAGTTTTCCTTCCATATCTTTGTAATTCTCTTACACCCTTACGTTCATATACTTTTCGCCGTCACATGTCAAACCAAAGCATCTGCCTAACACTGGACAGTCAAACAAGTAAATTACCCCAAGACGTCACCAACTCGCCCTTTCTACGAGAAATGCCGTAACCCCAACGGTGGCTACGGCGGTCTCCTGTCCGCGACCTTTTTCACTAAAGCGGACGCCATCGCTTTCTTCGACAACCTCGATACCGTGAAAGGACCCAGTTTAGGCACAAACTTCACGTTGAGTTCGCCCTACGTGATTCTTGCGCACTATGGAGAATTGGACTGGGTAAGTAATTTACCTTCTGTCTCGCTGCTGACATGGCGGCTTTGCTAACAATGGTATCATAGTGCGCGAAATGGGGCGTTGAAGCTGATTTGATTCGATTTAGTGTGGGGTTGGAGGAGACAGGCAAACTAGTCGAGACATTCAAAAGGGCGTTGGATGCCATTCCTTCCGCGCAGTCGTAGTTTGGGGCGAAACGAACGAGAATATAGCTGCAAATGTAGCGATGCAGGCCAAATTTCAAACGTACCGATGTATGGTTACTGAACATTTGCTAAGTGTCTCGTACTTGCTGTATGCAGCTGCAGACATCGGTGGCACTTATCTGTCGAAGTCGTTGCCATGGATCTCGTGTCCAATTCATGCAGTGAGAGTCCAGGCTATGGGAGTGCTCCTCCAGCCATGAAAGGTATCTCTGTACATCACTCGTTCGTTACTACACTCATAAGAGAACATCATGCTCTGTGTCGATCTTGCACTCAGGACGGGAAAATTAGAATCGAGAAATGTCTGACGCAGATCTTGCGCTGCGATGGACACAACTTTTCGGACATACGCCGGGATCAGAACCTAGTCATGAGAGAAAGGACGAATGCGTCATGCTGGAACCATTGTGATCGATCACACAGGTTTTAGGTGGATCATGTCACTGATGATGGAGAGTGAACATTGTAGCGAGTCAGTCGACACACTATACGCGTATTCCCGACGGAAACCAGTTTCCCCGTCACATCTGTAACGTTTTGTTGTTGATCGTCATAGGTGTTTTCCACAACCTGCACATATTGCTTAGGTATGTTCTGCGACACGTACTCGGTAATTACTGGCCTCTGGCATAACCGAAGTATCATTACCCTTGACTATCCCATGCAGGGACCCATGTTGGTCTGACAGTCCCTTGATGCTCGTGTCGCAAACTTCAATCGTTCTTGTCTGGGTGCATTTATTGGTTCGCAAAAGCTACCTGGGCCGTTGCTGGGTCGTGAAGGCAGGCCGTTCTATTGATTGGATGCTGTGAGGCTCTCTGGGGCGGTTGAGCAGTTCCGACATTCCGGAGTGAAGCACAGTAAGCAGTATGGAAGGCCTAAGAGGGCTGTGATTCGGCCAGGTCATTTGCGAGATCGAAGTCCAGTAGCGATCAATGATGAGGCTTGGATGAGGTCTTGTAAGGCGTCTGCTTTGTCACTAAGAATAATTAGCTTACGATAAGATAAACACGCTTCACGTCTCTGTGGAGACGCGCAATGGCAATGGAACAGTGAGCCAGTAGTAAATGCAACCACGGTTAGTGCTGTCAGTGATCTGCAATTGACAGGCTGCGCGTGCTACGTTATTCTTTCGATATCGTGTTAGACGAAACACCTGGGTATATCAGTTGAGCCTGTATAGCATGCACTATGCTAAGAGCAGAAACGGTTCCTCCACACATTTGAATCAGTCATTTGCATATTCGACCTGACGCAGCGAATTCATTTAAAATTCAGCTTCACTTGAGAACTTCACAGTGTTGTCATAACTGCTAACAACTGTGACAGCTATGGCGTTTAAGTTGGCATAGTGCGATCCAAAGGATATTGGAGGTATCGTATAAGACATGTGACAAATGTGCCTATAGTACAATACCGACAATGTGGGTACTCCAGTCCCTGCGACTTACCAGGGAAATACCAGGCTGGGCATTTTCGCTTCGCATGAACTTCGCTTCATGCTGCCTGGCGTGAGTGCGTCTTAAGCTCGGCTTCTTATGGTCCATCAGGCGTGCCAGCGGCGGCTGGGAAATATTTGTGTGAGCAGACTTGCAGCAACCCAGGGCTGAGCCTCAATTTTTCGGGGACCTGAAGACTACGGTCGCCGCCGATGCGTTACGGCTGACCAACTTTGGAACCATGGAGATGCCTGCGGGTACCGTGGGTCTTTAGATAATAGTAGACTATGAGTCCCGCACGCGATTATCTCGTGTCCTTGCATACATGACCGCAACGGTGGTATCAGCGGCCAGGTGGTGACTGACTTGCATAATATCAGAGCTATGATGAAGCCGAATGATTGCTGCCGGCCGGCATCCTTTGCGTGCTCGCGTACCAGGGCGGAATCGGTATAAGTCGACTCCGGCGCAGTGGATCCACACAAAACCGAGCCGTCTCAAATTCGAGAATAGGCAGGACCCGCTACTTTCGGCGATAGTGATTTGTGGCTTTGATGAGATGGCTTTTTAGGGGGAGGCGTGGAGTTGCAATTGGCGAAGAGCCCTGTCCAATCACAAGGGCCTTGGCACTCATAGCGCCACGACACACTTCACACGCGTAGCTGTGTGCTCGTCATTGCACTAGGGGTCACGATGGCCTGAGTTCTACATACGGAGCCGAACTCCAGTCTCCGCAAACACATCAAAGGTCAAGCTTCTCTCGGAGTGGGGCCAGAATATCTACAGCGAAAGGCAGCACTTGCATGCCCCTCCGAAATTTCAAACACGTGGACTCTTCAGCATCCCATCCCAAGGTCTCGTTTAGGTCACCACCATTTCCCTCTATACTTTCATACGACGTTGTTCCCAGAGTCACATGTCTTCTCTGAAGCTTCGAGATGTCTTCCAGAAGTGAGACCACTGCAGGCGTGCCGCCAAGTTCTCGCCGTTCACATTAACGGCATCGCTTCCGAAAGACAACGGGCCGCTTAGGCATTGGCCAGCACGAGCTCGGGCGATACTGCAGCGAGCCAAATTTAGAACGTCACAATGAGCTGTGCATTGGCAGAGCATGACACGGGGTTTGAATTGATGAACAGCATGCTCCCGTGGCAGTGTCCGTGATCTTTCAGGTTGAGGCTGGGCATACGCCACCCCTCTTTCGACCGCATCTTACCCGAAGCCGCACACATCCTGTCTATCGTGTATTGTCGCGGCCCACCCGCGGCTAACGCAGAGAGATCTGACAGGCCATTTCTCAACACCAAACTTAACACGGTTTGGCTCTTCGTCACAGGCGCGGGATTATGAGCGCCACCAACCCTCTGCTTGGCGAATAGGGCGCCCATCAACGCCAACGCTGTATGTAACGATGGCATCACTTTATGGTTGTCAGGGACAGACTTTCGGATTAGTGGTGGGTTCATGGCGAAGAAGTTACTGGCAGAACACGAGGCATGCCTACTATCCTTGAATCTAGAGAGAGTCGCGCAATTCTTCCTGGTGCGTGGGTACCCCCGGCCCAGGCCTCCCAGGCACCCATTGCGGGTGCACGTCCTGTGGCTAGTCAACGGTCGGAGGGCTAGGATTGTTCACGACTAGGATCAGCATCCTTCGAGTCCGCAGCCGCAAAGCCGGCTCTGTCGCTGTTGGGTCATGAAGCTCAGATGCTCTGTTCCTGTGCATCCAGTATCCCCCATGTAGGGCGCAGACCACATGGGCACCGTCAAACGTCAAGGTTAGATTCGTGATTCTGCCTCGCATTCAACTTGCCATAAGGCTGGTATAATCCCACCTGACGGGCCGTGTCCAGAAACACAAACGTACGTCTACCCCACTGGTACTCTCCGCATCAGATGTTGCCTTTCCGTTGTTGAACATGACCCATCGGTCTTCCAAAACCCATCAACCCAAGACGACGACCATCTCACGAAGACTTAGGGACCGTGCCGACCAGAACTTATCTGTTCAGCCACCAGAAATTCCACAAATAAGAGGAGCTCGCTCCCACCGTGCCGCAGACTTGCCAACGCCCCGCCACAATTCCATTGATTATCAGACGCCCGGGTCGCACCCACTTTCACTAGCCTGGAATACTTCACACGTTCTCGAAGACATCCCACCTAACAACACCTTCCATTTATTGGAGTCTGACCACGACCCGTCTCGCAATCCTTCTTTTGCGCAAGCATTAGATTTCTCGCATCACGAGTCCCTTCAAGGTTCCAACTCCGAACTCGAGTCAAGTGTTAACCTTCGAGCGGCGCACATTTCACACGACCAGCCCACACGAGCACCCGCTCTTGTCTCATCGCCAGTATCTTCCATTTCTGGTAGCAACAACCTCGAGCTACAGTTGTCGGCAGACCTCGAGCAGCCGAACAGATCGTTTCTAGAATTGCAAGATATGAGGTATTTTACCCCACTGACCATAACGTGAACGTGAACGTTTTCTGACACGAGCAGCACCTTGGGCTTCATGATGCCATCTTCGCAGTACGGTATGGGTCATTACGGCTCTTCACAGACCTCTTACTCGTCAGGCTATCCACCGCTGCAATCTTACGCGGAGCCAAGGTCTTCAAACTCAAATCCATACAGCTCATCTTATGCTTCAAGTCCAGTGCACAACGAAAGTCAGCAAAGAAGAACTGACCAGCACCCTATTCTGCCGCCATACCAGCCCCAGCACCCATCACTTCCACGGAGTCCGTACCAGCAGCAACAGTCTACCGATCATTTGCGAGGCCATGCATCTCCTATGGCTCCTTCGGCACATTCTTATACGTATTCAGCGCCCCATAACAGCGTCCCGGCTCAGTCACTGGGTAGTAACACCTACTCATCGTAAGTTGATCAGGGATCTAGCGGAGATCGTCACTGATAAAAGGTAGTTCACAACCGTACCCAGCAACTACTTACGGTTCCAACGAGTATCACCCTCTACCAACGATGTATCCACCAACGACCACGACACCTGCCGTGTATCCTTCGTACGAGTCTTCGCAGAGTGCTCCACCACCCAGTGGCTCAGTACCTGCACTGTCTTCATCGCCGAGCACGCAAGGTAATTCAGTAATGCCACGTGTTGTGAACTCTCGACCAAAGCCGCAGTGTTGGGAGCACGGGTGCAATGGACGGCAGTTCTCTACGTTCAGTAACCTTCTGCGACATCAACGGGAGAAATCAGGAACTGCGTCAAAGAGTTCCTGCCCCAGATGTGGGGCTGAGTTCACACGTACCACTGCAAGGAATGGACATATGGCGCATGACAAATGCAAGCCAAGAAGAGCATCAGAAGCAAGCGGATAGATGAAGTCGCATCTCACTGTTTGATCTACCTAGAACTATCCGTGTCGCGAGGGGCAGAAGTAGAGTATCGCTCCGTCTGAGCGAACACGCCGAGTGCAAAATGGCACAGTATGGTCCTAGGCACCGAGCCCTGACCCACGACGAAGATATGGACGCACCGAAGCGGAGGCACGCCGGTAGGCGACTGTACCAGCTGGGGGTCACCCAAGGGCCCAGAATCTTCGATTCAGTCGCTATAGGGCGCGTATGGACTGCGCGAAAACCATACTTACAAGTCGCTGCACTCATGTTGTGCTTTTGCACTTTTCAGTCTACACCAAGACATTTTGGTACGGTGCGTGCGCCACGGCCGTTCACTAAAGCATTCCGCCACCGGAAGTTCCTTTCAGCATTTTGATTATAACCAAGAGCTTATTTATTGTCATGATACATATGCATACATAGATTTCGGGTACACCTGTCTCAGAAGTAGGGAAAGCTACTGCAACTAGCGGTCTTTACATCCTGTTTCCCATCAATCTCAAAATCATCAACCGTCAAAATATACTTGCACGTTCAACGAGCCATATCATTTTATTCGCCATGACCTGTCGTACAAGAAAGACTGAATTACGGAGGAGGGCGGAGGGCGTCAGCCCGTCGAGGGATTGCGGGAGGATTTGGAGGAGCGTGCAAAGCAGGAACATGGAGTTCCTGCTACTTGGGGGTGCCCTGGTAGCTCTTCCCTGCGATGTATCCGACTACATGGTTCACACAGAATCATCGGTCAGTACCTTACTCCATATCAGGGTCCACAGACAAACAGAGAATCAGGCCGACGTTGTCCCGCACGGCATGGTTCGGCACTGCCGCGCGAAATCTTAATGCGAAAATTCATGGTTTAAGGCCAAAGGGGGGATTTTACCGACCAACCTACACGATTCAGCAAGAAATACCAGATCGCAAGGCAGTTCCGATATTTTCTAGCACTGCAATCTTAATCCTGACTTGCAACAACTGATCTCATTGCAAGCCCCATATTCATGACAGGTCTCGTACCCGGGTTGCAATTCGCCATATCCTTCACGCCATGCGCACCAATTATCATGAGCCGGTTTCATATTGCATTAGCCGTAGACAGGCGAGTAAGGCTGCCGACAAGCTCGCACGGCTTTTTGCGAACTTGAGTAACGATCAAACTAGCGGGCCGTTGTCGCCACGACTTGGGGCGGGTAAGCCTTGTAAAGAGCACCCACCGCTGTGGAGAAAGACCAACCACGAACCGAAGATACCGAGAGGCGCCACTGGCGCGCAGCATTGTCTGACAGATTGTCCAGTTCAAGGTCAACAACCGTGGTCCGGGCTGCTGTACTCAGGTGAACCATGTCACCGGTATAGCGGCGGCTACGGTAGCAGTGTTGATTCGCTCTACTCTTGCACCTTGACATCACCGGGCAGCGGAACAATAAACCGCCATGTGTGTGGTCCCTTGTCTCGGAAACCGACAGCCGCATGTTGGCGTGACTTTCAACACTGAGATGCAGAAGTACATATGCATATGTGGGATGCTCCGGTGACGTGGATATTTCCGGTCTTGATATGCAATGTGCAATCAAACACACGTTCGGTGGCTTACTGGTTGCGGCAGGCAGCTCTAGTCGACGTGCATTAAAGTGCGTGATTGAAGCTTCGGCATGCATGTTGCCAAGACAGTCACTGCAGCTCAGAAACGCGACTAACGCCATATTACTGATCAAGAAAATAGGTATGAATATCATTATTCATGTGCCGCCCTGGACTTGCTCCGCAAGACCCGCACTGACACGCATATTGCGATACGCACCCGACTCTAGGACGGACATGTAACCAAAATCCGGTTCATCGCAGTCGCTTAATCGTGTGCTGTGCAGGCGCGGCAGGTCTAGCGTATGCTCGGAACCATGCCACTGGAACTACCCCTAGGTAATTGGCTCCTGACCGCTTCGCGCAAAAGATTGTGCCTAAGCACGGGATTTCGGTCGATTTCAAGCACCGGGCAGTAATGACGTGAAAGGGTCTTCGATGTTCCAACCTGTTTCGCCCCCACAGCAGAGTGCGAACTTGGCATGCTCTGCTGACCAGTGGATCGAGTCGAGCTGGGAGAACCGCAAGGATTATCCGGCGGGGCGCGGCTGCGCGGGAAGGATGACAGTCACTTGATCCCTCAGTAGACTTGACAAGGATGGGACATGGGGAGCACTGAGTTCTTGACGTTCGGTAGCACGTGAAAAGCATTGCGTTCGGCTCCGATCTCAGCTTTCTACAAGCGAGTAGCTGACGAAGTAACACAGTGGCGGATCCGGAACTCAGGAACCGGAATGAACTCGAAGTAGGGCCGCGGCGTGTACCACTTCACTCCACCATCTGTGGTACCCAGGGTGGGCACGATCGAGTTATCGGTCCGCTCACCAATTTGCATACGGAGTTTCAATGATGCAAAACTGCCTTCAGGGCTTTGATAGCCGGAGTGCTTGCCGACTTAGGATATCATTGCCGGTGGCACAGCAAACAGGCGCAACCCCCCCTTGCCCACTTTGCCTATCGCAAAATACTTGAATCGTATGTTTTCCTCAGGCGACCGTAAACCCGCCCCACACCACAGCAAAACCACCTTCTAGATCGCCTACATGAATCGAGAAAAAGTCCAGTAGAATAGAGCCAAGAAACGATAGATATCTCGCTAAGTACACATCATGCGATCTTGACGAAATTGTGGTAATGTGTGCATACAGAGATCTTCCGCAGAGTCTACGCACGCTCCGAGTGCTTCAGCGATGTGGTCGAGACGCGCAAGAAAACCGGCAACGTCTCCAAATCCGAGATGGGTCCGCGTGTCTAGAGCACCGCGCCGCAAGTGATAGATACTAGTGTGGCTGCCCAGTACAAGCAATCTGTCATCGGTCGACTGTGATAGGACATAGCACACACAGAAAGAAGGGTTGCGAGAATACAACTCACGACGATACTCACACCAACAGCAAACTTCCTGGTCGTGAGCTGTTGCGGGAATTACAACCGGGTTTTCGAAGTATGTAGTTGCGTATACGCAAGGCTGCATGGCCAAGGTTGCACAAGGACTCCAGGGCCATGGAAGCCTCATAGCGCTCGCGTGTTGCTGACGCCCGCCCGCTACTGCGGGATACGTCTGCAGTGTCACCAGTCACCTTCGAGAAAGCCGGTTAAAGGCAGCGCCGCCTCCCAGACGGGATGACGCTCCAAATGAGGCGGCGGCATACGCGTGGACATAGATTAATCGCACATGGCGGCCAATAGCCGCTGCAGGGGGGAGGGGATCAAGCCATTCTATAGTGGTAAGCTCTAAGCCCGTAAGACGGGCATAACATGATTCCGCATACACATAGGGTATGCTTGACGTAGCTTTTCAGCCTCAACCGCCGTAGAGGGTCCAAGTCGTCCGGACGTCAACATCTGGCACGCTTCTGCGACGTAGGGTATGTATCGATGTTTCCCATGCACTCACGGGCACGAGTTGGAGTGAGCATCTGGCTGTCTGAGTAGCTACACAGGCGTGCACAGTCATGCAACGCCCTTCTGAGGCCAACATGTGGCACATGTGTTGGTCGCGGCCAGGGATGCCATTAGGTAGCCCTACCGACTGTTGGGCGACTTTCCATGACTGCACCTCACTGTCGCTCTCAGGCTATGGATGCCTAAAGGACGCGCTCAGCTCGACCTTCTTACGAGACTAGGGCGTATGTTGGGAGTCAGACATAGTGTCAAGCATCTAGCAATCGGTGGAGACGAACGGGTAGTTACGATGTTCAACTGACAGTATAGCAAGAGATGGTTCCGCTGTCCCTGACGTTATACCATGTGTCGGACACAATTCACCAGCAAACGCATGATCATGCACCAGACAAGCATGATGAAGTAGAAAGATAGTGATTGCGAATCAATGCAATCTCTGTAGCGACATAGTTTGACCGAGCCCAAGCTAAAAGGGCGACAAAAGGGCGTTAAGCCTTGTGGTGATCCATGTGAGGCTGAGAGCGATGGATGATGGCCCGCCCCGCACGACGGTGACTCCCCGCAGTAGGTAGCATGAGCAAGCTAGGACCAACGACTAACCTTGGACACGGCGACCTCGATACTCGCAGCAACCGTCAACCATCTCATGCCATTGCACCTTTACCATCATCAACAGCGTCGTCATCTTCAACTTGTCCACCCTGATGTCTCTCTCTAATCTGTGAACGCCAGCGTGGCACCTTCACGCAACTCGCCGACGAGTTGGTTCTAGTCGCTGCTTGACGAAGTCCCACTCAACATTTGTGCTCTACACCCGCCACCATGCTTCCATTATTATCGCAATTATTCCGGACGCACTTCTTACACACCAACTCACGATCATTATCACGCTTACGCACTAATCCAGCGCAACAACGCGCAACGTGACAAGTCTGGTACTTTGCCCATCACCCTGTTCGATAAGGAATACAACCACAAAGGCGCCCGTCCATAATACGCGATATGGCTTCTATATTCACCTTCGATCCTGACCCTCCGCGGGTCTCATCGCCATGGGAAACCACTTCCGCCGGCGACGTCGCGCAAACGCCCATCCCATCTACGAATTCTCGACAACTTCCTTTGCCGCTAGGTAGCACCGGGGGCGAAGTGGGATTAGACACAACAAAGCCCACTGCTGCTATAGACTATACAGCTATCACGAGACTGGAGGCTGAGCCACAGGATGGGCCTACTGAGTACAAGCTGCATCTGCTGCTCAGGCGGCGGCGGTCTTTTACCCGCGCGAGCACTGGACGCCATATATCCGGGTCCATGCGTCGACCTGACATACCCATTCCTGTAGTGGGTCGCAGCGCATCTGAGTCAGGCCTTCTTTCCAACACTCCTCCTCCGTTGGCCTCGACACAGTCAAAACAGCATCGTCTTGAGCAGTTGACCACTCAACTGCTGTGGCGACTACAACAATCATGCCCGAACCACATGTCCTCGTCTATGGCACCCGTCGTTCCTCATTTTCCCGAGGATGCACGGTTGTCAGCCCCTGAAATGCCACAACGGCTTCTACCTGGACTGGAGGAGAGCAGTGGTGCGCTTTACGAAATTGGAGTTGCTGACGACGGAACCATCGTCGGTTTGGCAGAAGATGAGATGGAAGAGAGCTTGAACAACTTGCGCGCTATGGCTGCAAGCCTAGGCTGTGGTGTTGAAGTTATGCGCAGAGTTCCCGTTGGTGATTGCGAGTGGGTCGAGGATTCTGGCACACCGCAACAAAGGGTGATAAGATCGCAACTACTAGTTGCTGAAGCACTAGTACGCCCAGAACAGCACTTGATCAACAAGCCGGAAAAGACGCAGCAAGATGCAAGCAACGATGCGCTCAGAACCAGTGCTAGCGACATGGCACTGGGCAAGGAGCCCCAAAGGGTCACTGAGCAGATGCGCGTATCAGTGACTGGTGCCACTATGTCTGGTAAATCTACCCTACTCGGAACTTTATCTACTGCTACGCTGGACAATGGCCGAGGAAAGAGTCGCTTAAGTCTACTGAAACACAGGCACGAGATTGCATCGGGGATGACCAGTTCTGTCACCCAAGAGTTGATAGGATATCGCGACGAAGGAGATCACTCACAAGTGACCAGCTACGGCTCAGGGGATATTGATTCGTGGATCGACATCCATGCGGCGGTGGAGTCAGCGGAGAACGGTCGGTTGGTGTTTCTTTCGGACTCAGCTGGACACCCTCGGTTCAGGCGTACTACGGTCCGTGGAATTGTCGGCTGGTAAGTTATCACCACATATCACAGCACCTCATCCCCTTGTATCTCTTCAATTTGAGAGGGTTTCACTCTTAGCTGCCACTTCTCTAAAAAAAAAACGTATGATGGAGTATCCTGATCCGTTCACTAGGCAACCACATTGGACACTTCTGTGTGTTCCAGCTGACAATACCGACGAGTCGTCGGGTAAGCTTGGAGCTTCACCTTCTTCTGAAGAGTTGCTTGGGCCAGCAGCAGCGGATTTGGATCTTTCGCACGCACATCTACAACTCTGCCTTGCCTTGCAATTGCCGCTTGTGATTGTCATCACCAAGTACGACTTAGCTACCAAGAACGGTTTGAAAAGCACCTTGCAAAAATTGCTCTCGGCGTTGAAGGAACACAAGCGGAGGCCTTTGCTCATCACTGACCCGTCGACATCTGTCTTGGAAGCCGATCTACACACCATCGAGGCAGCCGATCTTGGGGAAACTGAGAAGACCCTAGACTTGCTTGTAGACTCGCCACTCGCAGCAGTGCCAGTGATACTCACTAGCGCAGTCAAGGGAACTGGGATACAGAAATTGCATGCGTTTCTTCGGAGACTACCGATGCCCACGCAAGTAACCCCACCGGCAAGTACGCCCATATCCCCACTCTTCTATATTGAAGATGTTTATGGCGTCCGCCCAGATGGGATCGGTGATAGCTCCGCGATCATTGGAGGCTACCTCCGGTATGGATATTTGGCCGTCGGTGATGAGCTGCTGCTAGGACCATACCCTGTTGATGTCAGCTCGGACGATAGCGACAGCGGTAGCTCAAGACCAAGTCGCAAGCCTGCTTTGCCACAGTCAAGATCGTTTCCCGGCGCACTCAGCACGAAGCCAAAAAATGCTTCACTGCGCAACCGACACAGCGAGTGGCAACGTGTCCGCGTTACGTCCTTGCGCAATTTACGTCTACCCGTACGGAAGTTGCATGCCGGACAGGTTGGTACTATGGGTGTCGTACCTGTGAGTACGCAAAATGTCAACTCGTCTATCAATAGAGTACGCAAAGGCATGGTATTGGTGGCTCGCGAGCCCAAGGCGCACAAGATCATCAAAGTACGTTTCGAGGAGAAGCAAGCAGAGGGCATCAAAGATCTCAGCGTCGGAAGTGCAGTTGTGGTCTACGTCGCCAGCGTCAGAGCTTCATCCAAAGTCTTGTCCGTCGCTACTGAACGGATGGAACTTACTCATTCGATGAACAAGACTCATAATGGCGCAGATGAGGACGATACTTTTGGATTCGGCTTCGACGATGAAGTAAGGGAGCCTACAACGGGAACTGTACCACCTGCCGTCGTAGTGACGTTTCAGTTCATCGCCTCACGCGAATTCGTGGAGGTGGGTGCCAAGGTGTTGGTCATGCCTGGTGGTGGGCCTGGGCTTTATGGGGGTAATGAGAGAGGAGCAAAGGGTATGGCTGGTCTCGAAGGATTTGTTGGGAGAGTGCTGGGAGATGTTTAGTGTGCTGTCACCGCGAAACATAGAAGGTATGCCGTCATGGACATCTTTTGGTGAGCAAAGACATGTGGAGTACTGGAACATTGAGAGTTTAGTATTGGCGTTCGATGAGGGCATAGAAGGAGTAATCACAGTAATGTTTGATCGTCTTGAACATTGTTGGCATCGCGTGCGAACGGAGAAAATCCAGCGCAGTGCTTAACCAAGAATGCCTCACTATGCACAAATCTCAAATGTCGCACATCCCCATACCACGCAGGCACGAATGCCGTATCGCATCCACAAAAGACACGCACGTCATGCACCCAAGCGTCTCCTTGCCACAAACGCATACCGTCCTCACCTGACGTCCTTGGACCGGCTAGGCAACGAGCAGCTTAGAGTAACAAGGTGGGAAATGTGCACGCGCCGTCCCCAGCTACCCAGACAGAAAACTATACATTATGGGAACCGTTCGCACGAGGGCTACTAGGGGTAACAGTTTTCGTCGGCGACTGTTGGTAGGCAGTGTTTGATATATCGCTAGGCTATACTGAGCAGCAGGAATGGGTCTGGTCGCTGAGCTCCACCTTAGGCCGCGAAAATTCGTAATACTCATTTCCTCTGGGTAGAAGGAAAGAGCATGGCGGGGAAAAGAGAAGATAGGGACAAGGAAGGGAAACAGAGGGAGACGAGTGGGGAACTTATGGTAGGGTTGAGAACTGCTTTCCGCGTCTCTGGCGGCCCATGAAGATGAGGATGATAATTCAGGGATATCGTATACAAATGCTGGCTTTCCGAAATTTCTTACCAGTGCGTCTTTTTCAGAGGATGTAAGAATCTTATTGCTGACATGTCGCTTTTTCATTTGCAATCAAGCTGCGGAAGAAGCGAAAAGGACCTTGCGAGGTCCGCCCATGGTCAAGCTCTTGGGGACGGTTCCGCTAGTTCCGCTGCCCTCCATACTCTCGAGCATCCTGTCCATGCCGCCAAGATCAAGCTCGCCATGGGTAAGAAGAGCCTGGTCGGTTCTGTTCGATGCGTCATCCTCGACCTGCTCGCGTGCAAATATCGCGCTCAGATCGCGCCCAAGGGGCTGGCTAGTACTCGCGGTGATGATGAGACGGTGCTCGGCTGATACAAGAGTGTCCCTGGCGATAGCCATACGTGATGCTTGAGGTGTCGTGTCGAACTGTGAGACTGATGTGATGGCTTCTCCACAGAGTGCAATATCCTGGACTTGGAGACCAGGACCTGGTAAGGAAGCACCGCTGCTGGCAGAAGCAGTGCGACTCCAGAACTTGATCAGATCGGCTATCCTGTAGATCTCAGATCCATACCAGATCAGGACCGAGTCTTCTGACGTTCCGTTAGTCGACGTGATACTCGCGATGGAGATGCCGCCTCTAGTTGCTGCTGTGAGGCTTGGTGCGCTGCCCTGGAAGAGTGTCTCCTCTTTCCGCTTACGCGTATTCGGTGTCATTGGAGCTAACGAATTGCGGATTCCACGCTTCGGGCTCGATGCGCCGCCAGAACTTGCCTCTTTCTCCGCTGTACCAACATATCCTCGAAGAGAGAAAGCCGATGGATCTGCTGGGGGGCTTGGACCAGACCGATCAACATCCCAGACGCCCCATTCGCCGTCCGCGAGTAAGGCAATTATATGACGGCCACTGGATGCCCAAGCCGCATCTATGATGGCTTTGCGCGACGCAAGCACAGCAGGGGTAAGCGCAATGTTCTTGACGCCCTCGAAAGATGACCTGAATGTTCCCACAAACGCGCCAGGCTCATTACGACGGCCGCCTGATGGTTGGCTAAGAGTGGGTAACGTAAAAGGATCGTAGATGCGCGCAGTTCCCTTTGAGTCTGCGATGAGTAGTTGAGAATGGCGACGGTTTGGATACTGAGCAGTATTGAAGGCAATGCGAGAGGCTGGCTTGTTCAGAGTGAGCGTCTTGTAAGGCACGACCGGATGCGAGACCTTCGGTGACGTCTCAGATAGCTCAAAGCGAAAGAGTTTGACCAGGCCTCCCAGCTCAGCGGAGTGCGAGGCTACGAGTAAGTCGAAGCCTTGACCGGCACGCGGTTGGTGTTTGTGCTCAGAAGTCGTTGTGTCTTCTTCCTCTTCATCCACGTCCATGCCGTCTTCTGCCTCGTCTATAGAGTCTGGCTCTCCTCTTGCAGTCCAAGTCATAGTGACACCCCTCGGGATGCTCTGATGGCCATGAAGCTTGACAACGTCTTCGCCGAACTGTGACTTTGCGGTGTATGGCTTGTCTTTTGCGACGTGTGGAGGAGGACTTAGAGGTAATGTAATGACGCGCACCGTAGAGTCGGCACATGCGACGGTGAAGATGATGTGGGTACTGAATATGCGAGGTGTTGTGTCTGCGGAATGGAGGGTAGAGGCGGTCGGTATTTGGGGTACGGCGATGTGTAGCACTTGGGTGCTGAGAGACAGAGAAAGCTGCTGGACGACTGAGGCGTACGGCTGGTCTGGATCAAGCTCTTCCTCTTCATGCTCAAATTCGGCCTTGGGTGGCGGCTCTGAAGCAGCTTTGGCAGGCTCATCGTCGGAGTCGATGATCATAATGGCATCGTTGCTTGTTCCGTTGACCTTTGGTGGCTTCGCTGGCTGCTGGGGAAGGGGCGGGGACTTTTTCAATGGGCGTCCTCCTCTCCAGAGGATGCCAACACCTGTCTCGTGGCCGTATAGTACGATGGTCGAGCCATTGGGGGCTTTGACGGGGTATACCGTAGAGGCATGTACGCGGTGCGGAAGCTCGTACCTGCAGGACATCACGTCAGCAGCCGCGTAGGTAGTGGGAAGAGGAAAGCGCACCTTAACTGGGTAAGTTTTCCCTTTGCCGCGACGACTGGCTCCATGTTCGCAGCTTGACGGCGGTGGTGGTGGGCTTAGCTACCGCCTAGGCAACACGCAAGGCGCGACTGAGGCTGCGTCTGCTCTGAGCGCAAACACGTCGAGACGTTTCTAGGATGTCGCGATGACTATTCAGGTCGTCTGGGGAGTTGCAGATGGTGCGCGGTTTGATGTGTGAGGGTGAAGGAAGCTCCGAGGTGCTGCGGAGCCTGTCAACATTTCTCTGGGGAAGTCGCGCTCGACCACAGCGCGTCACGTCGGATTGCGCGCCCCGCGCAAACAAACCGCCCACATCCCCCCAACGCCCACACGATAGCCAAACCTCCCTCATGTGGCGGAACGAGCGTCCGCATGGCCTCTCTTCGCTCAATCGGGGTCCACAAGCCCTCCGCCCTGCAGTACCTGGTCCAAGAGTCCATCCTGACCGAGGATAGCACTGACGGCGACTATGTCTGGGACACGTACTTGGACGACAACGACCCCCAGGGCCCTACCGACGAGCTCGTCACTACTGAGTACCACGTGGTCTGGTCCCGAGGTGGTGTCATACGCAAGGTCTTCAACTTCGAGGTGGAGAAAGAGAAGGTCAAGCAGGCGCTGTTGACATGGTTCCTGGTAGACGAGCCCTCACATGGCACGAATGAGGCCTCCGACAGCTCGACAGAGTACAACACAGCCGACCCTTCAAAGACTTTCCTGACCCAAGGCACACAGCCTGCTGCACATCCCACCGCGCCAGCCAACAATAAACCACCCACAACAGAGCTGCTGTCGCGTGCTCTCGTCGTCTTCTTGAAGTCGCAAGCACATGTCTTCTTTCTTTCCGGCACCACGCACATCGTGAACCTCCCATTCGAAGTAGACAAGGCTTTTCCTGCAGCACGCGGTGTTGTTGTGCAAAGGAAGCTTGCTCCCCTTCATCCTGTGCCCACGAGTCCACTGTTACCGTCAGCTCCACCAAATTCCTTCCTCACAACCAACCAGTCATTTCTCTCACAGCACTTCTCCTTCTCTCAGAGCTTTTCTAAGCCCCACCGCCGGCATGGTTCTTCTATTGGTGCATCGCGGCACGGAAAGTCTCGCCTGTCTGGCGCGACCACGTTCCTAGATGACTTGATCACCCCCTTGAACCCAGAATCGATACCCAGGTTGTATTCCTTTACAGACCCGCTGTCCGAGTTGGGACTAGTGGTCAATGTCGTCGCGGGTGGTGATCACAGCAGCCTGTTGACTAGCCATGGCTCCAGCCATCGGAAACTGGAAGCCATCGACAAAGCTGAGGAGATTATCTACGTCTCACCGCGTAATGAGCTCCTGTTCGATCGCAGTGGAAATGATAAGCCCCTTCTGCTAGTAGTCACGGCGAATCACGAGACGAATGTATTTACCATCTGGTCTGCGGCTTACCTTGAGCCAAAATCAATATCAACTTCTCGCAAGCAACACGTTTCCCTTCCAATAAGCAAGTCCCGACGTCGTAGCTCATACGGCGGCACTGCGCCAGGAACCGGAGCAACTACGCCAGCAATTCGAGGAGCTGACAGATTGAGAGAAAGTTTTGGTGGAGCTCCACGCAGCAAGACCCAGCCTCCATCCTTCAAGATTACTACCAAGGAGCGACTGTCTGACCAGGCAGTGGACGATGCTCTTGCTTCACAGCTGAACCCCGACTCTGACATTACTCGTCAGCCAAAAGAGTCTAGACGAGTGAGCTCACTGCTCTCACGAGCTGAGCTCTCCACGAGCTTCGACAAAAGCGCCTTCCAAGACCTCGCAACATCTCGTAATAGTATTGGTGGCAGCTTTAACGCAAGTTTCAATGCAAGCCAGCGAAGCCGCCACTCACTAGGCCACGATCGCACAAGTTTCGGTGGCTTCTCGCAATCTCGGAACCGCGCTTCTACTCCTGGTAGCGTCACATCACGAATGAGTTTGGGTGCTGTGTCAATAGACGATACTCTAGATGATGCCATGGATGAGGATACCTTCGACACGATAGAGGACTATGATGAGCTTGACGACCTGTTTGCGCCGCCTGATGCCAAAGACGGACCACGGCCTGGAGACGGACTCCTTAAAGAGCTAATAATCAGTGTCATTGCGGAGATCCCCATTACACAGCACCTGAAGAGTGGTCTTTTTGCTTTGGGAGACCCCTCAAATACTCCGGTCAGTTCATATTCTTCAAGTGAAGTTGTGTTGTTGACATCTAAACAGAACTGGCATGAACCAAAGGTACTTACATTGAATGCACCTTTCAATTCGGCGACGCTCCACGAGAGGAAATTGTACTTGTACATATCACATCCATCGTTGCAACTTCCCCTCGAATGCGAGCTAGCGGTCACACGGAAGCGACTCTCGCCATCAGCATCAGCAACACAGTCTGGGTCGGCAAGTGCAGCTCCTCGTTATGCATGTGTCCCGAAGTTTGTTGGCTCGCGGCAGCTAGAAAATACATTGGATCTTGTGAAAGTCCGTGACGGTCATATCGAACGCATAGTTCAACTCACATCAAGAAATCCCCAAGAGCCCTGCCTATCGTTGACTGCGGGATGGGGCAGTCACCTACCAGTAAAGTTTAGCTTGGGCCCTATGAAGTTATTCGACCCGTATGCCATCATACGATACGATCAGAGTAGAGTGACTGCGGGCTCAAGACGAACGATATCACTGAGCCAGCCGTTGCATAGTTTGTCCCCATCGGGCGCGTCCGGGAAGCTAGACCTATCTGATGGCGAGCTGCGTCGTCACCGGATGGTGTTGCGCCTATCACCATCGAACAGCTACGTGGCCGAACTTTTTCAAGTACTATCAACAATACTGCCAAATTTTGCCGGCGATTTCCTATTGGAAGTATGGTGGAACATTTGCAAGTCTCTATCTGATGGGGGAGCCGAGCGGATCACTGCAGATTGGATGGCCTTTGTAGCGACCTTGCTCACTCTTGCAGTACCATTCATTGATGAAAAGAAAGGGAAGATCAACACTCGTGCGAAGTCGACCCAGCGAAGAAGTTCAGGGCGCCCTGCAAGCCAAGCAAAACCAGATGAACTCATTGACGACGAAGACTCGGCATGGCGACTCATGTGTAGTCGTCAGGTTTCAACAACACATCCAAAGAGCTGGAGATCATCTCCTTGGACCTGGGCTTTGCACTCAAGTCCGAAATCGGCCACAATGAGCCCGCTAATGAAGCGCGACTCAAAGCAACACCAGCTACCAACAATTGCACAGCAGATCGGCGTTAAAGACAATATGATATCCACCTGCCTCGAGCTTGCTCGTCAGTACCTCCAGTCCCCAATTGGCAAAGCTACCAATGACCACTGGAGGCGACTTTCCCCTTCTGAAAAGCAAGATCTTCGCATTTCATCTTTGTCTGAGATTGTGGTGTCACTGCATCTATTCCGCGAAGAACGCAAGTTGGACACTTTATGCCAAGGATTCCATGGTAAGGAGCCTGGGAATCTCGCACCTGTGTTAGCACAGATCGGCCACTGGTTACGTTGGGAAGGGTGGGACTGGAGACAAGGTGGCTTTTTCGACCTTGATGGTGGCTCAGGCCAAGACTGGGCGTATGACGAAACCACGTTGACTGGCAAAGTACGATTGCATGCGCAGCCATGGGATGCGCCCCCTTCAATATTGGACTGGCTCGGCACTGTCACAGGATCCCAACACTATGCTCCGTTCCCTACACTAGCGATGCTCATACGGAAGTCCAAAGCATCTCCGCACTCATCCATCAATATTGACGAAATCATGGCAGGGGTTACGCCTAGAACTGTGGCATTACACAGGTTCTTCCGAGATATCGACCCTGCCTCGAGCCCCAAGAAGATAGTAGAGCTAATCAAGGCTTGTCACATCAGTCCCGAGATGCTAGCGACACTGCCGGAAGCCGCGAAAGCACCACTCATGGAAGCGATTATAAGATGTCAGGCGAACCCACCTACCACATGGTCGAGTTCACTACTCAGACTTGTACAACGCGAAGACTTGGATATCAGTCTTACTCCTATCGCAGAAATCGTCCATGATGCACACTTGAATGCATCGGGTGGAGCGCTTCATGCAACTAGTACAACGAGGGATGTTCACACTATATGTCAAGGCGCTGATCGGATGGAAGCAATCCAATCGACATCCGAAGTTGACAGGCACTCTATCACGCGACTCATTTTCCGCGAAGATCGGCGGTTCATGGAAGCGTATACACTGCTAGAACCTTTGCGACAGACTGTCGCGGAATACAAAGCTGATAGCAGACAAGACGATGCAGCAATGCTTGAGGGTCAGAAAGCACTCATGCAATGGGTCATGATCCGCACGTTCTCCTTGCCGTTGGGTAGTTCAATGATAAAATTCAGCAGCAAGAAGCCTTTACTGACGGAGAAATACCCTCTTTATGGCTTTTCCACATCATGCCTCATGAAGCCAATGGGCAATGTCGTTACAGCCGAACGACAGAACTACTCTGAGGAGAAGTATTTCTGGGCTTTCTTCAATGCCGGTGCTGCAGCTGGTCTGAGCATATCGCGAGATGCTCAGGGTATCGATACTTCGTGGATAATGTACAACAAACCTGCGGAGCTGACGAACAAGCATGCAGGGCTTTTACTCGGCCTGGGCCTTAACGGCCATCTGAGGACAATCGCAAAATGGCTGTCGTTCAAATACCTTACTCCAAAGCACACCATGACTTCGGTAGGCTTGCTACTAGGCTTGGCCGCTTCATTCATGGGCACCATGGACACACTCGTGACAAGACTACTGTCGGTGCATGTCACAAGAATGTTACCGCAAGGCGCAGCCGAGTTGAACCTCTCTCCTTACACACAGACTACGGGTTTAATGGGTATTGGTCTGCTCTACTACAACACCCAGCACCGCCGTATGAGCGAGGTTATGCTCTCAGAAATCGAGTACGTCGAGATTCCAGATCCATCAGAGCCACCAGACAGCCTGCGAGATGAAGCCTACAGACTCGCCGCGGGTTTTGCACTTGGTTTCATAAATCTAGGCAAGGGCAAAGACCTTCGAGGTCTCCATGATATGCGCATCGTTGAGCGTCTCATGGCCGTTGCTGTAGCGCCTAAGCCTGTCAACGTTGTCCACGTTCTCGACCAAGCTACAGCCGGAGCGGTTATCGCGGTTGCCCTCATCTTCATGAAGACTCACGACCAAATCGTGGCGCGCAAGATTGATATTCCGGACACGCTGCCCCAGTTCGATTATGTTCGCCCAGACATATTTCTCCTCCGTACCCTCGCTAAGCACCTCATCATGTGGGACGACATCAAAGCCTCAGATTCTTGGATAATCAAAAACCTGCCGTACGATTACCGCGAAGCCTGGGATCTCAAAGGCATTACACGACTCCGTAGCGAACAAATGCCTTTTTACAACATCCTCGCGGGCCTGTTGTGGGCGGTGAGTCTCAAGCATGCTGGTACAGGGGATACCCAAGTCCGAGACTTCCTGATCAAGTATCTGGACCAACTGATACGTATCAATAAACTTGCTGCCGTACGCTACGATTCCAAGCTATCCAAGAACACAGTACGCAACTGTCAAGATCTCATCGCACTAGCCGCCGCTACCGTCATGGCAGGAACAGGTGACCTCGACGTCTTCCGTCGTTTACGCGGTCTCCATGGACGTATCGGACCCGATATCCCATACGGCTCTCACCTTGCTGCTCACATGGCGTTCGGTACTCTGTTTATTGCAGGCGGTACACAAACCTTCAGTCGAAGCAACAAGGCTATTGCGAGTCTGATATGTGCTTTCTACCCCTTGTTCCCCTCTGATGTCCAAGACTCAAGGGCACATCTACAAGCATTCCGTCATTTCTGGGTACTCGCTGCTGAGCCCAGGTGTCTAGTCGTGCGAGACGTAGATACCGGACGTGCGATATCTATGCCCATCACCATTGTCTTCAAGAACACCCAAGAAGGCAACCAACAGATGACGACAAGAACACTAGTAGCGCCTTGCCTTCTTCCCGAGATCCACCTGATCAGTCGCCTCGAGACGGCGGATCAAACATACTGGCCTACGATCCTAGACTTTGTGCACAACCCACTTCATCTCAAATCCTTTGAGCGCAACCAAACGCTAAATGTTCGGCGTCGCTCCGCTCACGATACTTACGCTACGTCTTTCAGCGCCACCCTTGTCGCACTTAACGACGCCCAGTCATCGAAGACTGCAAACCTTCTCTTCCACTGGATTTTCACACTCCCTGCACTATCGCAATTCATCTCGGCCAGCGACGCGGGACTCATATTGCCGCTCGATCAGTATAGTAAGAGTTGGCTTGATCCTGGAGCTACGGTTGTGGAGTCGAGGTTGGTCCTAGGCAGATTAGCAAAGAGCTGGAAGGTAGAAGAACTGAAGGAGTTGAAAGGCGTATTTGAATGGGCGGACGCAGCGAGTCGGCAGAATGGACAACTGAGGTGGTTGGGTAGAGAGGTTGTGGAGAGGATCAAAGCGGGGGTCATGGATAGAGGAAGGGGAATGGGTGGGTAGCCGATCTGTCAGGTACAGATTATAATTAGGATACAAAACAAGGTGAGGGAACACGTAGCAAGGGGTATAAACTAAATTTCCACGTCATGGCAGGCGATCTGCAGAATCAAGCTCTATGGTCTAATGCCCCAGGTGCTCTTCAACACTCAGTCCAACTTCTAATCATCAAGTCATCATCTAGATATCCTTCAGTACGTGCAAGCTTTGGAAAGAAGAAACGCCATCTACTCTCTACTTCCCCCTCGCCTCTCTAATTCCCCACTTTCCCACTTCGGCCATAGCCTCCTCTCCACCCTTGGCCAACTTCTCGTCTTTCAAGACACCAGCCAAACATTGCCAGCCATCTCTCCCTCCACCCCACTTGAGTACCTCGTTCTTGTAAAGCTCACCATTCTCCCTATCCAAGCTACCTTGTTGGCCATTGTGCTGGAAAACATCCTTCCAGATCTTGGCCGCTAGCGCGCGGTCAAAGAGATAGGAATAGTATGTAGCGCCGTAACCAAACAGGTGGCCGAAGAAACCTTGCCAAGCCGTGCCGGCGGGTTCAGGGACAGACGCGTATTTATTGTAGACGTCGTGGTAGACTTTTGTCGAGTTGAAATTCGGGTCTGCGGCAATCGGGGAGTGGTACGCTTGGTCGAGCATGCAGAGGAGAATCTGGCTTTCCAGTTCAGAGTATTGATTTCGATTGTCGATTGCAAGGCGGGATTCTAGGGCCGCCATGGGAAGAGGGGCGTCCGTTTCCCAATGTCGTGCGTACAAACCTAGGACATGGGGACAACAGGCAAAGTGCTCCATTAGCACCGAAGGCAGCTCGGCGATATCGGTCGCGCAGCGAGTACCGGAAACATTTTGCAGAGCTGTGCGACCTAGAATGGAGTGGAGTGCATGGCCCATTTCGTGGAAGAGGGTGCGCACGTCGTGGATGTTAAGGAGTGTTGGTCGAGAATGTGAGGCTTTGCTAAAGTCACAAATCAATGCTATTGTAGGTAATTGGAAGTAGCTGTTGCGTTCGGCGTTGTAGGAGACGGGCATGCCGTCTGTGGCTGCCTCGATGGGGGAAGAGAAACGATGCTGCATATGTGACATTTCCTCCATCTCTGAAGGCAGGATCTCGCGGCTGCATCGGAGAGTAAAATGAGCCGGATTAGGGGTTTTGCCAGGTCGCGAGTATAGATCGCAATATAGCACGGCAATATGGCCTTCGGTATCGGAGATGACGTCTAGTCGTCGCACGCCATCTTCCCATACCTCACCTGGCTGGGTCTCTTTGGGAACGAAGCGAACACCATACAATCGGTCAAACAGTCGCGATATGCCCTGTAGTACAGTGCCAACAGAGAAGTATGCGGACAAAGAGTCGGGTGTACGCTGCCTGTAATGACCCTCCATTGTCGCAAGCATCTTCTGTGTGTAATAAAATTTGTCCCAAGCGTTGATGCGATTGGGGAAGTTGTCTTGGTGAGCATCGCCTCTCTTCAACTCCATCAACTCTTCTAGGTCAGCGAGGACAGCTGGTCGGCTATCTTGGTAGAGTGCCTTTAAGAAAGTGTTGACTGCTTCTGGTGTCCGCGCCATCTTGTTTTCTAGCGTCATGTGTGCAAAGGTCTCGTAGCCTGATGTTTGCGCCAACTCGACTCGAAGTTTCAATAGCTTTTCTAGACGCGCGATGCTTGGTTTGTTCGCTGTCCGCACAGCTTGGTAGGTTTCTTGTCGTACATCGGCATCCTCTACAAACCTCAGCACAGCTTGCGACTCGTGGTGCATGGTGGAGATTTTAGTTTCGCCCCATTTTGTCAGTGCTTTTGCGAGGTTTGGGTCCAGCCCTCTCAGCCTTGATGACTTGAACTTCAGGCTCAGTTTCTCCGGAGCCATGCCTTCGACGAATTCGTTGCCAACATCGGCAATCTCGCCACTCAAATCTACTAGGCGCTCCCTTGTCTTGTCGTCTAGACCAATACCAAATCTTGAAAAGTCCTCCATGAGTATCCTCGCTACGATGCGCTCCTCCTCGGTCCATGTGTCATATACCTCGGATATGTCCGAGGCCTTCTTCAGCTGGTCATGTAGTACTGGTGTCGTGTTCAGCTGGTTCATATACTGGAACACGGTTTGGTAGGCTTTCATTGCCATGATCTGGAACTTGCGATCCGGATGGGTGCCTCTTACAAAGTCGGCCAAGTCTATTACCCGGCATAGCAGATCACTGAGCTTATCGAGGTCTTTGACCATGTGCTTGAAGTCGTCGACCGACTGCGCTGCTGCCACCTTGTGCACCACGGCATTGCAGCGTTGTATCGTCACAGTGACAAAGTCAACGAAACCCTGGGGATGGGTAAGGTATTTGTTGCCTATGATTCCCGTGGGTGTGCCCTTGTGGGATGCGCGCTTGAAGCTGTCCCAGAAAGAAGCATTGTCGAAAACCTTGCGGAGGGCGTCGTCATCTGTCTTGCCGCTGGCAGACAGGCCGTAGAGCGGGTTGGGGGCAGGATCGCGTGCTTTGGCGGCGGCGGCGGCCAAAGTGGAGTTGAAGCGTCGCTGGCGGCGGGAGTGTTGGAGACATTGGTGGCAGACCCATGGCGACTGCTTTGTGCGTGCGAGGCGCTTAAGCATATTGGGTTGCGCGGGTGAAGGGTAGCCTGGCAGGGAGAAGACAAGACGCAGCTGGGGCACGATGTCATAGCTAAGCCGAGGACGGGAATCTTGCGGCGCTCGCACGGCCGTTTCCGCGTCTTCTGAGCTCAACATCACAAGTTGGACACGACCAAACTCGACGCATTGCGCCTGCCCCACGCTCGATATGGCTTTCAGACCGCTGTTACGGCAGGTAAGTAGTCTTGACAAGATGCAAGACGGTGTATTGACCTCGTTCAGCGCGCCGCTGTCCCCGCCATGGCCGCCCTTTCGGCCGCCGCAATCTTCGCACCAGGAACCGTGGATGCAGAGGAGCGACCCGCCCATCACTTTGTATGTCGGCATGCCTATGAGCCCTCGGAGACTCCTTTTCAGAGTCTCTGGCCCGCGGGTGCATCGCAACGCTAACGTCACGGCAGGACCGCAAACCCATCTACGATGACATGCCCATCGATACCACAGCTCCTACTGCTCCCTCTCTAGTAGACCCATCAAACTCGTCGTCGGCCCCAGAGTCTACCTACCGCCCAACACCGACCGACCGCCTCGCAGTCCAGATTGGCCGCGCGCGCATGGCTCTGTACGAGCAAGCGGTGCGCGGTGAAAAGGCCGTTGATAACGCCCTTACCGAAACCCTCCGCCTCGAGCACTCCTTCACAAGCACCATCCGCTCATTAGCCCCGCCAAGAGAATCGGGCGAGAAGGTCCTCCCTGGTGCTCTCTATGTCCTCGTTTCCTCCATGGCAGGTTCCATTATTACGCGCAACAGGAACATTTTGCTGCGAACCTCAGTTCCAGTCGCTGTCGGCATCACCGCCGCAAACTTTGTCCTTCCAATCACTACCAAAAACGTTGGAGACCTCATCTGGACCTACGAAGAGCGATACCCCGTCCTCGCAGACACGCATCTGCGTATGAAGAGCAGGATTTCGCAATTCATTGAGACTGGAAAGGCACACGCACAGGGAACTGTCGGTATGGTCGAGGGCAAGCTGGCTGATACACGGGAGAACTTGGAGGGCTGGGTCAAGAAGGGCCGGTAAATAATGCGTTATCGAAAGCTCCTCTGGCACAACTACCTGTACATTAGTAGCGGGGCATAGGTGCATCACCATCTTGATGCAATGTGATTTGCACTTTGTTTTCTCCTCCCACTTCTTCTTCATGCTTTCCGTATCGTTCAACTTGAGGCACAATATTCAGCGGGCTTTCCCCCCTCCCCATGTCCTTGGCCAAGCTCGTCTAGCTGCTCCTTCTGAACCCCACTATACATTCGATCAAAGGACGGGCAGATGAGTACAGAAAGCAGAGGTATAGATGCAGATCAGCTTGAGAATAGAAAGAGCCATGCTCGCCTTTGTTGAGTAGGACAAGAGCAACAATGACTAGATTAGAGAGAACCTGCCAGTCTGGGCAAACAGGAAACAATTTGACACAACCTTGGCCTCGATGCGATGCATGGGTTGATGCAGCGGGCGGAATCCTTGGCGGCCAAGGGGCCGAAAGGGCCGAGCTGCAAAGGGATTAGGTAGATGATGGACGATGAGCACAGCAGAAGATGAACAATGGTAAGCTCTTGACAGATGCAGAGGTATCGAGGGTGTGCACCCGATGGGTCGGTGAGTGTCACCCAGCGTCTCGGAAGGGCCGACGCACGTTCTAGGCCACTCAGGCGGTACTGGTAGCATGAGGCGTAGGGCTGTAGCTGTCATTCGACATAGTCGTGGTGGCTGTGGGGTCTCTTGGACAGCTGGCAATAGACAGGCGGTGGAGGTTGGGACGACTGCGGGGTTTACTGGCCCACGTTTAGCGCTCCCGTCGGCGTTTTCGCTATCGGCGTGACGGCCCCCCAAGGCCAGGGTCTTGGGAACGACATCAGCCATTCCGCTGGGTTTCGCCTCCTCCTCGACACGACTCGGGGCGTGTTCTGTAGCGCATCGTAGCGCACCAGCAACCCATTATGACTACCTCGACCTCGGATCCAGTGCCCAAGGACAAGCTGCGACCGCTGTCCAGTGCCACCAATCTCACCGACTTCACACACTCGACTGTCGAGCCTGAGGTATGCTGCTGCTGCTGCTGATGCACATCCTCCCCGCTACCCTCGCGCATAAAGTGCACAAGGCTAACGCAGACACGCAGTCGGAACTGGCCTCGGATGGAGAATATGATGACCTGTACCTCACTTCTCCCTCGTTGATACACCGCGCGCGCTCACACATCTTAGCGAAGTACAAAGCCTCTCGCCGAGCATGTACGAGAACGAGAAGAAGTATGGTCGCACCTACCACAGCTTTCACGCCGGAGGTAAGCGTTAACTCGGGGCAACTTTGCGCACAGTTGTAGCTAATTCATTCTAGCATACCCATTCCCAAATGACGAGGTACGCGCTGCTTGGAAACACCTCTTTTGTTCAATCGGCCCGTCGCTGACTCGCACATCTACAGCCAGAGATATACCGCTTGGACTGGCAACATGCCATTATCAAATGTCTTCTGCACAGACGGAACTACTTCGCACCGCTCAAGCCAAAGAAGCCAAAGAGAATGTTGGACATTGGCTGTGGCACCGGAATCTGGTGTTTTGAGATGGGTAGGTACCATGCCTGCTTTTCCCCGGAGAACCACCACTGACAAGTAGTAGCTGCCGAATTCCCAAACTGCCGGGTACGCGATTCCATTCTTCTCCCTCTACCATTCTAATCCAGCAGCAGGTTGAAGGCATTGACTTGACACCGATTCAGCGAAAAATATCCTACACAAACATCGATTTCTACATGGAAGACATCCTCAGCCCAACATGGTGGTATCCCAAAGAAGAACCTTATGTATACGACTACATCCACACACGCATGTCCCTCGGCATCTTCAACGACTTTCGAGAAATCATACAGAAGAGTTACAACAACCTGAGACCTGGCGGGTGGATGGAATCGCAGGAATGGTTTTCAAAGCTCCAATGTGCCGACGACATGCCCGAAGACTATCCGCTCAAAGAGTGGTCAGAATTAGCAGACAAGGCAGCACATAAACTCGGCCGACCATTACGCATCGCAGACAAGCTGAAGAGGTGGTACAAAGAAGCTGGTTTCGTCGATGTACATGAGGAGGTTTTTGCTATCCCCGCCAATCAATGGCCAAAAAGCGACCGCGAGAAAATGCTTGGCAAGTATTGTAGCTGGAATTTGATGTTGGGTTTGCAGGGATGGTCGCTTGAATACTTTGTCACTGGCTTGGGCTGGACACCAGCCGAAGTCGAGGTCTATCTCGCGCATGTGAGGAACTCGATTGTTGACGAGAACGTACATGCCTATTACAATTTGTGAGTCGGGATATGCAATCAGGCGAATCACATACTAACGCTGAGTAGCTACGTAGTATGGGGTCGTAAGCCTTTCGACGACGAACCTGGCAGCACTACACCAAAACCGCACCACTGGCCACAGCCTCCTGGCGATGACGACTCCATCCGTTGGTCGATGAGAGAGTCCGAAGATGCGTAATCAGCAAAACGAGGTTTGGCGTTTAGGGACATGGGATTCACGGGAGTCATGGCGTATTTGCTCCCGCACACACTGAGGAGGTAATCTCTATTCATTTCTATCTTGCATATTATTGATGGCGGCTTTTGTCAAAGAAAAAGCTTTCGGCATGTATTTGAAGCGTTGGTTTACGGGTCAGACTGCGCTTTACGATGTATGAGGTTGGTATTTATTGGATGCAAGGCGTATCATATCAGTCACATGCAGGCATTAATCATTACAAAGCTGTCACACTCCAAGTACACATTCGTTGATTGCGAGTAGTCATATTCCTCATCGCCTGCCACACCCTTTGTCCAATGTCAGAACCGGAAATTCGTGAACAGACATGGATCTTCCCACGCCAACCCACTTCTGTTTCTGTCATGCCAATTGGACAATCGATTTTCTTCTGGTAATCCATATGGTGAATGTCATACGGAAAACCTCACAGCCCCTCGCAATACTCCTTGGCTCCATAGGACAGAGCCCCGTTCCGCTTTCGCGAAGGACGTTCACCAAGGAGTGCATGGGCGAGATCAACAAAGAACTCCTTGCAGATGCCCTCACGTTGCTCAATGATGCTCTCTGCGTGTACGTCATTCCAGAGATCGACCATGAGACGTCGTCCAAGGCTACCTTGTAGGGTGTTGTTGTACATGAACTGAACAATTTCGGCATTAGGTAGACTGTCAGCGAACGATCGCTCTGCAGTGTCGCTGAGCACGATCCGCAAGGCCTCGTTCTTGGCTTGCCTGTCTTTCAGCTTTTCGGCCAGGACGTAGAATTTGACAACAGCTAGGATATGTGCTTGGAACTCGTACGTTGTCATGGTTTGGAGGGCTGTAGCGTCGAACATCACATTGGTGTAGATGAAGCTGACGTAGAATGCGAAAGTCTGGGGATCGTCTTCGGGTAGCTTGACAAGTCGTTCCTTCTTTTCAATCCAGTTACCATTTAGAGCGCGGCGGAAGAACTCTGAACGTGCACAAAGAATGCCTTCATGGAGTAGGAAGTCTTGTTGAGAGGCATCACAGCCCACACGAACGAGCAAGAACGAAGAAGGGTCGAATCTACAATTGTATGTAAGTCTTAAAATTATTCTTGGGCAGTTGTATAGAATGGTTTACTCCATACGACCGACTTGTGAAGTCTGTACGGCATCTTCGGTCGCCATTGTGAGAAATCTCTTTGATGCTTCAGTATTGTAGAAAATCACAGTTGACGATGGAGGAGTGAGAAGACTGTGAGGTCGTAAGCGTACAGCCAAAGCATCCATAGATTCATTGTTGGACGCCCTGCGTCATAGAAATTCAACGTGACGGTGAACGTGACGGTGAACGTGAGCGCAATTAGGAGACTAGTACTGCATTCCATCTGGCTATGTCTGGAGGCGTAGCGGATGAACCTGCAATGGTGTGTAAGCCTCGACAGGGGCGCTCTGCTTCATCTAGATTTCTAATGACGCAACACCTTCTCACCACAGCTGATTGTGGAGTTTCTAGTACCAAAAGAGGCACTCAATCTACCATAACACTCTCCTCGTCGTTGGTAGAAGCGGGCGGGCTCCTACGAGAAAAATTGAACAAGAGGTAGGACACGTAGGATAATGATCAATGAAGACATATGATGTCTGTAGAGAATTTAAACTCTTATTTATCTTTTCTAATTTTCCCGTTTTGTATGTCTCTCCTTAGTGGCATTGCGGCATACCCGTTCAGCTCGTGTGATGATGTTCTCCCATTGCTTTCAGTCAACTTTCTCCACAATTCGCCTATGCTTGCCCTTTTTGCGGGTAACATGCTGTACTGTAAGCTATACAGGTTGCGGCGGTGAATAGGTGGAACAAATTGTCCGGAAACTAGACACAGCAAGACACTAGGCGAGAAGTAGTGCTTGCGTATGCGATCGCCGAGGTCAAAGTAAGGTTGGAACATGGCACGAAGAGATAATGGGATTGACTGTATGCTTTTAGCTCATACTCAGTATACCTTCGTGCGAATCGACATACTTTTAGCAGCACGTAGGCAGTGGGAGGTGAGTGTACCGAGCCTGCCGTGTTAGAGCTAGCATCGGTAGTATTTTGAAGCTCGAAACATATCCCTCCGGGCAGTCGTCCGGGATCCTTGAGCCGGAGCATGACTGCGAAGAGCGGGAAGTGATTCAGGCATGCCAAACCCATCTCCAACGCGGCCTTCAGGCCAATGACTGCAATACGTGCGCTTGCGAATGTCAGGTAGAAGACGAACACTGTCGGCAGTAGAAAGAATTGTAGTGTGAAAAGAATTGTCCCAAGTAACAGCTGGTCCAAGTCGTAGTCGCATGAGTCGATCCGATTACGGAGAATATTGCGCTTTTTTCCACGGAAGAGGTGAAAGAGCGATATGATGATAGTTAGCTGCCAATGGAAGATGCGAGCAGATGCGACGTAGAATGAGTAAATATGCAACGTCAATAGTGAGACGAGATCTGAAAAGATTGAGATGGGCATAGTGGCGCCAGCAAAAGCTGAAAAGCCGATGATCTGGACGAGCGCAGGCAGATTTGGTCGCAAGAGAGATATGCAGCCTGCAAAGTCTAGTCAGTAAGAACTCTTGAACGACAGTAGAACGAACATACCAGCCCAGTAGTCGATAACCCACAGAAACAGGTCGCCAAGGAATGCAGCCAACTCAGTGTTCAACTTCAAACCTCCAGGCCAACCCATGAGCCACGATATCATACGCCGTAGTCCGTCGACCGACCAGGTGCTGAAAATGGTATCGACTTGAGCCGCCACAAATGAAGCATTCTCGATGATGAATGTTCCGACAGCGATGCCCATTATGACATCATTCGCAACCAGCCAAAGGCTATTGTAGAATCTGATGTATTCTGGGTGACTGTTGGTGATGCTTTCCCAATTGATCTTCCTTCTGCGCAAGGTGAGATACTGGATGGGCCAGTAGCAAGACTGTTGCAATCTAATGTCGATCTGCTGTGCTGTTGCAGAGATGTCTTTCAGGGCTGGCGAGTCAGAAGAGCCTGGCCGCCAATGCAGAACCTGAAGAACTGCCTCGCCCATTATACGGTGTGTAATCAGCCCAAAGATGAACAACTGCGCAGCTATGGGCCATATCCAGACTCTGAATGCATAGTGGAGTACAAGCCAGATGTAATCCCAGAGATCGTTGGCCGACTCAACGACGCGCTCACTGACACTCAGAGCTCGCTTCATGCGTCTGCCAATCATGCCAATATTCTTCTGCAGCAGAGAGTTGAGTTCGTACGAACAGTTCACCTGCTCAATGATCATGGGCAACGCCAGCTCTTTCTGTGTGCGAGGATGTGCAATCACTCTGTGTAGCTCCAGCTTTTCGACAAGGTGTGCTTTCCTCTTACGTTCCCTCTCTTCTGCTCGTTCTAGCTCTTCGGAAGCCACGTCCCATTCTGCGACCTTTGTCTTGTCCCCCAGAGCCAGCGTGATGGGCTTGAGTGAGAGGTATTGCATACGCGTTGGGTGCGGTCGGTCGTAGACGATGACTTGCATGGTTATGAGGGCATCGTCGGGGTGGTGAAGGCGCGGGAAGCGGAGCGAAGGGTCGGTATGGACTGTGAGCAGGTCGGCGCCAGACTGATCGGCTGGCCTCTTGGTATTAACGGAACCCAATGCGCGCACAGAGGAGTGTCCACATCGCTGCAGTAGTTCTTGGATATCGTGGGGGCTGTGTCGCAGCAAGGTTCCCACAAGCAGTGCATTCTCGACCTGGCGCAACTCGACGTCTTGTAGCACACCGACGACAAAGACATCCGACTTTGAGTTTCTGAAGCCCACCAGAACACCCGGCGCAGAGTCCCTGGGAGCGTCTGATGGCCAAAATACGCGCATCAACCCATTGTGTGTGACCATGTCCTCATCCTGCTACCCCGCTAGAAGGAACCGCGACGTTTGAGCTGTTCGCGTGCAGAGATGCCGGTGCCTGCAAGTCGCGGGTGCTGTTCGACTCGGTCAGCGGAAAGCTTACAATCGCGAGGATGGCCTATACTGACCAGGTCCGTCTCCTGTGTTGCGATGCGCACAATTGGCAGTATGAAGAGGAAGAACAGCAGGGAGAGCAGTGCGAAACCCTTGGCAGTCCTTGTCACCACTCCGTGATCCCAGGCAAATATCGCCAACTCGTAGATGCGTGTCACAAGATCCCAACGAGCAGTCGAGTATCCTGCAACGAAGATTCCGATGGTAAGAATAGAGAAAGCGTGCATCTACACCGTCATGCCAAGCGATAGTTCGGAACGGTCTAGGGGGAACAGCGCGTGCTCGGGACTAGCAGTCAGCTATGTGCGCCCAGATGTCTTGAATAGGTCTTGGTTTCGAATCTGTAGTTTGACAGCGGTATGGAGTAGTGCGCCTGCATGTACATGGCGCAAGATGCATCATCGAGCGGTGCTCAGACATGCCATGACCGCGTACGTGGAAGGCCACTGGTGCGAATGCTCGGGATACGCGCTAATGCTAGATTCACTCTAGCCCGTACCGCTTTTGGCCCTGCCTCGACAACGTTGAGCGCCATCACAGAGGAAAGCTTCACATCGACACAGCACAAGAAAAGTCCACATTTGTCAACAAGTGCACTATAACATAGAGATTACCGCGCTGCCGTAGGTGTTACCTTTCATTTCGCTTCTTTCCTCTACTGTGTCTTCACATTGTCTACGTTGACCGCTTCGCACGTGTGACGGGCTAGCATTCAACATGCATCAATCGAGATGGGCGGAGACAGGGAGAAGACCGGAAGCGCCGAGAGGGAGCTTCGATGGGCAGAGGTAACGTACAAGAAATGCGATTTGTACAGCACAATTCACTGCTGTCTAAAGCGCACACGACCAGGCGCTCTGCTCGCGTTGATTGCTAGCGCGTCGCGTTCCTTCGCCCTGAAGTTTCCGTTCACTCCAGTCGCGATCTCCAGTCACGCACTCTGCCTTCTTTCACGAAGCGTCTCCAACGCAAACAATATTCCTTATCTTACTAATTTCCCCAGTCAACTCGGAGTCACAGCTTTTGATCCCGGACAAAGGCAACGAAACAGTTACCCTGGCGACATGACCGTCTGCAACTTCTATCCGCGGAACGCTTGCAAATTCGGAGGTAAGCAACCAAACATGTTGTACCGACTTTTTCCTCACGCGAAACAGATGCTTGCAAATTCGAGCACCCTGGAAGTTCGCGGGATGCAGCCCGAGCGGGAGGTGGTTTTGGCGGAGGCTCCAACAACAACCGCTTTGGTGCTTTCAGTGGCGATCGCTACCGTCCGGGTGACAACAGCGGGTCCAACTCATTCGGGGGTAGCCGCGAATCAAAGTCGTCGACTTTCAACCTAGACAAGGACGTCATTCAAGCCGATCTCAGTAAGGAGCGTCCGACATATCCGCTCTCATGTTATGGCCCAGGAAAAGATGCTCCACGACAGCTTATTGAAGGGCCTGTCGAAATCAGTCCTGAGGAGCTCCGCCTTCGATACTATACGCTACGAGCGGCCGGTAACGAGCCCACGGCCGTAAGTATGGAATCTGGTACTGGTTTCCTCAAAGCTAACAGGCTCTAGCAACAAGAAGAGGGTGCGCTGAACGAGAAGATGCAACTGCAAGTAAAAGCGATATTGGACGACGTCACAGGGGCCATCAGCTATGTTCAGGCAGGTGCCGACGTCCATCCCAATCGCATCGACATCGCCAAGGGCACTGCTTCAGCAAGCGGATCTATAACTAACACGACTGCGTCATCTAACACTGCAACGAATCCTTTCATGAAAGCTCCGTCAAACCCGTTTCAGGCGGCAGCAGCATCTTCGCAGTCTTCTGCGTTCGGACAGGCCTCAACACCAGGATTTGGAAAGCCGGCCTTCGGTCAACCATCTAACCCAGCACAAACTACCTCCGCATTTGGACAGCCATCAAATCCGGGTCAGAGTACCTCAGCATTCGGTCAACCCTCAAATCCGGGTCAATCCACCTTAGCGTTTGGACAGGCGTCGAGCCTGGGTCAGACTACTTCGGCTTTTGGACAGACCTCAAATCCAGGTCAGTCAGCTTCGCCCTTTGGAGCGGCTTCTGCTTTGGGTCAAAAGCCATCACCCTTTGGTCAGCCTTCAGCGCTTGGCAGTGCTGGTAGTGCGTTCGGAAAGCCTGCATTTGGAGCCTCCGGATTTGGTCAGCCGTCGATGCCGGGCGCAGGAAGCGCATTCGGGCAGACCAGCAGTATGGGCCAAGGATCGGCCTTTGGCCAGCCATCGGCGCCAGGTGCGGCGTCTGGATTTGGACAGACAAACGCTCTAGGGCAAAAGCCAAACCCATTCAGCAAACCTGGATTCGGTCAAAGTGGATTCGGTCAAGCGTCTCAGCCAGGTGCCAATACCTCGCCTTTCGGGCAACAAGCTTCGTCTGGCGCATCGCCGTTTGGTCAGCAAGCTTCGTCAGGTCAATCTCCTTTCGGTCAGCAAGCACAGCAGACAAATCAGCCTTCACCATTTGGTCAACAAGCACAGAAGCCAAACCCATTTGGTCAGCCACAGCAAGCATCAACACAGGCACCTGCGCAATCGAACCCCTTTGGTGGAACTGCATCATCGCAGACTCCAGCATTCGGCCAGACGAGCAAGCCCTTACCTTTCGGCACCCAACAGCCGCAAAACAACGCGACGCAGCCAGCAGCTGCTAATCCTTTCCTTAAGCCCCAGACATCCGCCGCTCCAGCAACCTCCACACCTTCTCCCTCTCCTTTTGCAACTCAACCACATAATCAGCCTAACAACCCCCCCGCTTCTGCTCAAGCTACCTCCCAGCTACCTTCAATTGCACAGCCTACCTCGGCAGCACGTCTCCATGTTGAGGGCGTCACACCAGATGGCAAGCCAATCGACCCGAAGGACCGTTACAAAGAGGGCAAACCAGAGGAGTATGATGGCGAGCAGGGTAGGATTTTGGAGGAGATTTATAAGCGCGTGTCGCAACTAGGACGATTTAACGATGATGAGGACATCCCAGTCACGCCTCCGAAGTGTGAATGGATAGCCCCGCTTGCGATATTGTGAAGGCGATGGCGTATGTCGGATGTTCGGATGCATTTGGCGTCATGGAACACGGTAGGCGTTAGGTACTGATTTTGGTAGGGATGTTGCTCACAGAGACATGCGTAGATGATAGATTGAAATGCGGATGGAAGCACATATAGAATCGCATCTGTTATGACCAGATTGGAGCTAACACGCTTATGAATGAAACGATATGGCGTAAGCATGGTCGTGTCATTACACCGTCATGTGCAATAGCAAGAGTATCTGTGTAGCAGCGGGAGGACGATGCCGAAATTGTAGTTGGAGTTTAAACGCAATACTTGATGTTACAATGCAAAACCCGTTCGCTGTGACTTTGTCACTAGTACCAAAGACATCAGCATGATCAACTTGAAATGTGTTTGGTATGAAATAGACAATCGACAAATGTCCGCTTTCGTAATGACACGGCAGAGACCAATCTCGTAATGTACATGTGCGTCCCATTCCACCGGTCCAGCGCGCGATACTGCCCATCCCACCCGTGCATGTCTTCCTCAACGTCTCCCTCACAGTCTGCTGTATATTCGCCATTCGGTGGGTACCTGATGAATTCTTTATCGCTTCTTCGCATCGACCTTGTCCTCGAGGGTGCGGACATAGCCTTCTATCCGTTGGACCGCGGATTGGAGAGCCTGTTCTCGTTAGCCATGGCCCGCTTCACCCAGGCGACCCCCATATATCGTTGTTTCATCCGCAAACATGTGCAGAGAAGGTAGATGTGAATGACGTACGTAGATGTCTTCGGTCAAGAGCTGATTTGACACGCGGTATTCGTCAATGACATAGTAGTACATGCCTGCACCGGATGTCGTCGCACCGAGAAGAAACCCAAACAATCTATCGTATGTTAGCCACATCCTCCTGTTCCAGTGCGTCACCAAAAAGTCTGCTGCTTCGCCTTCGGGTTTATCTGCTGGCATACGACAAGCTTCCAAATAGGTGTATAGCCATCCCACCTATGGCAACATCTGCTAAGATAACTGCAAGAGGAGCACTCACCCTCCCCTAAAGGCACCAACGGGCTTCCTGACTGGCGCAACAACAGCATCCTGCCTCAGTACCGCGCTTGTCTGGAATCCGCGGGAAGCAGCCATGGGTGATCGAACGCCGGCGCGAGCGGCCGCCCTCAAGAATTGAGTTGCCATTGTGTCCTTCGCTATCGTTTGGTTCACTCGTATCGTGGTTCGAGCTTGGGTCTCGGTCTGCGAGCGTGCGGATGGATCGTGGTGGTGGTGACGCTCGTGTGCCGGCCGTGACGTTTGTGAGCTACTCTCCGCACTACAAACAAGCAAGCTCGACTCGTCTGACCCGGACCCTTGCCAGTCTGTTGCTTATGTCAGCCACCCCACCTGTCCCCGTTGGGTAGACTATGATCCTTGTGGCGATAGTATTTTGATGCAAGACAGGATGCTAATAAAGTGTAATAAATCTCAAGGTTGCTAATACGACTATAGGAAGAAAATTCTTGTCGACTTGCCCTTCGCGTTCTGATCGGTCTCGCGGTCAGTGCCGTTGCCCAATTTCTTTCTAGAGGACCTCGGATAGTTCAGAGTAGAATGCAAATATCTTGAGGACGACACATACGATAGATGCACACAAAGAAAATGGTAATGAGATCTGCACCAATATTGACTTCGTAGTCTACGCAACGATATGCAGATCGATTCCGAAAATATGTACCAATAGTAACCATTAAATTATACCGCAACGCAAGTAGGGGGTATTGGAAAATCTATATACTAAGGAAATGAAGGTTTGGTGATGGGCAAGGTCCTCGTGCAGTCGGTCAACTTGAGCAGGTCTTTCTTCTCTACACCCAACAAACTCATCCTGATGTACGCCTTCGCATAGTCCAGGTTCCAATGGACCTGGTTGCCGACATAGAGTTTCCACTCATCGTTGATCTTAGGATGTTTTGACAGCACCTTGTCACTTGGGAGTACAAAGATCTTTTGGTCTTTGGAGATACCCGCGGGGTTGTTAAGTGTGTCATTGTAGAATTCGACGTCCCAGACACCAGGAGTCGTATCGAGAGGCTTCTCCGCGAAAGTAGGGTCGACAAAACGTTGTTTGGCTGTTGCATGGGCGCCTACGAGGGCTGCAAGATCGTGTGCTGAGAAACCCTTCTGTTTGAAGAGTTCGATCATCTTGTCGGCATCATCTCGAACATCTGGCAGGAGACCAGTGGGCGCAGCCTTTGTAGCGTCTTTGCGGCCAACGAACGCAAGTACGCGTGGACCCTTCGGGCATGAGACGGTGGCATGATTATGCGCATATTGGACAAGATCGGCGTACCCAACCTTGTACTTGGCCTGTACACTACGAAGTAGTGTGCGAATATTTTGAAGGCCTTTGTTCTCTGGCCGGTCCTCTTCGCCAAAGTCCATCAGTAGCGATCCATCGGCACCACCGTTGGGAGCATTTTTGTCCCAAGACCCAGCATCATGGAAACCCATACGAACTGCAGCGCGGGCATTATCGTTGCATTGTTTGTCGGCTCCGACGAAATGTTTCGTGAGTTCGGCAGAGACATCATACCCTGAAAACTATTAGTACTTCGATACGATCGAGAGAGGTTTGTCAGAACTCACAAACACAGCATTTGTCGACGCTGAACAACGAGCATGTCGCCGGCTTGTTCGCCTTAGTGTTGTCGATAGGCGATCTCTTGCCAGACAGAACATCAGCAATAAGCTGTCCGATACCACTGAGATCCCCACCGCCAAGGATGTTATCGATGAGGCCCGGTGCAGCTTCGCGTTGTTCCAATGGAGTAGATGAAGCTATGGAGCACAAAGCGAGGAGAGGCAAAGCCAGAGATTTACTTAGGACCATGTTGAAAGTGAAAATATGTAACGACCGAAAAGAGTATGAACAAATTACTAAAGGAGCCAACGAGAGATGGGCAACTATGAACAGGTGAGGAACGAAAAGATAAGGTGTTTAGAACATCCTTATATCCCGCGACAGTCTACTACAGCGGTCGTGTACAAACCCTAAGGGCTTCAGCCTGGTCGATCACGTCTAATACGGAAGCAGGGCACAGTGCAGTCGAGGCCACGGCAAGCCACGTCGACTAGAAAGATACAGCTCGGTCCTCGAAATAGTGCTCTACCCCTGCAGCTTCGAGCCAAGCCAGCCGCTCTAAGGCGATGTAGTTAAGAGAACATGGCCAAACAGCTACCAGCTGATGGTCATGACTACGATATGCAGGGCCGAGCCTACACTAGTGATCTTTGGAGACAAGTGATCTTTGGAGACAAGTAGTCTCCGGCTCCTGGTGAGAAGTGTTGGCAGTCCAATAGTCGGCGCAGAGTCCAGAAGGAAAATGCCAAGCCTCCGAAGCGGCGCGTTGAAGAACGGTCTAGCTGTTGCAGATACTGAATCCTGCTCAACGAGTATGAGGTGAAGCACTCGCCATTCGACAAGCAAGTGCAGGCCATAGCGAGCGGGCGAGAGCCTGCAATCATCGCATACTGCGCAGTTGCCACCGATGCGCAGCTGCGGAAACGCTCCTTGCCGAGAAAGAGGATACTGCATCGCCATTCTCCATCACCACTAGCTTCTGTACTCGTTGTCTAGAATGCTACGAGGCAGCGATCATGTCGTATCCTCTCGTGAAGGCGCATGATGGCTTGCCCAGACCTTGCTGGACTGGGTACCGAAGCTCGCATGCTTGCTTGGCATGGCAAGGCTCAATACTCTCCGCATGAAAATCCGGCACCTGAACCCACGATCCGCAAAAAGCAAGCGCATCACTTGCCTTGCAGTCCCGGCTACTGCCATTTGTGAAATGACTAAGCGGTACGTTTGTGCTTCAGCTAGTGGGAGCCAGTACCATCAGCTGAGACTCACTTCCCCTTACCTATGTTACGACTCTTGAGAAAAAAGTGTAGTGTCGAGCTGTCTTGCGACATCGCCTTAAGCAAGCGACATGGGAACGTCGACGTTCGTACCCAAGGATCGAGTAATGATAGCGATAGAAAAGATAGCGCTGAGTCTTCAATCACTTGACCATACGTGGAGAGGCTGAACAGGGAGATCGACCACACTAGCCTAGTCGAGCAGCCGATGCTGTGGAGAGCCGGAGCCGTCACGAGACTTCCAACTGTGTGCAACAGCATCGGCACAGCAGGTCAGACAAGTTACTGCCTTGCAAACTCTACTGATTCAGCAAGGTGGCTTGTTCTGCGACTGATCTTGGTACCCAGGCCCTAGCGTCCTCTGTTGAGAATAGTGTAGACTGGAACACGCCTCGACGCGCATATAGAAACTGTCAAAAGCGAGGGTCTTTCCGGTACTTGTGCTGACTGCGCTTTACTGCAGGTACCACCACAGGTAGTAACAGGCTGAACGGTAACAAGAAAATATGCTAACAGTTTGTAAGCCTGGCACTACGGCTCGGAACCAAAATGCAGGGCTGATCCGACGGTCGAGCGTTAGGCGAAATGCTGATATCGATCACAAAAGCCACAACTAGATCAGACCGCCCTAGAAAGAATTGTAACAGTAGAAGTCTCCAGATAAGGAGAGCGAGTTTGTTGACCTTTGCATACCTAGGTATCGTTTGCGTTGCCTTTCTCGGCGCACAAAAGCATGAGCTCCGACAAGGTGCTTACTTGTTTGTTTCGTCTTGACCCCAGCCCCGAAGTCAACAATGCCATACCGCCATGAGATCCAACAGGAACCATACCGAACGACATTTCAGGAGCATCGCATTGTTGGAGTCGGAGACGAAGCAGCAACTGCAGCGCGCCCTAAGGTAGCGGCTTTAGCGGAAATAACGGTCTTGGCAGGCGGCATACGGAGGTGCCGATGAGCGGAGGTCTGGAGGTGTCTCGCCCTTTCTGATCTTCATGTATCAACACCGTGGGCATTCTCGTGCTTCCCGTCTCAGAGTCCAAACAACGCTCTTTGACGCCTACTGTCACTTTCCTTCTGCGATCTCGCCACTCTAATTTCGAATCCGCGACCACTATCACGTCATGCACACAGATGTCGCGCCCGGAATCCTCTGGCAACAGTCCGCCAAAGCGTCGACGTACGGTTGAAGGATCGTGCTGGCCTTGCAAGCAAAGACGAGTTAAATGCGATCTTCAAAAACCTATGTGCCGCCGATGTTGCATCTCCAAAACAGAAGATTGCAGCTACGACAAATTGCTGCTTAGATGGAAGAAGCGGCCTGCGAAAACCGTGCCCGAATGTCCACCACAGCTGTCCATAGAGCGTACCCTCAACAGCACCCACCTGGCAGTCAATGAGCGAAGAGCTGTAGAATATTTCAAGGCACGGTTATGGCCACTATTCTCAACTCTCCACAAGCCAGTTCCCCCGCCAGTCGCGCTTGCCATGCGCTCGCAACCGGTTCTCCAGGCCTTATGTGTATTTGCCGAGGAACACCGGGCCCTACAAGAGCGAGGATCTTCAAAACAGACCATGGATAGGAGACGCCTTCATTGCTTGTCAACCATCCGCGGTCAGCTTAGTAGCGAGCATTGCGAGAACGCCTCGCTCTCTGCACTCCTAGTCGCAGTGCTGCTGTTGTACTTCCTCGAAGGCTACGTCAATTGCATGTCGGGTGATGCTTCGACCCGCTGCCACCTCGCCGGAGCGATTGCAATTATAAACGCCATGGGTGGTTTTCAATCAGCGTGGTCGATATCAGACAGGATCACCAGAATGTTGCTCTCGGAACTAGCGTCTACTGATCTGACCGATGCCCTCCTTCAAGATAGAGAACCCTCGTTCCCACCCACCATTTGGGAGCACATGGAGCCTGGATCGGTGTGGTGGGAATCTATTCCTGGTACTAAGTCGCTTGGGTCCGTCCTGTCAACTTTGTCTGAGATGAGTATCTACCACCACAGGCTTCAAAATGGTATAGAGATTTGTGTTGATAAGGTGCAAGCGTTTGAGCGCGCGCTTCAACCTACATACTCTATGCTGGCATCTCCTCATAGAGATGCGGAACAAGACCTTTTCCACCCGGTCGCAACAGCATCGCTATCCCTTGTCCGGTGTTTTCAGCACGCTGGTCTAATATACCTTTACAGCGCTATACAAAACATCCCAGTCAACCATTTTCTCCTCCAGCAACATGTCCATGCGTGCTTAGAGTGCATACAAGGCATGGATACAAGATCTAGAGCGCAGAACTGTACTCTTTTCCCACTGTATGTAGCTGGCGCACATTCACTTTTGGAAGCACACCGGAACTGTGTCGTGAGCACGCTTGAAACCATACACAAAAACCTGCGATTCGAGTCTGTCTTGTCTGTCCGAGAAACTTTACTGGTACTGTGGGAGCCCTCTCGTAGTCCTACCACGTGGAGCGGAAGTTTCAAAAACAGTGCTATATGCACACTAGTCATTTGAACAGAACTGCCCTGTTCTTTGCTGTCGTAGAAGATTACGATCGCTCATCCCAAATGCATGCGCATTGCACGTCAACGAAAGGACGTCCAGAGAGCGGCCAACCACGATACAATGGATTTCTTGGTCACTGTAGTCCATCTTATTCAACCATCGGTCCCGTACTCCTACTCAACTAGGGCCTCCACCTCAATTTCGATTTGCATGCCTTCAATACCAAGTTTTGTAATCTCGACACATGTCCATACTGGCCGGTGATCAGGCATAACCCGCCGCCAGCCTTCGATGCACATGTCAGCAGACTCGTCGATGTTTGTGTGGTACGATCGGATAGCGTAGACGTTTCTCCAAGACAGATTCTTTTCGACCGACTGAAGAGCTTTCTCAATATTTTCCAGCGCTAGTTCGACCTGCTTTGGAGCATCCGGGGCTACGTTTCCTTCCGCATCCCAGCCACCCTGACCTGATATTCGCACAATACTCCCTACTCTGACAGCTTGGGAGTAATGGAAAGCCTGCGACTTCGATTCTGTACCCGCATAGTTTCCGAATGTTGCAGGCATACTGGAGATCTTGACGTAGAAGATACGATTAGATCGTACGGAATTGACTAAATATGTCGTAAAATTTGTCAAGCGTGGTATACGTTTGTCTGAAGTTGCTTTTAACACACCTATGCAGCTGGCGGCTTCTTATATGCCCTCGCAACGTATGGGGCATGTTTCTGCTGTATGGGTCAAGTATCGAGTCAACGCAAAACAGCTCTGATCCACTTCGCTGCGCATTCAAGTGGCACGCATACACGGGCTACTTCATAACGAGGACAAGTCCTGAACTAAGACCGAGTTGTTCATACAAAAGTCCACCGATTCGAAATTGCCCGGAATTTGCCTCACTTTGGTATGGCGAGTTCGCTGTCATTGGGCCGCTATCCCCAGTGTTTTCGATGCAGCATCTTTACGATCTATATTCGATGCAATCAGACAGGTTCTCATCGGAGATACGAACAATCCCACAGGGCCAACGAAATTTCCCGAAATGGCAGGTTCGCAGGCGTCATCTTTGCCACGAGGTGTGGATCCGGGGTTTAGCGTATCGGTATCTCACAGCTCAGGCTATGCCAGGTCTGGCAAGTACAGCGTCCAGCTCTCTCGACCCACATTTCTTGCAAACCTATGCAGGCGACATTGCGCTAGAGATGTAGATAGCCACCAGTGGTGTCATTCGCCGTTGTCAATGTCTATTTCCAATACTCTAGCATTTAACGTGTCTTGTCTTCTGCTTACGACAGTGCCGAAGTCAGTGTGCAAAAACACCACTATCACAGCGCGGATATGGTTCCATCTGAGATTGTGTTTACGCCTCTAGGCTTCGCGACTTGTGTGATTCTGCTTGTACTTTCACTACTATGGCGGGGTCAAAGCAATAAGCGCAGCATTCTCCCTCAAATTCACGATGAGAAACAAAAAGGTGCGGCCATCTAATCATCTTGCTCAAGTGGACGATACTGACCCTCTCAAGTATCATCCATACCGTTCAAAACACCATTGCCTAGACCAGCGGAAGGCTACAAGTTGGAGCTTACAGACCCCAAACTATACCGACCGTTCCGCCATGGTCCAAACTTCGTTACTATGGGCATTCGAAAGATGCATTGGAACGAATGGATTGAGATGGATTCAAATTTCATCCCTTATCATGACGCCAAGGTACGCGAGCTTGAGAAGGATGTTGCATCTCGCGTGCAATATGTCGATAATGAAGTCACACGACTAGCCTGCTTTGAGGTTCTGGAAGAGTTGACACAGTATCTCACACATCGCTACCCGGAAGTCTTTCAATTGCACGGCAACATCCTCCGTAACACGATTACTGCTGAGGAGTTTCAATATCCGGCATCAAACCCGACGGAGGCTATGGTCACAGCAGCAAAGCTTGTGCAGGACGATCTTGTAGTTATGGTACTCAACGACGATGGCCACTACCACATAGATGCCGGAGCGGTCTGCTTACCTGGTTTCTGGCGCTTGACTGAGAAGTACCGCATGTCGCTCGACGAGCTTCACATCGAAGCTGGGGTACCTCATTATCAAGAGAAATTACAAAAGGCGATGAACCGGTTCTTTGCCAACATGACGTGTGAAAAACCTGTCATTCGGAACAACGTAACAAATATACCCGCTCCGCTTTACAAGCTTCCCATGCTGATCAACTGTAGTTCTTCATCCAGCTCGATGACGGTCTGGCGTGGTCCCACCGTATGGGCGACCAAAACTCCAATACAATTGCCTCATGGGCTACCGCCAATTCCGAAGGTCTTCGTGTTGAAGACATCCACTTCCGCTCGGAAAGGCAATCGCTTCGACGTCTTCCGAAGTCCAAGGCCCTACTCTTTACAATCCGAACATACTTCGAGCCCGTTACCACTATCGCGAAAGAGCCGCATGTTCCAGGACGGTTGGCAGAGGCGATCAGAAGTTGGGATGAGACAGTCAGCTACTACAAGGGAAGAGAACATTGGGAAGGATTGCTCCTTCCATATCTAGATGAAGAACATAAGAAGCAGGTTGATAGTGGGGTGTTGGAGAAACCTGAAGGTGAATTTCCCTTCTGATTGCCTTATGGGTGTTTATGTTGGAAAATATTCTAGCACTCATACCTCATTGCCAAATACAGGCTTTCGCTGCTACCTGAATCCCCTTGTCACTGAGTCTGCCATCCTTATCCAACGCTCAGCGAATCAGATATACGCTTGCAGTATTTGATATATCTAAACAAGGAGATCATCGTTATCAGTACGTCCAGGGTACATCAGGTCAGCCCTTCGGAACTGAATCTTACATTATCTTTGAGTTAACATGAAAACCAAAGCGGCGAAGCTGAAACCCTGCTGAAGATGGGAAAATGTATTTCACAATGTTCACAATCACCATAGGTAGAATTTATCGACTTACGGCACGGCTTTGTAATCAAGTGCTGCATATTTGCATCACTAGGACTAATTGTGATTTTTCAATCAAAGGAGCCTAAAGCCGAATGTATCATCCGATAGCGAAGACAGGGAGAGATTTAAGCCTTAATGAACATTGTAAACCTCATCAGGAGGACCATCAAACTCTGAATGTAGTCAGTAGAATATCCGGCCATGCTTGATTGTATAGGTGTCTTTTCGGTACTTACCTTTCCTACCAGAAATCGCATACCACAGCGCACTCAAACAAGCAAAACCAACCAACACAACGCTAGCGTAGTTCATGGAGACTTCCGTAACAGGAAGTACGGTTGGCATACTAAACAACACCATCTCGAAGAGGATCCATGCGATGGCACCAATATTCGCTGTAGTGCCAGTCAGGCTGCCTACGTTCCATTTTGCATGTGAGACTTCCTTTCTACCGGTAAAGAGAGAGATGGTGATAGGAATGAGGTACCCAATGGCAAGTGCGATGACGCCCACGGATGCGAAAGCAGTGAAAGCGCTGCTGGAACCGAGGTTAATCAGACCAAGCAACATTTCGACGGCTGTGACGAGCGTGAGGGAATATATTGGTCGGTCGGCGAAGGTGCGTGTCCAGAGGCTAGCAAGGGGAAGCGCTTTGTCGCGACTGAACGCCCATGTGCAATGGGAAGCAGCGTTTGTAATCGCGATAGCGCAGAAGAGTGTAACGAATAGGATCATTATCATCAAGACTAAGGCTCCAGTCTTTGATCCCATGATGGAGTATACGACGTATGGTAGCGCTTGGCCATAAGGTGCATTGAGGATGTCTTCGAGTGGTGGAAGCGCGAAGCATAACGGTAGGACGAACAGCAAGGAGGCAATGCCACCAAAGGGTATGCACAGGGCGATAGCGCGAGAGACTTCGACCTTAGGCTGGGCGCACTCTTCTGTCATCGATGTTACCATGCCGATGGCAGAGAAAGCGTACGCAGGTGGGAGGAGGCCGATGAAGAAAGTAAAGCCTGTTCCCCAACCTGAGAAACTACTGTCGTAGTTCCCCAGGGCGTAAGAGGCAGAATGACGGCCTTTCTGTGCGCGAACCAGTAAACCAACTAGCAGTGCCATGATGGTAACAAAGTTCCATACAGCGGCCACTGAGTCCACGTACGGCAACAGTTTGTCTCCGAACGAGCATACAAGGAATACCAACACGCACAGCGCATAGAATATGAGCAGCAGTTCCCAGTCTGATGCCATCCACTCTGGGTTGTGAACCGAGATCGTCGCAGCGATGAGAGAAGCGAACCCAAAGTTGACAGAAAGCGCAATCGTCCAGTTTCCGATGAGCCAGAACCAGCCCGTCAAGAACGACACAATCTTGCGTAATTCTTTGCGTTCGCCGCATAGCCGATATGACCAGTAATATACCCCAGATGATGTCGGATACCGAGATGCTAGCTCCGCGAGTGAGATGGCCACGCAGCCGTTGAAGAAGAGTACGACGAGGACACCGACGAATATGGAGAGTTGACCGCCACCGTAGATGGCGCTCATCCTACAACGTACGCGTACGAAGTCAGTTTATGTCTCATATGCAGTTCGTGTAGGGGCAATTCTCACAAAGGACCACCAATACCATACGGCACTGCAACGATGGCAAGGCACATCCCCAGAACAGAGATCAATGACCGATTCTTCGTAAGCTGCACATTGTAACCCAAATGAACGTTCTCAACGATGCCTTTCTCACGGGTAGTCACAGGGCCTAGAGAGTTCTCGAGCTTTTTCTCGTTGGTAGACGATAACATGATGAGAAAGAACTGAATCCCGGTTTTGAAGGAGTAGCAGAAAGAGTGGAAAGTTGAGGGTCTGTACGAGGTGGTCGAATATAGCCATCATGGGCAGTCCTAACTGATCTCGTACATCCCTAGCGTATCTTTGTCTAACAACGTGGCGTTCGCCATGATAAGATATGATGATGGTCCATATCTACAGATAGGGAATATCATTCATGCTGGCTCTTTACCCCAGATTACCCTTGCATTGATTACAGCTTGAGCATGCACTGATCGCACGCCTGCCGACTCGTCACAGTGTCACGTCTTGATAAGCGATGTTGGAAAATCAGCTATGTCTCAGTTTGGAAGGATGATAGGCCTCTGATCGTGTGGGGCCCCAGGTTTCGCGTGCAAAGCGTACACATGTGGTTCTTGTGGAGTAAAAGCTTATCTCTCGCCAACCTGTCGGTCACCAAGCAGAAGCGTCTCTGAGCTCCGAACAACGACTATACCGGAGGAAGAAGTTTGGATGGCAATGTCAAAGCGCGTGATGGCGTAGTCGAGACGTCGATCGGAAGTTTGAGCCCTGAGAGTGGAGCTTTTGCCTTAGCATGGTACTATACCGAAGACGGCAAGTTGACAGGCAAAACCGATCACGAAGCTATTGAGGCTGTCATATCACCTGAATAGATCACTGGCTAATGTAAACATTGTACATATTCCGGAACATCAGAAGAATGATGTCAAAAAATAAAAATCCTTTCAAGAGATTTGGGTCTGCTGCCGCGCTTCGTAGTTCGAATGTGCCGATCGAGACCCGCATGCTTTACATGTCGCCAGCAACGTGACTTGATCGAGGTCTTGTCTGCTTTGGGAAGTGCGATGGGCATTTCTCATCGGATCAAGACGATGGTCATGACGAGATCAAATTATGAGACAAACTTCCGCTCAGCCTCGGTGCGGGGTTGCCTTGATGAAGTCCTATTTGATGAGCGCAAGATATGAAAGACCTCAGCTGCCCAACATTGTTCATATGACATATCTCCCATCATTGAATCCGTTTTTCGCTACTGTTCAATACTCATTTTCTCGTATCCACATATACCAATATGGCACAATCAATTGAGCTTACAGCCCCCAATGGCACGAAATGGACACAACCTACTGGTAGGCGTGAGGGAGCTCAAAGTCTAAGACATATGAGGTTGACACCCATTAGGTCTCTTCATCAATAATGAGTTTGTTCCTTCCAAATCTGGCTCCACGCTAGAAACGATAAACCCATATGATGAACTCGTTATCGCAAAGGTCTCCGCTGGTAGCGAAGATGACATAGATGCTGCAGTCACTGCAGCACGCACAGCGTTCAAGTCGTCAGCATGGCGGGATCTGTCTGCTGCCGAACGTGGCCAGCTGCTATGGAAGCTCGGTGACCTTTGTGAGAAGAACAGCCATATCCTTGCTACCATCGATGCCTGGGACAATGGCAAGCCCTACCAGCAAGCTATGGACGAAGATGTAGCAGAGACTATCTCGGTTTTCAGATATTACGCTGGATGGGCGGATAAGGTCTATGGACAGACGATTGAGACAAGCAACGCAAAGCTGGCGTATACGAAGCATGAGCCTCTTGGCGTGTGTGGACAGATCATACCGTGGAATTTCCCCGTCATGGTACGTATCTCTCCAGCCTTCTGGAGCATCTCCGAAGCTGATAAACACTCAGATGGCTGCCTGGAAGCTCGGCCCAGCACTGGCTTGTGGTAATACTGTTGTGCTTAAGCCGGCAGAGCAGACACCTCTCAGTGCCCTGTTCCTTGCGAGTCTAATCAAAGAGGCTGGCTTTCCTTCAGGTGTAGTCAACATCGTCAACGGCTATGGCAAGGGCGCTGGTTCGCGGCTTTCTGAGCACCCACACGTCGACAAGATTGCCTTCACTGGAAGTAAGCAATGGACTTGTACGAACTGCATGTGAGGCATGCACTGACTTGGTACCCGCACCTTTTAGGCACCATTACTGGCCGGAGTATCATGAAAGCTGCTGCCAATAACCTGAAGAACATTACTCTGGAGACCGGCGGCAAGAGTCCTCTTCTGGTATTCGGCGACTGCGATCTCGACCAGGCTGTAAAGTGATCGCACATGGGTATCATGGGTACGCCCTCTCAACTTCCAGACATTTACTTGCTGTACAGGGACTGACCAAGTTACGCAGGTAACAGTGGCCAAGTTTGCACCGCGACGTCGCGTCTCTTTGTCCAAGACACCATCTATGACAAGTTCCTCGAAGCTTTCAAGAAGCAGACCAAAGAAAACACAAAGATTGGGTCGCAGTTTGATGCTGACACCAACCATGGACCTCAGATCAGCAAAGCTGCTCAACAAAAGATCCTATCCTACGTCGATACAGCGAGATTGGATGGGGCGGAGCTCATCTATGGCGGCAAGCAAGACGGCGTCCCAGAGAAGGGATATTTTGTTGAGCCGGCCGTCTTCGCTAATTGTAGCAATGATATGAGGGTTGTACGAGAAGAGATCTTCGGTCCATTTGTGGTCATCCAGAGCTTCAAGACAGAAGACGAAGCGGTCGAGAAGGCGAACGATACCGAGTTTGGTCTAGGTGCGGCTGTGTTTACCAAAGATATTATGAGGGGACACCGTGTTGCAGGTGCAATTGAGGCGGGTATGGTTTGGGTAAGTCATGCCCGCGAGATTCTAGACTCAATTTTTCTTGATGGGACAGGCGCTAACAACGATACAGATCAACAGTTCTCAAGACTCGCATTTCGGTATCCCATTTGGTGGATACAAGCAGAGCGGTATTGGTAGGGAGCTCGGAGCGTACGCGTTATCTTCCTATACTCAGGTCAAGGCTGTACACGTCAATCTGGGGACTTTCTTGTAGGCCAATTTGTATCATGTTATTAACCTTGTACATACCAATCTGACATGACTTCATGTACGATGCCCTCAAGATGCAAGACACGTCCCTCGTATATAAATCGAAGATATCGCGAACATGGAGATTGACAAGAGAGTCTGAGCCACAGCCTAAAAGTGTTGTGGATAATAACGCAACGTGTCTTACAGTGCCCGTGCGTTAGTTAAGCACTAACGCCAGTTAAGCACCCCTAACAACTTAATATAGTTAATAAAATAAGGTTATAGAGCTACTATAAATTATAATAAAATTATATAAAAGTAGATTTATACTATATATAAGTCTATAAAACTTTTAGCTTATTTAGATATTTTTTTAGATAGTATTATAAAGTAGTCTTATTAACTACGTAGTAGAGTAGCTAGTATAACCTATACAGCTCCTACTATAGTTATAGTAATACTACTACGCTTTTAGTACTTTATAGCTAGCTTATAAGCTTTTAAAGCTTTACGCTTACTTAATTTAAGTAATTATATAGCTTTAGCAGCGTTATAGAGGCTTTTATAATACTTTTTTTTAGCTTTTTTTATAGCTTTCTACTTTTTAGTTTTCTCTTAACTTTTCTTTTACTCTATACGCTTTATAGCTTTAAGTTTTACTTTATAATTATAAGCTACTTTACTTACTTTAGCTTACTTAGCTTTTTAAAGCTTTTTAAGCTTAGCTTATTATTATTATTATATTTTATTTTTCTAAACTTATTTAATGCTTATAAGTAACTACTAAATAGCTCTACTATAATACTTAAGATAATTCTTAAGCTATAAGGTATAGGATTTAGTTTCCTACTTTTTTTTAATAGCTAAGAACTACTTAAAGCCTTAGAGTTTACTATAAAAGAATATATTTTAAGCTATAAGGTAGTATAAACTTTATTAAAGCTTCTTAACCTCTTTACTACTTTAATTTCTTACTTCTTAATATATAATTAACTTTAGCTTAAGCTAATTTTTAGTAGAAAGTATAGAGCTTAAACTAGCTTCTAAATCTAACTTTTCTTTAGTAAACTTATTAAGTATAACTATTAAGTTAGATAGGTGTATACTAGTTACTTTAAAAGACTTTTTAATAAAAAGAAGTTTAAAAACTTTAATTTAGGACCTCTAGAAGAGTAGAAAGAAGTTTCTTTTAGTTATATTAAGTAATCTTTAGTAGTTTTAAAGGTATTAAGTTAACTTTTTTAAGTAAGCGTTTACTAAAAGTTTAAATATTACTATATTAAGTAGTTAAAGCGTATAGGTAGCGTAAAGTAGGTATACAGCTAATAGAATTTTATAATTATAATAATAATTAATAAAGTTTATTATAATATAAAATCTATAGCTATTAAAGAGTAGTAATTAATACTTAGTTAAAGTATACTACTAAGTTTCTCTTTTAAATACTTTCTTAAGCTAATATAATCTAATATTATTATTACTTTAGCTAGAGGGCAATAATATAGTAAAGACTAAGTAGTTTCCTACTTATATAGTATTAACTTAGCTAGTTTATATAGCTTTATTAGCTACCTTAAAAATAAGAGAAGGACTTAAAACACTTCTATCTAAATAAATATAAGCTATAATAGTAATCTACTTACTTAAGCTATTTTTAAGTAATTAGCGTACTTCTTTTTTTATATAATATATCTTAGAGAAGATATACTTTATTCTACTAATTTTTCTAAGTTAAAACTCCTTTTTATTTATATTAAATATATAAGATAGCTAGATGTTATACTTCTTTATTTTTTTAATTAAAAGCTTAAAGTATAAGCTATACTTAGCTCTTAAATTAGCGTTATAATAAAGTTTACTTAACCTCTTACTATATACTAAGATAAAAGAGTTAGAATAACGCTAGAGAAACTAAGTAACTTAGGTTTCTAAAACTTTTTTTCTAGCTAAGTTTATAGTAAAGCGTTATATTATCTTCCTTAAAGGTAGTAAACGTTATTTAGTAAGTATATTAACGTATTATAGAAGCTCTTTTTTATATTATAAATAGAGAAAGAGGTAGCGTATATTATAGGCTTTAGTTTCGCCGCAGTATTATCTTATTAATATTATTTATACTATACTATACTTTTTTATAATTACTTAGTATAAGAAATTATCTCTTAGTTTTTATAATTTAATTTTTATAATTACTTCTTAAATTAGATCTATATTAGTTAAGTTATAACGCGTTAAAGTTTTGTTATTAAGCTAGTAAGAATGCTTAACTAGCGTTAGTGCTTAACTGACGCACAGGCACTGTAGGCGCGTCGCGTCGCTTAACGCCGCGCCCTGCTTATCTCCGCACAAGCAGCCGCCACGCAGTGTCGCCGCCCAGAGACAATCACTTCAACGCTTGTATCAGCACTTTCTCAACCGGTCCATACCTATATACCAGTCACTCTTCTAACGCGACTGGTCTCGCATGCGCAAAGCCCCACAATGGTCCTCGGTTTCGAACGCATCAACGAGCGCACCCAACGTCCAAACGCGCACATAAACTTCATCCGCACCCTCCCCGGCTCGACATCCTCCATAGCAGAGAACATACTCAACCGTGTTGCAGCAATATGCTACCCGTTCATGAAGTCGCACATGATTCTCGTTCAAGCTCTCGAGGAGTTTCCTTACAACACCGAGTTTGTTGGTCGCAACTTCAATGCCGGCGAGGTCATACAACTAGTCCTCCGAGACCGAAATGGAAGATGGTTGCCACAGAGGATGGTGGAGATGGTCATGGTGCACGAGCTTGCCCATTGCAAACAGATGAATCATTCAAAGGCTTTTTGGAAGGTCCGAGATGAGTATGCAGTGGAACTGAGGGCACTTTGGGCAAAAGGATACACTGGTGAGGGGCTATGGGGTAGGGGTATAAATTTGGATACAGGGGCCTTGCAGGCAGACGATGGTGAGGCAATGGACGTGCCTGAGCATCTGTGTGGTGGCACATATGGACGGAAGAGGAACAAAAGGAAGAGAGGCGGAAAGGAAAAGCCTGCACTGAGCTATGCAGAGAGGAAGCAACGGAGAATCGTTAAGAAATTCGGGGCCGGAGGACAAGCATTGGGAGCGGACGACGATACTAAAGTCAAGCTGGAAAAAGGTGTGCCGAAGAAGGGCAAGCCTAGGGTCGCCGGTAGCGCACGAGGACGTGATCTTAGAGCAGCAGCAGCGTTAGCACGCTTCGATCCGGTTAAGAAAGAGGACGTTACTATCAAGAAAGAGGAACCTTCATCAGACAGCGACACAGAAGACGAGTTTGTCGAAGGCGATCAAGACGGTGCAGCGTTGGACGTAGACGGGAAGAGCATGTTCGACGATAAAGGTCGCGCTCTCATCAAGATCTGCGAAGACGATAACGAAAACGATGGTGATGCAAGAAGAGAAATGGATGAGATTCAAAAATTTGCGCCGCAGCCCAATTCTACGGCTAAGTCGACACTGGCCAGAGCCTCGAGCAAGCCACCAAAATCGCTGTCGTTAAAGATGAAACCTGGACCAACGAGTACCTCACGTTCGACTGCTGCCCCTGCTGCCTCAACGCCACTATTGGATTCGGAACTCTCTCAATCTGAGATTCACAAATCTCGGCATGACCCTGATACTCCTGCTTTACGACTTCGACTATCACAAAGCTTTCCCTGTCCTGTGTGTTCCCTTGAAAACGACGCAGAGGCGCTGACTTGCGCTGTCTGTGCAAACGTATTGAAGGAAGACTCTGTTCCTGATTACTGGCGATGCAAGAGCGCTGCTTGCGAAGGAAGTCAGTACGTAAACGCTGGTGATGCAGGCGTTTGCGGTGTCTGTGGAACGTTGAAGAAATAAGGTGAAATCGGTGCAGCGTGCAAGTACAAGAGTATTTGTTGGTGGCGGCAGCAATGGCGGGATGACTATGATACCCAATTTCTTTCAGTATTTCATTTCGCCTACAAAACGTACGAGGGCATTTCAAGAAGATCGAGTTCCAATGTCATAACTTCATTCTGTGCAACAATCATACGCTAAACCGACAGTGGGTAATCACAACACCTGTTCCGTGGTGGTCGACACCAAGCTATGCATAGTAATAACAAAAACGCCTCTACCATCCCTGCTTTCGCAGATGTTGCCAGTCCTACCTCGCAATCCTCAAATGTGAACCCCCCACACTCTTTCTAGCGCTAGTTGGCACACCCACATTCCTTCCACTATTCCGCCTCATACTTTCTAGCTTGGCTTTTAACTGTTCATGAATTTTTCTGTTCTGCGCCCAGCCATCAGCTAGCTTTTGCATGCGGATCGCAGCGACAACAGCGATAATCGCAGACTTGAGCTTGGGTCGGCGGTCGTGCACCGTAACGTCGGGGGTAATACCCATCTGAGAGATGAGATTGAGATCTTCTTGATTACTGTGAGATGTTAGTGGCTGTGTTGCAGAACGAGTCAAGTAGAAGAGTCGAGACATACCATTCGTTGTAAGTTTGAATCTGCATCAAGAAGAACTTCTTTTGGTACCCAAGGGCTTCACGGAACGCCTCTGCTCGCGAGCATCGTGCGCGGAGGAACTGGATTTGCTTAGCGAGACCGTTGATTTCCTTGATGTGGCGTTTTGTGAGGGTTTCCGCCTGTTCGTCGAGATCAATCGCATCCTGGTTGGCCTTTTGTTGGATCGCCTTCGAGGACGCTTGTATGAGACGCAGCTGTGACTCTTTTTCGCGAAGATGTGACTGCAGGTCTTGTAGTTGACGTTCAAGAGCTGATTGCTGATTGCGCGTTGCCGACTTGGCTTCGGATAGGAGTTTGCGATGTTGAGCGTCCTTGTCGCGGATTCGTGATTCAAGATCGCGAATCTTGTTCTCAAGAGCAGCCTTCTGTTCTCGTTGTGCTGCACGGGACTCAGATTGCAAAGCTCCATTCTGGCTCTCCTTGTCACGTATCATAGACTCCAGAACGGTTATCTTCTCCTCAAGCGAGGCTTTCTCCTCGGCGACTTCGTCGGCGTCTTCTTGCAGAACTTCTATCTCGGCTTCGAAGTCGTCCTTCTCCCGACGGGCGTTCTCCCTGAGCTCCTCCAGAGCTTCCAGGCGCTCTTCTGCTAGTCGTTGCAGAGCGTCAACTTGGCTCCTCTGTTCATTTAACTCCTCGCGTATATTCTCAAGCTCATCATCACGCTTGCGTACTAGATCCTGCATGACGTCGATCTGGGTGTCGGGCTCGTCGGCGTGGCTCCTTAAGGCATCAAGCTCAGCTTCGCGGTCGGATATCGTTTGTCGTGCTGTATTCAGCTCTCGTGTTCTGTCACTAAGGTCATTCCTGAGTTGCTTAAGCTCTTGGAGTGTTGCCTCTTGCGCTTCAATCTTCTTTTGCAGACCGGCCATATCACGCTCACGGGCTTGCAATGTTGATTGCAAGCTGGACAGATCTCGAGACAGCGCATCCCGTTCGCGTGTGATCTTCTGAAGTGCTTCAATCTGTGTGTCCTTGCCAGACACAGCGGACCGCAGATTACGCATTTCGCTCTCGATATCTTTACGTTCCTGTCGAAGAGTGGCTACTAAGGTGTCGCGGTCGTTGTTGCCTCTGCGTAAAACCTCCACTTGCTCGTCTTTGCTCGACATCTTCGAGACCAGGTTGTCGCGCTCGCGACGAAGATTCGAAAGTTCGCGCGAGAGGTTGTCGCGTTCCCGTGTAGCGTTGTTGAGCGCCTGCACCTGAGCGTCTTTGCTGTTTAGATTTAAACGAAGGCCTGTCAGTTCTTGAGTCGCATCATCGCGCTCACGTCGTATCGTATTCAATCCATCTAGCTCGCGATCCTTCTGATTGAGATCACGTCGGAGCTGTTGCAACTGTTGCTCGTATGCGGACGCCTCCCGTTGTAGACGTGCAATCTGCTGCATCGCATCTTGGTGTTGCTTGCGGAAGTCGTCTAACTCATCGGCTCTTGATTCAGCGGCGTCGACTCTCGACTGCAATAATTCGATCTCAACGCCCTTTTCGCGAGTGATCTCAACCACCTTTTGTCTAGCATCATTGGCGGATTGTTGCGCTAATTGGACTTGGTTGTCTCCCTGAGACTCTGCAAGCTCCAGGCGTTCGCGTAGAGCATCCATCTCAGCTTCCTTTTCGTTCTGAATAGTCTGAAGGCGCCGCTGCAGCTCCCGGAGTTCGGTATCCTTCTCACGCTCCATCGAACGTAAGCGCTCCTCAACCATGGCAATCTCACGACGTCTTTGCTCCTCTGCGGCTTCGAGGTCGTTTTCGGCTTCGTCAAGGCTTTCGTTCAGCTCTCGTATTTCCTGATCCTTCTCGAGAGTAGCGGAATCAAGCTTGGATTTAAGGGCGTTGATCTCGGCCTCCTTTTCACGTTCGACTGCGCGAAGCTGCTCCTGGATATGCTCGATCTTCTCACTTTGATCGGCCATTTGACGGTCCTTTTCCGCAAAGTTATCTTCTTGTGACTGTTTGGCCGATTGCAACTGTGCTTCCAACTCAGCAATGCGTTCAGCTTGGTCCTTGAGTTGGCGGTCCTTGTCCTCGTCGTCAGCAGACTGTGAATTTTGCGCGTTCTTCAGCTGCTCCTCCAAGTCTCTCATCTGCTCCTCCTGCTCGTCTAGCAACTCGTCTCTTCTTGTGAGCTCCGCTTGTGTGTGCTCCAGGTCTGCTTTGACCTTGTCCAACTCTTCATCGGCACCCTTCTCTTCTTCAAGCTTCCTTTCAAGGCGCTCCACCTCGTCGGCACGTTCGTCGGCCAGCCTTCGAAGCTCATCCATCTCTTCGCGCATGCCCTCATCGACGTGCCGCCGTTTGACCTTTTCGGCGTACTCCCGTAACTGCTGCTTGTATGTGTCTAGCTCTTTTTCGGCGGCTTTGAGGTCTTTCGAGTAGTTCTTTATATCGCGCGCCATTGTGACCTTCTCCGACTTAAGGTTGATGTTCTCTTCCATGGCCTGTCGGTTAAACTCAGGGCCCATCTTTTTCAGATTCTCTTCGAGGAAATGAATTTTAAGCTTGAGACCGAAGTTCTCCTTGTCGATCTGCTCCAGACGCTGCAATTGTGTTAGGGTACTCCAGGTGAGTGAGTGCGGCTAAGCGGGGATATACGTACAGCCTCCTGCTCCCTCAGAGTAAGTACGTTGCCATTTCCGCTGTCCATCTCGCCCTCGGCCCGTCGCGGTAGCGCTGTAGGTGTACTCATAGTACTCGAGTTGGGGTCTGGCAGCTGCGTCCGGCCATCGACGGAATCGGCGAAGGAACTCGAATGTATGTCGAATGTGCTCGCCTCGGGCAGCGGGGTGTTGCTGACTTGGAAGCCTGGCTTCATCGCGGCGGGTGTTGTGAGCTTTCCGTCCAGTAGTCCGTTGACCTGGCGCGTCCGATTCGCGGTTGCGCTCTTCAGCATGGGCGTGAACTCGTTTTTCGCGTTCAGCTGACGTCGGGTAGCAAGCGGCTGTCGGGGTGTTCGGGCGCCGCTCATCTGTTTGAAGAGGTTGTCGCGGTCTGTGGGCGCATGGAACGTCTCTTCCATGCTGAACGAGGGCTCGTTGATCGTGAAGCGCGTCGTGTCGCCAACCTCTGTGCGAGGTGTGTCCGGTAGGTGCGCCATGATATGTAATGTACTCTAGCAACGCATGAGTGAGAGAAATAGAAAGGTCTTTTGGGGCGCACCTCAGTCGTGCGAGTGCCTCATGTTCCACCTCATGATAGTATGGATGTTGTTTGTTTGGGGACGCTCGGACCATGACAGGGATGCAGCCCGCCGCTAGCCCATGTAGGCAAGAAGCCGAAAAGCGTGTCTTCCCCGTATGTCACGTTACGTAGGCGCCGCCCGCACCACAAAACTCACTGTAGGCTTCGTCTTTTTGGCTTGAGGTAGATCTATATCACTTTTTGGACAACAGCCAGCGTACAGACCTAAGCTCTCGGGCCATCGGATCGAGACTACCTTCACAAACGTCTGGCCGGATACAATGGACGGCCCTCAGGATGACCTCAAATGGTTTGGTCAAGGTTTCGATGGCTTTCCTAAGAAATTGCCCGATGATGTCGTGGAATACACCGTCTTCATCATCGACTCTAGGCTCTCGGACATCCAGACAAGGGAAAGATTACAAGCCTTCCAACGCGCCCTGACCATCTTGGAAAAGAGGTTCCTGAAGGAGTACATATGGCAGCGTGATTCTCTTGCGCTTGACCTAGTCCGGGAAGAACATCAGTGGCTATTAAAAGGACGATCTAATTACGGTGATAGCGTCGCAGACGAATGGCTTATAGTCTACTTCCTGCGTGAGTTAAGCAAGGAGTTCAAGGATGCATGGATCCGCATTTATGACAGCGACGGAGAGTTTCTTCTAATCGAGGCTGCGAACGCGCTACCAAAATGGTTGAACCCTGAAGTCGCCGAGAACAGAGTCTGGATTAATAGTCACCGCCTACTGATAATTCCATTGGGGAAGGAAGAAGACCCTGCCCCTTTGACGCAAGTGCAGGCTTTACAGATTATTGATGAGACACCAGCACGTCCACAGCAGTACGGCAAAGTAGAGAAAGAAGCTTTTCATCGCTTAGCTGGGTATCCCGCTGCGATATCTGAAAACCAGCACCATGCGACACTTCCACTACCAAGGAAGGTCGCGCATATCTTGCATATCAATCCATCCTATATCGCACCGGTGGTCGAAGCCTTTTATCTCCGAGATCCCATCTCCATCCGGCTTATACAACCCGAAAAGTCCAGAATTCCTCTCACATTCCCGCCGGAAGATTTTGTCGACGTCAGCGTTCGCTTTACCAAAGTCCTTTATGCTCAGCTCCTAGGCCAGCACTGGGAGCCCCAGGCGCCATGGGATACAGCACTAGAGCAGCTCGCTAAATCTGGTAAACCAATTGAGAAAGCAGAAATCGGGATCAAAATCGCAGCAGGCATGCAAATGCTCCTGTCACACTCCTTGTATGCCTCTCGTAAACCGACGCGCGAGATTGCGCTTCTTTTAGAAGATCTGGAGAATGGTGACGACACACTTCCCACTGACACCGAAATTGCTATTTGGCCCAAACGTGAAGACGATGAGGCATGGCTCAATATTGACTTCTCGGAGTTTGAGAAAGAGCTAGAAGGTAAAGGAAGTGGCGCAAAAGGCGCGTTTGGCGATAAGAATGCGGAGGAGAATTTGAAAAAGATGGTTGCACGCTTCAACGACTTCCTGGCTGACAATGAGGCTGGTGCCGAGGGTGCCGATGGAGGCCTGGACCCCATGGATGTAGACAACGATTCAGATGCTGGTGACAGAGGATGGGAGGATCCTGAAGATAGTGACTCTACAGCTGAGAACGATACGAAGAGCAAAGGCAAAGGCAAAGGCAAAGCGAAGACCAGCAATGGCGAAGATGATGCCGGCACAGATGAAGAGGAGGACGCAGAGGCTGATGCGGAGTTTGCGGAATACGAGCAAGCTTTCGAAAAGTTTATGATGTTGCCCGCAGCTGAGAAAGCCATCCTCACTGATGAAGCTCGTGCGTTAGCTCTCGAACAAGATGCTGAGAAGGAAGAAGATGAGGAGATCCAAAAACTCACTGAGATGATGGAAGCTGAGCTCTTCAGCCACGGGGCACTGAACGTCAACTCCAAGCCCGACCACAAACCAGGAACAGGGCTTTTATCTGATAGTAATGGTAAAGGCAAAGGAAAGCTCCAGGAAGTTGCTGAGGAGGATGAGGACGACGAAGACGATGAAATCTTGGACGAAGACTACAACCTTGCCGATAACATGTTAAAAGCTTTCAAAGGCCAAGCTGGGATGGCAGGCCCGGCAGGCAACATGATGAAGGCGATGGGCGTGCAATTTCCGCGGGACGCTGATGATGAGATCAAGGGTGGTAGTAGCAAGAGTAAAGGGTTAGGCGGAGCCTAAGGCATTTATTCAATAATGTTGAAAGCGATGCTCCATGGTGGAGTTGAAACTCCGATCGGGAGCAACAGCGTGAGCGTCTGTGGTCTTGCGCCAATTATCTCAAGAGCTACTCAGATTGCAGCCTGTATAAATTACTTAGCCCAATGCCGGACCGTTGTCCTTGTCTACTTCATCCATCCATCCATACTTCTGTCTGTTCACCGCCAATTCCAGTGTATCTATCTTTTCTTTCTTCTCGTTAGTAAGATCCGCCTTCCCCGTTTCATGCAGCTGTTCTTCAATCAATCTTCTATATATCGGTGAACTCTCAGCTACCAGCTTCCGTCTTCTTATCATAATCTCCGTCTGACTCTTCCCTTCGATACCCGCAAGTACCGCTATCTCCTTATCATCATTCCCTCCTACATAGAGATTTAAAATCGTTTCGTCTTCCTGGGGAGTAAAATCACGATGTGGTTTGCGCCGCCGAAGGGCAAGAACGTCTTCGGGGACTTTCTTCGCGGCCCGGAGGGCTTGCCATCGAGATTGAATGGCTTTTTCCGGTATGTTGATCTCCTGGGCAATCTCATTGGGAGTCAGCCTACGGCGTCTGCCATCAATTATTGCGGAATCGAGTTCGGCAGTCCAGGATATGGAAGCGCTTTCGTCCCTCTGTCGGATAATTGAATAACGGTGTTGTACAGATTGTATGGAACGGTTCAGACTGGTTGCTGCTTCTTTGTAAGTTTTCTCTTCTACTCTGATAAGGTAGAGGAGCCTATTCTCCTCATCATAGTTCCAGCGACGCAGCTCTTTAGGAGGTTTGAGTTCAAGTGATTTTCGGTATGATCTAGTATTCATGGTAAGATAAAAGATAGGTAGAATTATATCGGTTGTTTTGTTGATTGCAGGATTTGTTAGTAGTTGGTCCACCAAAGGCACGATAATGCCTGTATATATCTAGAGGCGAGAGTGGAATTCCATGGCATGTGACATTTCTGTAAGCGCTATCTGCACGGACGACGATTAATCCACAGTCTTTCACTATACTGCTACCACTATTACTCTTTAGCTCAAGCTACAGATAGAGCAGATGAATGGGAGGCAAAGAAAAGCCAGAGTCGAATAGCGATGGCTCAGAATACTTTATCCTTCTTGAACATACTGGATTCTCAATAGATTCAATACACATATCAGAGTCTTTGCATTCAGTTGCCCATTCCATGATTGCACCATGTCATGCCCACCAAAGCTCTGCGTAAAGTCAATTTCCTACTGAAAGAACTGTACCCTCTCATGTCTCTAAAACCTTGAACTCCATCATAAACTTCTCCGCCTCTTTATCCATTTCTTCCTCCTTCATTTTGATGTTTGACTCCATCCTTCCAAATACTATCATAGATCTCTTTAGGAGTTGTGTTTTCACTTTCTCTGCACCCAACTTCGTACCCCGTTTCAGCGTATACAAAAATCTTGATATTGGAGGGCTTTTGCTACTTCACCACAAAGATAACGCATGAACTGCAACATACTACTGGGAACAGCCTGCGAACACAGAGGTACAAAGTCAGTGTATGTCTCATGTGCGTCTCGCACAATCATGACTTATCCACCTCCCAACGTCGTCATAAACAGCGGCCCCCCACTCCCCGATCTGTTCCATAACACGCGGATTCTACTCGTAGACGAGATATGGTCCAACATATGCACGGTTCAAGAACCCGCATCGAAAGACCACCTCACTGGTTTGGAGATGTGGTAACTGAACTAGGACAAAGTAATGATCCCCATTCTCGTAAGTGATGCCGTCCTTATTGAGGTCGACAACGTCAGGATCGAAGTTGGAAAAGGTACCCCAAAAATATGCGGACAAACCATGTATCTGTTCGTTGTAGATCTTGGTAGATGGTCGCAGAATGTTGAGTTTGGCCATGGTAGATTTGTTGACTATTGCTCCAGGAATGGCGCTGTGGACTAGTTTGTCTGATTGATTTTTGCCTTCACCATCTGACGAAGAACTAGAAAGTGCGGGAGAAAATGTAATCAAAATCGGAGGATATATATTTTGGCATGGATGGTGACAATAATGGTCGATAAAATTGCTGTGGCGGTATGCGGTATTGCTAATATCGAAAACCGAAAGCCTTTTAGAGGCCGGCGAGTCGCTATTCTCAGGTTTTGTCGTTCAAGAGAATTTTGTGTTTAGTCAGTCGCAATGGGAGGGAAAGGCCAGCTGACAATCACGATATTCAAGGTTACGCGACAATTAGGCTCCCTTCTCTAGATAAAGTTTAAGTCAAGCTAGGAGATGTAACTGCGACAAAGGGTACATTAATTTGAATGGCCTAACCTTCACTGGAGAACTACGCTATCTCCTGTCCTATTCCCTAGTACTCTTGTCCTGCTGCCTCTCTTCAACAGATTTCAACGCAAATGCTCGACACTCTTTTTCTCCGCCATACACTGGAGGGAAAGCGGCAGATGCAGGTATGCGAAGAGATGGTGAAACATGTCGAAGCATGCCGTGTTTATCGGGATATACTGGTATACAACAAGATTGCACGAAGGACAGATATAATTAGGGGAAGCTACTACCTTGAGACTAAAGATGGAACTGGTTGCAGATGACACCTGACCCGCTCAGCTCTGCAAACATATACTGTTCCCAAAGCCACTGTCACCGAATGCCAGCACAAAGAGATAGTTGAAACCGAACGCTGAAGCAATGACCTTTCTAATCTTCATACCGTGGCTTGAGTCTGACATCCAACTTTCCTACAGTCATCGTAAAGCAGTCTCGACTCTCGTTCTCGATAGTGCTTCCATTTTCACCATCCGCAAAGGTGATTTCGAATGATCGAACTAAGTTAGCCGTAACACTACGTAACTCCATCATGGCCAGCTTCTGGCCGATGCAGTTATCTAAATATAGGTGTAAAAAATCAGTGTATGTCTTAGATACAGTCTGTACAGGCATATCACTCACAAGGTCCAGTAAGGAAGGGTAGAAAAGCGCGTTTCTCAATAGTGGCATCGGGCCTCTCATCAGTCCATCGCTCAGGCATGAAGGAAAGAGGATCCATCCAGTAGCGTGGATCGCGTTGCAAACTATAGATAGGAATCCAGACGTTGACCTTGCCAGGTATGTACGTGCTGTCAGGTAGAGTGAGACCTTCGGGCGGCGTCTCACGCTGAGGGCCAGATGGAGTAGCAGGGTGTAGGCGTAAAGTCTCGTTGATAACCCCATCTAGATATGCACATTCAGCAACATCTTCGACGTCGAGATGCGCTTTCTCCGGTTTAATCGTATCAATAGTAGCGCGAAGTTTGGCTTGAACTGTGAGATTCTTACACAACTCATACAACAGGTAAGATAGCGTCGCAGAGACAGTATCACTAATTCTCATGTTAGTATCGAGAAATGAATCAAGCTACGCGGAGGCCGTGAGAGATCTACACAAGTCACTTACCTGCCAGCTATGATAAGAAGTCGTGAGTCAGCGTTCATTTCAGGGGTTACCTGGTCCTCATTCGGATTTAGCAAACAAGAGAAGACGTCTTTTTCTTTAGGAGTATTCTGTCATTTGTGAGTAGATACAACTGAGACGAAAGTGCTGGTTTGGAGCCGCCTACCTTCTTTCGCTCTTCAAGAACTTTAGCGCTCCAGTCCATGTGCTCAAAGAGAGCCTGGGATCCAATTGGTGTTCGTGCGATGAGGCGCATAGCCCAACTAATATGTGCAAGGACACTCAATGGTGCCTGACTATCGTGCAACAGCTTGATAACATGAGCTTCTTCACCCGACTCCACCATGCCAAAGCTGCGGTTGAAGCCGATATCGCCCATTACATCAAAGCTGTAAAAGTTTACCCAGTTTGTAATTCGCACTGAGGGTAATGTGGCTTGCTCTTTGAGTCTCAATATGAGAGCAAGTGCATGCCGGTTCAAACGAGGCTCGTACTCGCGGAGGGCTTTAGCATTGAACGCACGGTCCCAGACCTTGCGCCTTTGTCGGTGTTCGTCCTTGTTCGTTGTGAAGTGAAGAGCCCGGCCTGCAACTTCCCCTGCAGATTTGGGGATACGAAGTCAGTGTACGTCTCGCATGCATCTCGTACAGGCACCACTTACCTGTGGTTGAGTAAATAGTACTTTTGCTGCACTTGGAAGTGGGTCCATGGACCAAAGCAATTGCATCCGCACAGTAGATAGTGACCTCTACCAAGGTAGATATACGAAGTCAGTGTATGTTTCACATGAATTTGTACTTCCAAGACTCACCCCGAGGACCAGTTCTGATGACATCCACTCCATAGTGTTTGTGTAAAGACTCAAGCCATTTGAAGTATTGAAAATTGGTAGAAAGAACACCGGCGATAATGCCGTACGATTTCGAGAATCGTGCAAAAAAAGGCCCTGGGATCTAAAAGTATCAACAAGAAATACTTTGCTGATATTCTCAAATGCTTACCTTTCGCAAGCGATGATACAACCCTCTATGTAGCAGTATACTGGCCACCAGGATGGCGAAATAGAGCGAAGCTGTCCTTGCTGCGAGCTCGATTGCAATGCTCACATTCCTGGCACTCGTAGCGGCTATATATTCGAAACATGCAACACTTCCAAAAAGGATGACCCAGATGCCGATGACTATATGGAAGGTGTTATCCCACTCGCCACGGTGAACAATAGAATGGGTGATCAGTGCTATCAACGCGATAAGTGTCTTGTTTGACACAGGATCAACGAGGTTATATGCCATCATAGCCGTTGGAAAGGGGGAGGAAGAAGTGAGAGAGGCATTTGAACAGCGGGGAACTGGTTCAAACAACGAACGGCTGATCAGCTGAAGGCTGGACCCTGAAAGGCTGAACATTGAAAAAAAGGCGTCCAAGCAGAATGCTGTACAAATGTGGGCATTAGCACAACGGTGACAGATCCGAGCAAGCAGTGATGTGAAACCGCGGAACCTATGACTTTATGAGTGGTCATTGTCTTGCGGCGCGGTCGACACAGTAAGCAATCCCTCTGTGATGCCGTGCTTCCTATACATGTTGAAGCGCCGCCTACGAATACTCAGCTTGCAGGGATCACATCTCTGGAACAGGGAGACTAGCCAACAGCGTTGAACCATGTGGGACCGCTAACCTGATTGCAGGCGGCTTAGGGAATCCCTTGCACAAAGAGCAAAAGCTGCACCTTGTTTCTTTTCGGAACCCCAGATCGCCTTACTCCGATCGGACGCAGATCTTCCAGCCGCAAGATAGATCGCATGCTGTTCACTGTCAATACAGGCGCACACACTACCTGTGGGCGCTTCTGTTGTTGACAGCAACTAAATTCAACGGCTTTCCTTCAGTTTGGACTGCGGCGGTACAATCTACCCTCCTCGCTCGTGACTGGTTGATATACAACGATAAGGCTATAAACATCTGGAAGCCTCGAATATTTCTCGCACTTGTCGCCGCCACACAGTCATCAACTCTTCTCCACTGGATTGAAGATCATCACCAGCCGACCTGTGACTGTCCAAGTCCTTCTTAGATACCTCATAACTAACGGAGATGACATCTTGTATGGCGACTCGATAGTGCAGTTGGTAATCAAGTCTGGATGCATCGGATGCGCCTGGCCGATCAGCTAGCGTGCTTCGAGTGTCTGCAAGCATTTGACACCGCATATGAGAGATCGTGTCTGCCACTCTACAAAGCCGTGGTCGATCAAAAACCCAACGTATGTTGAGGTGTTCAAGACTTCCCACCTTCGTCAAAGGGTCAATCCAGGAAGCGATCCATGGTCGCGGTCCATCGGTCTTTTCTGCTTCCCAAGACAAACATTCTTTGACCAAAGAAGGAGCTACGTCATATCGTTGATGTAAACTGCTGATGCTAAGATGTAGCCGCCGCAAATCCATGCGCGAAGTGGATAGTAGAGTACAAAGATCCGTGAAGTGGTTGTAAGCGAATTGCAACACCAGCGAGTCTGTTGACCTGCGAAGCACAGGATAATGAGCTCCTATAGTGCCTCTCAAATTGCTCGCCTCCACCAAACCAAGCTTGATTGACGAGATAAGCTTCAGGGATGTGGCAGGCCTGTCGCACAGGAACGCGAACGCAGTCGGGACGCTAAAGTCTGCTGTAAAGCTAAACAGATTTTTTCCGTAGAAGGACTTCCTAGCTTCGTGGTAAATTTGTCGGCATGTTTGCAACAGCCGAATTTCTATCCTGTGGCTGGACGGCATATCTGATGGCATTCCCAGTTGGTACGTCATTTGGATGTTCCTCAATTCCCCTGAATCGTTCGCCGCGGAGGTCAGACCAATATCGAAGCGAGGTATGTACCAAATGCGGCGCGTGGCGCGTATGCGTCTCAACGGGTAGTTCTTGTCGAGCTGTCTACAAATCCCAGGGCTACGGCTAGCTGCGACTTCCGATAGGATGGCTGCACATTGGACCGGAATATCATCGCGTACAAGGACATAATCATAGATAAGATCTCGGATCTCCCGTGGGAGTTCAAGGAGTCGCGAAGCCATAGTGTCACAAATTTGGGGCCTTACGATGTAGCTATCGAGGATAAAGGCGCATAAAGTAGATTAGGAGAGAGGTGATGACGCCTGTCGTTCCAAGAAGCGTTAGATCAGTTGGCCCGACCTCGGACCCTTCTATGTGTTGCTGGCTAGGCATTTCCCCGCCTTTCTCTCCCTCCGAGTAAAACGACCGAAAGTGTGTATTTCACGCATCGACATGGATACACGAATCGAGTAGACAAGAGACTTAGACACAGTTCAAGTTGTGAAGACAGCCGGTGGGTAACACAGCACAGTTCAATGTATCCCACCTCCTGCAGGCTGATTTCTATCCCGACGTCTGTAAACAAGCTTTGAGTAGCGTTCTTACGCAAAGATATTTGAGTCAATGTAGTACAGTGGCAGACCTGTATCTTTGTTTTCTACAGAGAGCAGAGACTAGAATTACTTGCATTTGCTTACACATTGTTTATCGGCGTACATCCCAAAGAACCCGGCCTGCATCTCCTTGGCTTGACTGCGCCGGACGCATTGTGAGCATATTTTATGGGCGATCTGGTGGGTTTTCTTGCATCGCTTACCACTCTAAGAAGAAGACGGGCAAAGGCAGACTTATATGTTGTTGCTGATCCTTAAGTGTTTAATCAAGAGGGTAAAAGGCGTGTAGTGAACGATGTCCATTTTGTGAAAACTATCCAAGTCCGTCATTGACCATCACTTCAGGCTCCGTCCCAATTATCACTACTATTTCCAGCTTCCCTCCTACCCCTATCTTTGGTAGGTGTCGAGACCTTACAAGTTGGCAGCCACGAAGCTACGGAGCGTAGCCTGACCAATGTTGGCGTAGACACCAGGTGCGTTGGGGGCAGCGCAGCCCTCACCCCAGGAAACAGCACCGACAAGGACCTTGGTGGACTTGTTGACAATAGGGCCGCCAGAGTCACCCTGGCAAGAATCCTTACCACCCTGGGTCAGACCAGCGCAGAACATCTGAGTGGTGACGGCCGATGTGCCGTAAGAGGCCTGGCAAGAGCTGCGAGAGACAACAGGTACGTCAACCTTGAGGAGGTTGGTGGGGAGCGATTGACCGCCTGACGAAGTAGTACCCCTGAATTGAAAGTTAGCCATGCATTGGCGGACAGATATACTTGGTGCAGAAGACTGTCTTCGAAGATGGGTGGATCTTGTATGCACCGGAAGGAGACAGTCAAACTTACCAGCCAGCGACGGTAAGGGTAGTTCCGGCGACAGGATCAGATCCCGATGCGGGAAGCACAGCGTACGAGATAGTGGAGCTCGTTGGGATAGAGGTGGCGAGCTTCATGATAGCAAGGTCACCGTTGTAGGTAGATGCGGTGTAGCCGGGGTTGACCTTGATGGAAGAAACGCGGGCGGTAACGCCACCTGAGGTACGGCTCTGAAAACAGCCTGTTAGCCTTGATGTTTCTTTTTTTCCATGGGTTTGCGAGAAGTTGCATATATTCACTTCGATACTGAAGGAGGACTTTGAAGCATGCTGAAAATAAACAAAAGATGGATTCTCACCAAAGAGCCAGCGCGAATGGTGAGGCTGGATGCTGTTTGTCCGACCGCGCAGTGAGCAGCAGTGAGGACAGTGTTGGCGTTGAGAAGTGTTCCACCACAGAAGTGGCTTCCACTGCGCTGGAGGGAGACAATGAAGGGGAATTCGCCAGCGGCTGCGGCTGATCCACCAACAATGTCCTCCTGGCTACCATTCTCCCAGTCGGGAATCTCAGTGGGATCCTGGGGGATAGCTGCTGAGAGAACCACGGCGGGTATCGCGAGAACGGTGAGGAGGTCTTTGATCTGCATCTTGAATGAAGTTGGCTGAGACGATGGCGGGACTGGAGGTGGAAGCGAAGGACTGCTGGTCTCTGGTAAGGACTGGCCTAAGAACGAGAGGCGAACCGCCTCCTATTTGTACTCAATCCGTTCTTCTACAGGTCTGTGTATTTGGTTTGGATGTGTACACCAGCCTCGCCACCTTGTCGTCCTGTAGTTCAGGTGAGCTGGAAATACCAAGACCACTAGAACAGGGGAAAGCCGATGGTCCTTCCACATGCAGAATGGAAAAGGCTGGGCGGAGCGGTGATTGGTACCGTTGAAGTTACAATTTCCCTCTATAGCCTAGTACTCTTCATGCAAGTCATCCGCCAAAACGCTGCTTATCTGCTGTATAATTATGGATACCTAAAGACCTCGTGTCCAACGCGAAACGGGAAGCTGTTGTAGCACGCTATCTTACCATCGATAGTGTATAGTGGTGTCTCCGGCCCTAGGAGGTATTCTGGCGAGTTTGGCCGCTAGTGGCTGCTTTCACATGACACTGTTTCTGAATTCCTCATGGCATCGGGATCGAGTGAGAAGATACTCTTGAGACTTGTTTGGGAGACGACTTTGAGGCAATCTGCAGCTGGTGAGGAACGAGCCCCTTGCCTCTGCTTTCATGCTTACGGTCACTCCCGAATGATCTTCTTGTGGCTTCACTACGGTTATAATCCTGAATGGGGGGCTACACAATACCTATCATGCTTGCCGTCCAGTAAGACACCGACGGACAGCGATATGATCTAGCCATGATCAACACAGGCGACTAAAGGTGAGATCGACCATGGTGTACAGCGGTGGTAATCTCCCGCGTGGGCCCTCTGCCAAGCATTACCAAGCTTCCGTTTATATTGCCGCCGTGGGTGTGATATGCGAGATAGTAAATGGTTGGTGTGGAAGTATTGTTGTTAAAGCAAGCCTGTCCTGAAAAGGAAGTTACTGTTGATGGGGAGACTTGGCATGCGGGCCGGCCCCTGTAATTCGCCCGAGACACTTTGACCTACCTAGTTGCGATCGCCAAAACACCACACTTGTGTGGAGGCGGACTCTGTGATCACACTAAACGAACGGATTAAGGCCTGTTAACAGTAGGTGGCAAGATATCCACCCCACCGCGGTATCTACCGTTGGCAGGACTGAGCGAGGTGTGCCTGCCCTGGTCTTCGAGAAAAGGGTGAACCTTCCAAGGTTGGAACGAGCAACGCATCTCTTTCTCCCAGCTGACATGGCTACTCGCAATCCGCGAAGTCGACACTTCATACATCATCAAGTTCGCGTAATGACAACACCCGTTGGCTGCACCGTGAAGTATCACCGTCCGTCGCTACTCGAAAGCTGAGCTAGAAACGCTGACCCATCTTTATGTGTTTGCTTGCAGGGTTCCGGTTGAAACCAACGGCACTTGACTGTGACCATTGCAAAGTTCCAGCACCAGTGGCATATACTACCTGCTTTACTATGGTGTTGACAAGCTGCTCTCGACACCATAGCTTGCCTTGTACGCATTCCAGTATTGAGATGAATAAGATGCAAACGCTTCGCTCTTTGTTTCAGTCTATGCTTATGATTGTCTTTACTGCCGTTCTCTGTGTAATCTCAAGATTGAACAAAGTTTCCTTGCACCCTTGGTGTCTGCAATGTACAGAGAGTTCATACTTCCAGACGGGCTCCTGAACAAGATCTTAGTCTCGTAATCACTGAAGACGTCCAACCCCACATAGCTGAGCATCTCAACACGAGTAACACAACTGTCGTCAACTTCTACAAGAGTGTTGGTATACATGACGTCATATACCGGGTTTAATATCATATCAGCCTAATTCAGTATGCTTGCTCTGTAACATATACCTTTGCCAGCAACCACCGCCTGCTCTTGCGTAAGTACAACTCTTCGGAATAAACAGATATCCTAGGTGGATTGCCACAAACACGCCAGGATAGCACCATCAACATGGCTAGCACTACACCCTTGAATGTCCTCGTCTTCAGTAAGACTACCGGGTACCGCCACGATTCCATCCCAGCCGGAATACGTATGTTCCACAAATTGGCCAACGATGCAAAATTCTTCAATGTCACGGCTAGTGAAGATGCCTCATTGTTTACGTCGTCCTCGCTAACCCAATATCACGTCATCGTCCTCCTTCAAAATATTGGTGACGCAATATTCACTCCCCCAGAACTGGATGCATTGAAGATCTGGGTGCGAAATGGGGGCGGTATCGTGGCTATCCACGGTGCGGCCGCAGCTATGCAAGGAAATGAATGCTATACGAAATTGATCGGTGCGAGTTTCGATATGCATCCTGACCCCGAAGCCGGCACTATCCTTCCTGAAAAGGCTTCTCAGGAACACCAGATCATGAGATGCTGTGGTGGGCGCGAGGGCTGGAAGGACGAATGGTATAACTTCCACACGCATCCTAGGGAGAACAAGAACCTGCAGATCTTACTGAGAGGAGATCCGGAAACGTTTAGCGGGGGGAAGCATGGAGCTGACCACCCTTTAGCTGTAAGCAATGTCCCTGTACGAAACTGCGTGTGAGACGCATACTGACTTAGTACACTTACGTTTAGTGGTGTCAGGAAATCGAAGGCGGAAGAGTGTTCTTTACGGCGCTAGGGCATTTCGATGAAGCGTACGAGGACAGTTGGTTCGTGGGACAGGTGAAGAGAGGTATGTTCTGGGCTTCAGGGAGAACAGAAGGCTGAGGTCAGGGTATTAAAATTGAAATCATGCTCCGAAATGGTTGTTGTCTTTACAGTAAGCTTAGTCACACTCCCACATCTGCTCTTTGGCTGCCCAACTCTGGATAAAGACTCCAAAAGCAGAGGTTATCGAGTAACGCCGTGCGCCACCCCCAAGGTTCTGAGAAGCTCAAACACAAAAATCAATCAGCTATAGCTCGGTCTTTTCGCCATCAACACTACTCTTTTCGACGTCACCACTAGTCTTCTCGACATCGACACTCGTCTTCTCGGCATCGACGCTGGCCTTTTCGGTATCGACGCTGGTTTTTGGGGCATCAACTTTTGCCTTTTCGGCATCAACATTCAGGTCCCAGTCAATGCCGCCATCTTTGCCATAGCGTTGCTCTAACCATTCATTGCACTTCCTGAAATGACCGGCATCGAACTGCATCTTGTTAGTATCTTAGCTGCACCAAGGCGGATCGCAGAACTTACAAAACCCCTCGCGGCACTCAGCGGGCTTGGATGTACACTTTTCAACACGAGGTGTTTATCGACCGGAATACCCTTGGTCCTCTGTTGGGCCGGCGAGCCCCAAGCCAAAAAGACAACACCGTTTGTCCGTACCTTTGCAACAGTGTCGATGACCTTTTGCATGAGCAGCTCCCAGCCTTTGCCTGAGTGTGAATTTGCCTCGCCACGACGGACAGTGAGACAAGTGTTGATGAGCAAAACACCACGATCAGCCCATGGCGTTAGAAGACCGCCTCTGTTTGGCGGTGGCTGGTAGTCTGGGTACTCTTTCTTCAGGGCTTTGTAGATGTTCTGAAGCGACGGGGGCGCAGGGTTCGGTGGGCGGATGGAGAAGCAGAGACCGTGGGCTTGATTAGGACCGTGGTATGGGTCTTGACCTGTGATGACGACTTTGACGGTATTGAGAGGTGTATGCCGCGACCTATTGACGATTAGTCTCCTATTTAATTGGGGAAGCTTCAATTAGAAGACGTGGGAGATCGTACCATGAGTAGACATCCTGCATCGGTGGGTATACCGTCTTTCCGCTATTTAGCTCTTTCTTCAAGAACCTCTTCAACTCGAGAAATTGAGGAGTAAGTAGCACATCCTTGACGTGCGGCAGCCAGCTCTCATGTAATGTGTCTAGCTCAAGTTGCAGCAGCTCTTTCTGCTCGTCTGTGAGTTTGGCGACCCATGCGTCTTTGTCGAACTTTGCTGCAGCAGCGCTCTGTTTGGCTGGCGCGTTGGGGTTGGGTTTTGGCGCGCCGAAGAAGGCGGTGATGCTGCCATTCTGCTTAGGCTTCTTGGACGCGTCGGTAGCCGCAGCCGCTGCTTTACGCTTTAGACTCATAATTGCAATGTCAACCGATGTGGAGTATGTGCTCTGAAGGGAAGCGCGGAGTAGCGACGATAATGGTAGGGGAATCGAATAGTCGTGTCAGTATTGCGGCCATTTACAGGGCCACTCCCAGCCTCAGACATTCGCGTCAAACGTGACGTCGAAGACAGCTAGTCATTTCCACCGAACCCCCTGATTGGCCGCCGCGTGTTTCAAGTGCACGTGAGTACGCGCGACGCGTCTGATCACGTGAAATGACATCACAGCTCGTCCTGACACCATCCTCGGCACCGCACAAGGATACCAGCAGGCTACAGTGGCTTGCCCATCACGATGACCGTTTTTCTGGCAAATCAGATATGCACCGATGTTTGATCTGCGCCGGCATGCCTGAAGGTGGACACTGTAGCCTCATGCAGGTTTGCTGCCCGCATTTGTGACGTGGTGTTGCCTAGGGATGCAAACAGGAGCGCGTACAAAAAGAGCGATACAAACAGACGTGCTTGGTATTTCTCCATCTTCATCACCCCATACCCATTTGTTACCCGTCTTCACAACAAGTAAAACTCCTCGCTTCAAATAAACACTAGGCGATCACAACCTCAACAATGGCTTCTTCCAATCCTTCCAACTTTGCGAACTTGCCAAAAGATGAGCTGAAAGAGATTGCCGCCAAGGGCGGTCATGCTTCTCACGGCTCTGCCAACAACGACGTAAGCTGGACCAAGCACATGCACACTCGTGTACAGAAACTGACTTTTGTCAAGTCTACTTCTACTGGCGGCAGTGACAATGCTGACCGTAATCCTGACGGTACCTTTAAGAAGGGTAGTGAGCTTGCTTCCGAGTTGGGTGCACAGGGTGGTCATGCTTCCCATGGTGCTACAGACACTACCTCGAACAGCAGTGAGGCGGGCCGCAACCCAGACGGCACCTTCACCAAGGGCTCTGAGGTCGCTAGTAAAGTTCGTTGTGACCATACGAAATGGATGTAATACATACACTGACTTGGTACTCTCACCTTTACAGCTTGGCGCGCAAGGCGGGCATGCTTCGCACGGATCTAATCAATCCGGTGCTGAGACATCGAGCAACGACAGCGGAGTAAGTTGTTTTCACGATCAGTTGAAGAATCCGTAACTAACCTGTTACTTGCAGCGCAACCCCGACGGTACATTCAAGAAGGGCAGTGAACTTGCTTCCGAGTTGGGCACACAGGGCGGGCATGCCTCGCACTAGGAGCAGCATGATTGATGTGCCAGTCGATCTCTCAGTGAGCGTTGGACATCGGCGTACTACCACGTGAGGCCATAAGCTTGATCACGAGACCATGAACTGAATGCAAAACGAAATACATGACTTGATTATGCATCTTATATAATGTACGACAAGCTGAGATGGTCAGGCTTAAAGTGATTGATGGGACGTTGAAGTACTTCCTAGCCGCTGTAACCCAAAGCATCTAGTTCCTTCTTGATCTGCTTCTCGGTGCTGATCTTCTTGACCTGAGTATCTTCTAGCTTCTCTCCACCGGCTTGACGCATCTTCAGCTCATCAATGGCGCGCATCTTCTTCAGCAAACCTCTGATCTTCTTATCCTGGGGGTTGCCGTCACCAGGACTGGTGACAGTGAGGTCAGGGGGAGGACCCTGACTCTCTGTTTGAATCGGAGGAGGAGCCTGCGTCTGCACTGGAGCCTGCTGACGTTGCTGGGCAGGGTTCTGGCGCTGACCTCCGTCTTGACGAGCCTGACGGTTTGGGCTGTTGCCGAAGTTGCGGTGCTGGCTGGCACTTCGTCCCTGGTGCTCGTATCCGCTCTTGCTGCGGCTACGCTGGCGACGTTCCGGGCTACGTCCAGCTCCGTTAGCTGAGTTGACGCCGTCGGCCGCGAGTCCAGCAGCCTTGTCAGCGGCTTCGCGAGCCTTCTTAGCCTCTCGCTTCTTCTTGTTTTTCAAGGCTGCCTTGGAAAGCTCTCCATCGCCATCCTGGGCGCCAGTAAGGCTGACACCACCACCGGGGGCAGCACCGGGTGGAAGAGTATCTGCAGCCTCTGCACCAGGTACCTCACGCCGACGCGGCTTGCCGAACCCGTTGGCGAAGCCAACATTCGTCGAAGAGATACCGGTGTTGGAGTAGGCCGCGCCTCCTTCGTCTTCACGCTTGAAGTGTAGGGGAGTAGCAGTCCCGCGCGCTCCGGGAGGGCGATAGGCACCTGCCGGCTTCGATGGTGTCTTTTGGGTGCTCAGATAGGCGAGTGCGGACGAATGTGGCGTCGGAATAGTAGTCAAAGGGTCAGTTAGGGGGTGCATCGAGGTCGGCTGAGGTCGCCAAACGACGTGGTAGAGTTCAGCCATGTCTTCGTTGTACATAAGGCCACCGCTGACGTGGTAGATGCGAATTCCGTTGTCAACACGAAGACGCGGGCTAGTGGTTGCAGTAAGAATATGTTGCCCATCGGGGCTCCACTCGCAATAGGTCGAGTTTGAGGTCTTTACATGGCAGACCTTGGCGAAGTTCTTCTCCAGATCGTAAATGTCCATGTCTCCAGCTAGATTGCCAAACCCGGCAACGATGACAAAACGTCCGTGTGGGCTGAAAAGAATAGTGTTGCGCGGGCCTAGGTCGAAGCTGTGTTGTGCCACTGCGCGCTGGTTGAAGATGGTAGTCTTTGCAGGCATGTAGCCATAAGTGACACCGAACTCCTTCGAGTTAGGCGACCAGGAAACGTCGTGAATAGGACCCTCCTTGTCTAGCTGAATGCGCGAATCGAAGGTGCCGTTGGCACTAAGGATGTACATGTTGGTTTCGCCGTAGTAACTCTTGTTCGACTTGTCGACCTCTGTCTGCGCTAGGACAATCAAGCTGGTGCCGAGATCGTTCCACTTGAGCTGGACCTTGTCGCCCTTGAAGAAAGTCTTTTGGGATACAGGCTGGGTAAATTGAGGTACTTGGAAGACCTTGACAGCAGCGGGCATGCCCTTGCGCTCCGGTACAAAAACGGCAACTGAATGGTTCTTGCCTGGAGCGAGCATCATATCGGTGACTCCCTCGACACGAAGCTTGTTCCAAGGGTTGCGCAAATCGCTCGACTGGAAAAATTGCACCTCGTTTGTTACAACGCGCGCACAATACTTCTCGTCGGACGTGTACTGCAGATTCCAGCCACTCTGGTTCTTCTGGACGTATTCGCCGATGACCGCCCGCGATCCGTCATCTTCAGCGTCGTCGGACAGCGTCTTCCAGACTCTGAGGTTCTTCACAGCGTTTCCGTCTTCGTCCTTGGATGGGCGCTGCCATGTAATGAGGTATGTACCGAGGGGGGAGAATCCGAGCTCGTAGACGTTCGGTGTAGGAAGTGTGGTAATGACGTGGCCGACCGAGGCATCAATCACCGAAACCTGTTCTGGTGTTGCCCATGCGAAGTACTTGCTGTCAGGCGAGTAGCAGCAGCAGCGAAGGTTGCCTTCAGGTCTATTGGGCGAGTTAGCGTCGGCACTGGAGTAGGAGCTGCGCGAGAGCTCGTGGCACAACGGAGGCACTCACCGGACGAATCCAGGGAGAGCCTCATAAACTGGGGCAGCGTTGAAGAGCCCGATGCCCTTGGCGGAACGGTCTGTGAATATTGTTAGCGTGCTTCAACAGAAGCGATGGTACAGGGCGAGCGTACAAGCCAACTGTGTGGGAACAGCCATGATAACTAGTCAAAGTCACAGGAAGTTGTACAAGTGGGCGTGGGGCAAGGTGCTGGTGGTCGCGAAGTCTGGCTCAACTGCTGAGCTCGGTTTTGTGGGTTGGCGATGAGTAAGGCTAAGACAGGAACACGTCGGGTGTGTGGGTATGGGTTCGAGTGTGACGTAGTTTCTGTGACTTTATAGGCCAAGGGCAGACTTTGGGCGCACGCAGCGGCAACGGGTGGATCGTGGGAGGGAAGGAGGAACACGCGTCAGAGGATTGAAGGGTGACCGTGTGACGAGCGTAGGGCGATGGAAACATGGAGTCGAGAAAGAAAACCGTGGGCACGCGCGCTAGTGCTCGGGGAAAATGCGGGCCGCCGGCGTTGGCTGACTGTGACATCAGCCTCGCCAGCTCATGGACAATGGCCGAACAGCAGAATGGACTGGAGCCGCGTAGGGTCATCAACCTGCGGGGTCTTTTTTTTCTTTCACAGGCTTTCTTTCTGACCGTATCGACGTCACTGCAATCTAGACCGATCTCATGCCGCCTGCACAGAAGGATTCGAGATTCAATGATCTGCAACCAGCTTTACCTGGCCAGTAATTTCGAATAAGTATCACCACCCGCAGTTTGATTGCACCAAGGATGGACATTGCCTCGTTTTAGTTTCTGTCGCTCACACACATCGATATGCAAGATCACCAGCATAGTCCTCACAGGCGTTGCGCAAAAGTGAGTCGTGCTGGTGCGCCAGCATACCATGTCTTATCGTTATCGCATCAGTAGCGCTTCGCAAGCTCCCGAGCTCCATCTCAACTCCACAGATCCATCGTAGCTTCCGTCCACGTCTCCTTGGACGTCGTGCCGCAGAGATGCCGACCTCGATGCCCGCTCCCTCGATTCGAATACCAATGGAGCTTCTGACTCCAACTGCCTTCTCGCAATTCGGTACTGTCATCGAGAACCCAACAACATCACCGTCAGCACAGCTGCCCATCCCCAACCGCATACCACCACCCGACACGGTCGCGGCCAACCAGGGCTCGGCTACCAAGTACCTCGATGTCACGCACATGTCCAACTTGTATGGCCTTGCGCCGAGCAAGAAACCTGCCAAGGCGGTCATGAACATGTTTGTTTGTTCCCCACGGAACCTCCGGCCACACGAGCCGAGCATGAGCATGCCCAGCTCCTGGGGTGACTTGGACTTGGATGAGGACGAGGAAGGATGCGAAGACTTCCAAAGGCAGCTGTTGGACGTTGCCATTCTCGAAAGGCATCCCTTCACCACACAAACATTTATACCCATGGGCCTGTCGCAGCAGGAAAGACACACCCAGTACCTTGTCATAGTTGCTCCTACTCTACCGGCAAGCGCTTCAAGGCGTCGTACGGGTAGGGCACCGCCGTATCCTACACCGCACATTGAACGGAAACGAAGCGTTATGGACATCTTTGCGCGAGCGAGACCAAGCCCATATTCAAACGAAACCGCGCCTTCCCAGAGCCAGTTCTCGCAACTTCATCCGTCAGCACGTCCAAAAGGTCCAGGATTGCCAGACCTTAAGAATCTCCGTGCCTTCGTGGCGAATGGAAGTCAAGCAGTGACATATGGGGCTGGGACATGGCATGCGCCCATGATCGTAGTCGGAGACCGACCAATTGACTTTGTGGTTGTACAATTTGCGAACGAAGTTGGCAATGAAGACTGTCAGGAGATAGCACTGAAGTCGGATGAAACCGCTTCGGAGGGTGTTGTAGTCGTTATCGATACTGATGCATCAGGTGCTGTACAGGTCAAGGCTGGTGTAGGCTCTGTGAAGCCAAAGCTATGATGCTGATGGGTAGTGTCGTTTCTGATTCCATGAATTCCGCTGGACTGTCCCGCACTTGTCGCACTTTATCTTGCCTTGTGATTTATATGTAAATGAGAAGTGATAGCCGTTGAAGACCATGGACGCCTTGCGAGCCACGGCTTTACATGTGAACAACTAGCTCTCATGTCTCGGAAAACTCATCGAACGTAACGACAACTTCACAAGTGAACGGCTAGTAGTCCTTGCTGAATGATGGCATGGGTGGTACAGGCCTCGCTTGTTTTCCCTAATCAAAATCATAGGGCCTCCAGCCATCCCTGTCGTAGCTCAAGTTGCAGGAATCGATAGGATAAGTAGAATCTGCTTTACCTGCCACGGTTTCCTTGTGCTCGTCACCTATGGACCTCCGTCAGTGTGACCAGAAACAATAGTGTCACAACATCCGCTAGTACCTGAGAGGTACCCCACGTTCCCAAATGGAAGAAGCAGACCTTGTAATTGTAGGCGCTGGTATTTACGGTCTTACCACTGCTCACACATACCACCGCCTACACCCCACAGCCACAATCCTTATCCTCGACTCTGCCTCGTGCATCGGCGGGCCATGGGCACCGCATCGCGTTTTTCCGGGTCTTCGGACTAACAATTTGTGGGGCATGTACGAACATCCTGACTTCCCTATGGAAGAGAAGAGGTTTATGGTGAAAAGGGGAGAGCATATACCTGCCGCGAAGATGTTCGACTACCTTTGTGCATTCACGAAATGGGCCGACATAGAGAAGTTCTTCAGGGGCCAAACGACTATTGATGTCATCGAAAAGGATAAAGATGGGGGCGGTTGGGTTCTGCGTTGTGCATCGACTATGCTAGACAAGAAGGGTGTTGAGATCAAGGCGAAGAAACTGGTTATCGCGGTAGGCACTACGAACAAGCCGCTACTACCGCATTATGAAACGTCGACAAAGTTTCGACCTTTGGTGATCCATACTGCAGACTTCCCGAAACATCACTCGGTCATCGCGGAGCCGGGAAAACATACCGTCATTGTAGGATCTGGAAAGTCTGCATGGGACGTTGCATACGCATGCGCTAGCCAGCCTTCAGCGACAGCAACCTTACTTATACGTCCCGACGGTAACGGTCCTGTATGGATGACACCTAGTCACGTCACGCCTTTGGGTTTGTGGCTAGAGAAACTAGTTCATACACGCTTCTTTGGCTTCATGTCTCCTTGCCCGTGGGCACTGAGAACGGGCATTGAAGGCTGGTTACGCTCCTTCTTCCATCGCACGTGGCTCGGAAGAAAACTAGGTAAGTTGTGATTGTTTGGAATACATGTGAGAACAATACTAATTTGGTGTCTTCACTACTGCAGTAGGTGCTTTCTGGAACATACTTGGGGAAGACGCTATCGCGCTGAATGGGATGGATAAGCATCCTGAGACAAAGAAGTTACGGCCGTGGAGAGGCGCTTTCGAAGTTGGCAATGCACTGTCAATTCACAACTATCCAAACAGCTTCTTTGAGATGGTTAAAGAAGGGAAGATCAAGGTGGTCATAGACGATATTGCCAGTCTTGATGGGGAACAACAGGTTATATTGAAGTCGGGAAAATTGTTGGAGACGGACGCAGTCGTATGCGCGACAGGATGGCAGAAGGGATACACGTTTCGTTTCGAACCTAGAGAGCTGGAGAAAGAGCTGGGCTTGCCAACGACATTACCACCAACACCTGAAGAAGCAGCTCTCATACAGCGGTCAGAAGAGACTCTATACACCGAATTCCCTTACCTCAAACAGAGGGACACAAGTCGTGTCTACCACCCCAACCACTCCCTTCGCCATGCCCAACAGCCAACTACAGACACGCAGCCTTACCGCCTGCACCGCTTTATGGTACCTCCGAAAGCCATAGCAGATCGCAACATCGCCTTCGCAGGCGCAGTGCATTGTCTCGGCACTTTCCCCAACGCGTACATTCAAAGTCTCTGGATCACCGCCTACCTTGACGGTACGCTGTCTATACCTTCCTCGCCCACCAAGACACTTGAAGAGACATACCGTAATACACAGTACTGTGTACTACGGGGCGCAATGAGCTATGGGCATACATTGCCTGACCTTGTCTTTGATACTCTGCCCTACTTCGACACGTTGTTGAAAGACATGGGTTTGCAAGAGCGTCGTAAGGGTGGAGGCGTAAGGGAGTGCGTGAGTAGCTATGGTCCGGAAGACTATCGGGGATTGCTGGAAGATGTTGAGATAAGGATGAGAGTAGTGAGGGGCTTCCTAAAGTAGTATGATATGTTCACAGAGAAGTCAAGAGACCAAGTGAGCTATTGAGAGTGTCAAATAGTAAGTAGAGAAATAAGTCTGATATATACATTAGTCCAGAATTTGATGATCGAGTAAACCTAACTTGAGGCCGAAGGGCTTCACAGCACTACACGAGACTTATACACGACCACAGCCATCTGAGCTAAATCGTTCTATCATCCCTCTCCTGTAGTATGCGCATGACCTATATATGAGAGTTGGAAGTCAGGGTTTGTCTTCCATACAGTTCGTAGCGGGACATTACTGACCATCCAATGAACCAAGTCTCTCGCCGCAGTCGCATCTTCCAAGCTATCGTGGCCTTTGTTGCCTTTGGTCTGGATATCAGTGGCGAGATACTTCTTCAGCAATGTCTTCAACGCTAAGTCGCCTGTACCCTTGGCTTTTTTCTTTTTGGGTACACCATCAGCGGTGGTAGTTGAGTTCCCTACCATCTGACTGTTGGTCGTCAGGGAAGACTCATGACCACCAGCTAGCCCTGCGAGCTCAGGAAGGCATTCTTCTATTATTCTCACCGCTGCTTCACTCGCTTTCTTTTCTCGCGCTTCGATTGCCTTCTTCTCCTCGATGATTTTATGCTCTACCACGTAGGAGTCTACAACCCGTGGGTGAATCAATTTCAATGCCTTCAGATCGTTGTGAACACTATGTCCTACGAGGACTGTGTCAGGCCCTACGAATTTCCACAGCAGTCTTCTTGCCCCAGACTTCCCCTTCAACGTGGTCTTCTTTCTCACAGCCTCATTCATTTGATCCCAAGTGACACCCGACCACTTGGTATTGAGATGTAGCATTGGCTGATCCGGCTTCACTAGGTTGTTAATCAGCACTTCGCCGGTCAAATAATCGATGGCGCTTAAACGAATAAGCTCAGAATCTCCGTTTCTAGCTGTGCCCATCTCGCAGTCGATTGCGACGGCAAATTTAACGGAAGTAGCACGGTCCGGATGAAATCGAGGAGTTTCATGGACTTGATGCAAGCGATCGAGCTCACTTGGTCGGTATTCGCGCATCTTGTGAACATTGGTACCGGTGCATGGCGTAGCCTTAGAAACGGGCTCTCCACAACACGTCCAGCACTAGTGACTTTAGTTCCGCAGCTCAAAGCAAGGGTCGTGTTGAATTCACCTTCGTGGTGCGGTCGACTGCTGCTGAGTGGTAACGGCATGGTACTGTGGAAGGCTGAACGTCCGTTTGACCATCCTCATAATATATGAGCATTGTAGGCCATGTCCTAGGATGCATGTCTGCTGAAGTTGCTTGTTGGTCACCGTCGAGCAAAGCTTTTTTCAGACCCTTTGTAAGCTGTTGTAGAGCTACAAGAAAGTCAGAAACGCCGTAGAGATCCACGTGCATATCCCAAATGCTAATGATTATCCCTACTTTGGCTGCATTTACTGCATCTTCGTTTCTCATGAATTTCCGCGTCTGTCAGCTGTTGAAATCGATAGCCATGTTTTTGCAGGACAGATGCGGGTTCTAGGAGACTTTGAAATATGTCGAGGTAGGCACCATCAGGCGGTAATTCGAGCGCCGAGGGTGCTGGGCCCTCTGGCGGCTCGGGGAGGGGAGGATATGGCACTGTATTGGCATGGGGGTCCGCCATAGTGCTAGAGGGTCATGGCTGTCTCCGATCAAGGTGTTTGTAAAATCCGCAGCGTGTGCAAGCTAACGATGCTGACGGTGACAACGAGGGGTTCACGTGATGGCAAAGTGGGGTTTGGATGGCGCGTTGACCAGGGTAGTCGCGCTAGAGTCGCGTCGCGTCGCGTTTTCTAGCTGACTTCAATACGTCACTCCCAGCTGACGGCATGCGTATAGTATAGCTGCTCACCTGGGAGTGTCATTAGGTAGACCCTGAAAGATTGGGAATATACGAGCACTTCGGTTATCTAATCTCGCATCTAAATCTTCATGCCATCCAGCGCGGCCTCTAGATCAATGATCTCCTTCCCCTTACCACCACTGGTGCTTTTTCTCTCCCTGTACTCCTTAGCCACGGCCTCCATCACCTTTCCCATCTGGGCATCCTTGCCCTCGGCTTCCAGCTCCTTTTTCACACGTGCAAAGTTGGTTTTGACGAAGACCTGGTATTCACTCTTTTCCCTCTTACCATCTTTGCCTACAGTAACGCCAGCTCCGACTCTGGGTGTGGGTTTGGTCTGCGCGAGCTTTCCCTTGCACTTGCCGCAAGAGTGGCGGGCTGGATCGACCGATTTGGAGTGACGCTTGAACTCGTAACCGCAAGATATACATTCCCAAACGTACTTGTAGTCTATTTGGTACGAGTGTTTGGTGGTGACTTCAACGCCCCTGTTGGCGAAGGCGACGGTAGCTTTGCGGCCCCAAGATTTGAACTCTGCTCCGTGGGGGTTATTACGTACTTCGCTGATCATGAATGTCGTCAAATGACAAAACTCGTGCGCGAGTACGTTGTAGAGTCTCTCCTCATCGTCGATGACTTTCTCAGCGAGTTCAATGGAGCAGTGGTGTCGTATCTCTACGCGCGTATCTGTGGGGAGGGTCCCGGTTCGAATTCGTATCTGCTCTCTACGCCAATTCGCGCGACCGGCTGTTGTTTTGAGTGTCTTAGACCAGACGAGCTTGATGCCGCCTGTAGGCTTCGAGAGCTCGTGGATACGGCCTGAGGAGATAGTGGTGTCGAGCTCGACGAGGAAAGCTTCAGCTATGGCGTGCTTGCGTTCAGCGAAGGCTTTGCGTTGTTCGCGGATTTGCTTGACATTCGAGGCTGGTTGAGTCTTTGGCAGTCTCCCTTTGGCTGGTTTGCGATCTGTAGGCTTCTTTTTGGGGCTCTCTACGGGGCTTTCGTAACCCTCATCACTGCTGTCTTCAAGAGCCACACCTTCCATCATCTTGACGATGTCTTCCCGCCATTTCTGCTTCTTAGGCGACACGAGCGTTTTGGCTGGTGAGTGACGGTCGGTCCACTCATTCACAGCTGCAGGATTCCAGAATGCGTCAAGACTTGGTCTTCCATCTATATCATTGGCCTTGGGAATGGTCGGCTTCCTTTTCGAAGGCGAGACAAGTTTAGTTGGGCTGGGAGGAGCTAGTGGAGGTGTCGCTGGTCGTGAGATGGGTGGAGCTTTGCAGGGCGAGCGTTGTTTAGTAGGTGTTGGAGAGTATGTCAGAATTGGAAGGGGGCCATTTGACGCTGAGCTGGTAGGACGAGAGGAAGCTGCGAAGGAACTCGATCGTACATGAGTGCGTTCAGGGAGTGCAAAAGATGCCGGGGCCTCTGGTGAATCTGTGAGATCGACAACTTCTTGTGCCCAATTTGACATCGAACTATAGCCCTTTGTATTTGGCGGTCGCATAGAATCCAGGTCGGCTGAAGGTTGAGGAGACATTTTTACTGGCTTGAGATCGGGAATCTTGAACATCGGTTGTTGAGACTGTTTGAGAGGCTCTGGTGCGCTCAGCTCACTCTCATCCTCCTCGCTGTCAGACACTATACGTCGTGCGCGCGGTTGTCGCTGATTCTTTCTTGACTTTACAACAGGCTCATCATCTTCGTCTTCCTCGCTGATATCTGCCACTGGCTCGGCAGCCTCGTCTTGTGTCGCGGCTTCCTCATCGCCACACCACAGACTTGTCTCTTCCTCTTTCTCAGTCTCGTCTTTCAGTGTCTCCTCTCTACCCTCCTGTTCCCTGTTGCGCGACCGTTGAGCTGCCTCTTGTGCTTCTTGCTCCCCTACAACATTTATCCTGCCCTTCCGCGCCTGCTTGCTCACCACGCTTCTTGCCAGGCTTTTGGCATACAGAAGTCCATTCCTCTTTCCAACATCTGTGTCTGTTGTCCCACTACGTACTCTTCGCTCTCTTTGTTTCTTCTCCGGACTTGCTAGACTTTCATCGCTAAGCTTGCGGAGCAGTCGACTGTTGCTCTCGACCGGTCGCAGTACACGTTGCTTTCGCGGGGTAAGCGCATCCCTGGGCGTCGCTGCCTTCGGTATGCGAAACAAATGCTCTGTGTCTTGTGATCTGCTAGTATCCCGCGCTATGCGCCTCGAGGTCTTGGGAACCAATATGGAGGTATCATCTTCTTGCGATGATGCGTAACGAAGTGTGGCCTTCCGTGAACTTGATCGGCTTGTTCCCGTCTCGGATGGTGTCATGAAAATAGTCGTTTCGTTCGGACTCGGTTTGCGTAGACGCGCCATATTTGCGAAATTTGGTATGCAATAGTATAATGTGTAAGGATATTTAAGCCGTCGTGTGTGCGATTGGTACCAAGAATGTTGTTCGCACAAGGATGCTTAGACGTTGGAAGTATTGGCCAAGCATGTTTGTTATCGGCCGTTGTCCCGGCGACTAGCGGGATCGGTGCTGGGATCCCCTCGCACGTTCTCAGTGCCACGCACGTTTTACTGTCCTCTAGCCCGAGCGCGCGATAGTACTTGATCTGAGGAATGGGATGATATCCAAGAGACAGGATGTCGTCCGGACGTATATGTCATCTTCTGACGCTACATAGTATACCAGGAACTGCACCGAATGCCCCTACGTTACCTGTTGTCCTGGGTTAAGCTTGAGATATCGAGCTCCATAGTCACCTCAACCATCATCCACAATCACGTCAAAACATGTTCCATGGGTAACAAGGAAAAACCAGTCATACATTGCATGCTAACCATCACAAATACAAGCAAACCCAACCACATTGAGCTCGATGGACCGACATGAAAGCTGCACTACTGCGCCCATTTACGGGTGTCCAGCTCCGTCTGATCATCTGTTCGATCCACCCCAGACGTGAATCTCCTCATCCCCATTCGTGAAGCATCTGCGGGGTATTCATCCTTCTGTATTTACATCCCCAGTGGTGATTGTTCTCATCCGTTCTCTATCATGTGCATTTACTGCTTAGCGTTCTTGGCCATGGTGTTGAGAGCGCTGCCGTTCTTGAACCATTCGATCTGGCCCTCGTTGAAAGTGTGGGAAAGCGGGATCTGGAACTCCTTGCTGCCGTCGGCAGGGTGGACAGTCATGGTCAAAGGCTTGCCGGGGGCGAGCTCAGTGGAGGCCAAGTCGACACGGTCGTTGGGGCCGATCTTCTCGTAGTCGGCAGGGTCGGAGAAGGTGAGGGGAAGCATACCCTGCTTCTTCAAGTTGGTCTCGTGGATACGGGCGAAAGAGCGAGTGATGATGGCCGCGCCACCCAAGTGCCTGGGCTCGAGCGCAGCGTGCTCACGGGAAGAACCCTCTCCGTAGTTCCAGTCTAAGAATGTTAGCCAAAATGCAACTTGTTGGTGCAGTAGAATTCTTACCTCCGATGACAACCCACGGGACGCCGTTCTTCTTGTAGTCACGGGCAACATCGGGGACAGCACCGTACTCGCCGTTGAGAGCGTTCTTGACCTTGTTGGCCTCGCCGTTCTCAGCGTTGATGGCACCAATCAACATGTTGTTGGAGATGTTGTCCAAGTGTCCACGGTACTTCAACCAGGGACCAGCCATGGAGATGTGGTCGGTGGTGGTCTGCAGATAAGTCAGTGCGTGTTATGTAGGAGGGGAGGATTCATAAAATACCTTCCCACTGCACTTGATCAAAATGGGCAGGTTCTTCGCATCAGAGCCGTCCCAGGCGCTGAAAGGAGAAAGGAGCTGGAGACGGTCCGAGGAGGGAGAGACATCGACGGTGACGGATGCGCGGTCCTCGGGGGGAGCCTGGTAGGTGTCCTGGCCGGGGTCGTAGCCGTTGGTAGGAAGTCCGAGACCAGTAGGCTCCTTGAGCTTGAACTTGGAGCCATCCGCCGCGGTCAAATGGTCGGTCAACGGGTTAAACGAAAGTGTACCGGCGATGGTCATAGCCACGACAAGGTCGGGAGAGGTGACGAAGGAGTGGGTGGCGGGGTTGGCGTCGTTACGTCCAGTGAAGTTACGGTTGTAAGACGAGATGATCGAGTTGGCCTCGCCCTTCTTTACATCTTTTCTGTCCCACTTTAAATGAAGAGTTAGCGCGCGTGATCATAGAGGAGGAGGGAGGGAAGTGAGAGAGTGAATGTAGTTGAATGACATACCTGACCTGCGACGACGTTAGCATGGAACCTGTCAAAACGTAAACGTGAACATGTAGGCTGGAGGTATTCGCAAGCATCTGAAGCACCAGAGATCCTGAAGGGAATTCAATGTAGTCGCCAGGGCAAGTGGTATGTCAATCGATATGTTGCTGTCGTCGTCATCGTAGGCTCCATCTAGGCCTGGAATAGAGCGTGTATCCATGTCCAAGTCGGTGTCGATCAGTACACGACGAGTAGCTCTTCGCTTTGTAGGTTGGACGATGTCAGAGAGTGCATCGTTATCGTCACTATCAAGCTCGATGGGAGCATCGCAAGTACCGGGTATGACAGAATCGACAGGGCCCCCACGGCCTCAGCTGTGGCAGGAGCTGTGCGGGAAATAGCACCCTAAAGGAGCTACAAAGGTAGGAGTCACGATCTCACTATAGTGTATTGAGAGCGAGTGAGGTATACATCAGGTTGGAGAGCTTCTCTCCGGAAGACTAGACGTCCATGTCGCCATCATGGTAGCTGGACCTGATGCTGCCGACAGCTTCATGATAATGCACTCTGAAGGCCCTCACGGCTTCAGCGGCGGCAGGAGCTGTGAGGCAAAGTGTACCCCGAAGACCTTCACAGCATCAGGAATGTGTAGAGTTGCAAACCAACCATAGTATGCTCTGGAGGTTGTCGCTGCTTCGGCGGAGGAAGGTGCTGTAGGGCAAAGTGTACCCTGGAGGTAGTCGCAGTGTCGCGACCCTCTGGGGGGCAGATGCGACAGAATCGAGTGGGTCGATTATCAGCTAAGGCTTCAGGTCAGCTATGCACTTCAAGACTCGAGTTCAGTAGACATACCAAGTCAGCCAAACCACCACTGGCGATTTGGGCTGCGCGCACCCATGGCTGGAGCCTCAGGTGGATTGAGGCGAAGGGGGCACCCTCAGAGGTGGATGTTGGAGAGGGCGCCCTCAAGGTGGAATCTGACGGGGAGGGCGCCCCTACAGGTGGAAGCTGAAGGGGAGGGCGCCCTCAGAGGTGGATGGAGGTGCAGATGGCATCCTCAGAGGTGGAAGCTCTAGATGAGGCCAGCTTCAGAGGTGGGAATTGAAGCAGCCTCAGAGGTGGATGGAGGCGAAGAGGATACCCTCACAGGTGGATGGAGGTGAGGACATCCTCAGTGGAGGCTCCACATGAGGGGTGCGCTGGCGGTGAAGCCCAAGAAGAGGGGGCCAATCAGCCACATCATGTCAAACGTTGCGTTTGAAGTCCAGGTAATCCAGGTAATCCAGGTGATCCAGGTAGGTCCAGATCCAGAAGGCCAGAATGTGATCACGATGCTTCAGATGCTTACAAACCTTTATACAAACCATACAAACTACAATATGCAAGGGGAGTATAGCCTGAAGCACTTCGCGACGTTTAGGACTTCTGAAAAATCTAAAGTTGCAAAGTGCTTCAGGCTATGCTATAAGGAGGGGAATAACTCACCAATACAAGGAATTTGAGTAAGTCAGCATAGAGTTCAACAAACAGAGGATGGAATGACTAACCCGCATGCGTTGGCAAGAACCATACCGCCAAACTCCTCGAAAGTCTTGAGCTGACCATCACGCTCGATGGTGGCGCGAATCTGCTCGGAACCAGGGGTAACAGTGAAGAGAGACTTGGCCTTGATGCCGTGGGACATGGCGTCCTCAGCAATAGAGGCGGCACGGGTCATATCCTCGTAAGAGGAGTTGGTGCAAGAACCGATGAGACCGACCTTGAGCTCCTCAGGCCACTTGTTGGCCTTGACAGCCTCCTTGAACTTGCTGATGGGAGTGGCTAGATCGGGGGTGAAGGGACCGTTGATGTGGGGCTCGAGCTCATCAAGGTTGATCTCAATGAGCTCATCGTACTCGGCGCCCTCGTCCTCACGAAGCTGGGCAGCGTACTCGCGGGAGAAGTCACCAATGTCGCGGCGCTTGGTGGCGGCAAGGTAGTCGTACATGCGGTCGTTGAAGGGGAAGAGGGAGGTGGTGGCACCAATCTCAGCACCCATGTTGCAGATGGTAGCCATACCTGTGCAAGACAGGCTCTCGGTACCGGGACCGTGGTATTCGACGATAGCACCAGTTCCACCCTTGACGGTGAGGATACCAGCGACCTTGAGGATAATGTCTGTAGGCTGTGTTAGCGTAATTGCCCCGCTTTCAGAACCAATATTTCTTGAACATACCCTTGGGAGCAGTCCAGCCGGAGAGCTTGCCAGTAAGCTTGACACCAATGACCTTGGGAGCCTTCAGTTCCCAGGGAAGACCAGCCATGACATCGACAGCGTCGGCACCACCAACACCAATGGCGGCCATACCGAGACCACCAGCGTTGGGAGTGTGCGAGTCAGTACCGATGAGGAGAGCACCAGGGAAAGCGTAGTTCTCAAGCACGATCTGGTGAATGATACCAGAGCCGGGCTTCCAGAAACCGATGTTGTACTTTGCGCAAGAGGTGGACAAGAAGTTGTAAACCTCCTTGTTGATCTCGTTGGCGCGCTCCAAATCCTTCTCACCACCAACCTGGGCCTCGATAAGATGGTCGCAGTGGACGGTGGTGGGAGTGGCAACGGAGGGCAGACCAGCTGACATGAACTGAAGAATAGCCATCTGGGCAGTGGCATCCTGGCAGGCTACACGGTCGGGACGAAGCTTGAGGTAGCTGGAGCCGCGCTCAATCTCTTGACCGTGGGGGTCGTCCAAGTGGGAGTAGAGGATCTTCTCGGCAAAGGTAAGCGGGCGGTTCAGGCGGCCGCGAACAATCTGGAGGTTCTCGTTCATCTTCTGGTAGTTGATGTAGTGGCCCTTCTCCCAGTTGGTCATCTCGACCTTGCGAGAGAGGGGAGCATCGCTGACGGTGGCCAATTGCCTGCGCGAAGCAAGGCTCTGGCCCAGGCGGCCGAGCCTCGAGAACTTCTGCATGGTGAGGATTAGGGGAAGGTGGTGTGGAGAGAAGAGTGATGGAGGAAGCGGAGGAAAAGAACGTCAGAAGCTGGCTCAAGTTGGGCGATAACTAATGAGGATCACGAGGTGTGTGATTGGCTCGTCTAGCCCCAGCTGCGTGCGGAATACCTCGGCGCCTGAAACCAGAAACAGGTCGGCTGCGCAGTCCCGTTGGCCCGCTTCACGTGCAAGCGCGGTGTAATGGAGACGCAATTATGGAGAGTGCAATTGTCTTGTGTGCGATGGGGGCCCAGCTGGTATTTCACGTCTTGGAGGGCTGTCAAGACGGGTGCTTGAGAGCTATGGGTGTTCACTTCACCCAGACGTCATAGCCACCAGCCGTTCATCGACCCCGCGCTCATTCCTTTTGGAGGTGATTGGCGTTCTGCGATAGCACAGTTGCCCAAGAGCGCCCCGGAGGCCTGCGCTCCCTTTTCCGACCCAACAATTGTGTGCCGAGTCAGCATGTAGGCCTGCAGACATGGCAAATTTCGGGTTCTGGAGCAACAGTAGCATCTACCGCAGCCTGATTCGACCTAGCTCCACAAGTCTTTTTGACCTGCAGACCCTGCACGGACCCCATCTCCACACTGCAACTTTCTCTATAGCCGACCATCACGATTTCACACGGATAACCGACGGCCGCGGATACTGCCCACCATGCCTGCCATACGCGGACAAGACTCCAAGAAGAAGACACGTAGACATACGCGCGACCTCGACCAGATCCACGCCGACTTGCGCGACGAGAAGCATCTTGCCGAATTCAAGGATGCGAAGCCCATAGAAGATTTGCCTGGCCTGGGGCAATGGTACTGCAAGGAGTGCGCAAAGTTTTTTGAGAGCGATGGCAACTTTGCTGCGCATCAAAAGGGCAAGGTTCACAAGCGGAGGTAAGAATGCCGGTCTTTGCGATTATGAGAACGGCGCTGATAGGTTTCTAGGGTGAAGCAACTTCGCGAAGAACCATACTCCCAGAAAGAAGCAGAGGCAGCGATTGGCCTTACCACCAACAACGGAACGCGCACCACGGCTGCGACAGCCCCGATGGAAGTCGACCAGGTTGCAGCATCAGGTTGAGTGCTGCGACAACGTACGTCTTCGTCAACTGGAATTAGACTTCTTTGGTGGATGGTCACAAGACACGGTGGTCTGGGTAAAGAATGACCACCGCGTATCTAGGGCTGGCTGAGACGGCAACAAACCGCTAGCTACCCAAGAGGGTGATGAGGTCTGGAAGAAGAAACATACATTGCACGGCGTTCAAAATTGGGATATGGAACATTTAGAAGGGCCATAAAGCTCAAACGATACCCTACATTTCAGGTCGAAACACTCAAGTTCTCACAAATACTACCATATCTTGGTCATGACCATTGTGCAATGCTATTAAGATCAAACTTATTCTCATGCAGCTGTAATATGCCCATGTCGTAGAACTGCAACCTTGAATTAAATATATGACAGTCAGAGAACGGCTCTGCAAACAAAAATTTGATAGCAAACTCATCAAGCTCCAGTGCTGTTTCACTGCTGTAAAAAATGTCACAGGTAGCCATTTTGGTGCTGCCTGATGTTGCCTGGGGGCTACCTACGTGCCTTCGCCATCACCAACATCATAGTCGCAACATAAGTACCACACCAAGTTCTGCACATAGTACAACAAACGGCAGCCACTTCTCTGTAGCATCAAGTACACTATGGCATTTACAAACACCCCTCTCTACGGTGGCTCAATAACCCTCGATCTCCCCTCCAACTTCGCCGACGCATCGTAAGTTCTTCTCTTATCCTGCGTGCCCCCACATCCCGCGCCTTGCCTTTGCATCGTCATCAACCCCACGCCCAATGTTCACAGCCGTCCAATACACAACCCCCTCCAAAATGATACGGCAGACCCCGAGCTTTCATGCTAACGATGTAACTCAACAGGCAAATCCGTCAGATCCCTGACCACCAGGAAGTCTACCTCGACAGCAATGGCTATTCTAGTATCGTCGTCGAGATACTAGAGTATGTCGAAAAGAGCAATGATGAAGAAGCTTTGCAGTATCATTTTGGCGATCTGGTCGAAGACACCGGCGACCAGACTACGATCATCTCGCAAGACCGTGCTGCGATGAAATCTTTGCCGTACGTAGTGCCCGACATCTTCAGAAAAGGGACCAAAGTGCGGGCACAATAGAATGAGAAGCCCTGGTATGTGTACATGGCTGACTGAGATTATAGGAACAACTCAGTCTTGACATTGACATTCATCCAAACCCCACCAACACCCAACCCACACCCCAATCGGAAGACTCCCGAGTTCACATATATTCACCTCATTCTTCTTCGCCTCAAGGAGCAAGGTACCGATGTAAGTAGCATTCCTTTCACCCAAACCTCCGTATGATCACCTCTTACTCAGCACTATTGACAAACCAATTTCGTCATTGCTAATGTACCTTTGAAGATTATGATCTCAATCAACATTCCGCACTATCCGGGCGAGTTCACTCCAGCAGAGCAGCAAGGTGACGAGACGCCATTGATGAAGGATAGTAAAGCGGTGAGAGAGAGGGTATTAGAGAGCTTCAAGGTGGAGGAGTGGGGACTCTTTGAAGGCTAAGGTCAAGACAAGAGATGTCATGAGGATATGCCTTCAATGAAAACAGGTGTCAAACGGATAAGAGAGAGTCGGTGCTGGAGATGAGTTGAATTATAGGACAGAAGAAAGATTTGGAAACGACCGGAACGTGTAAAGGGTGATGCAAGGAGAAAGGTAAATATGTATAGGGGTCAACATTCGAAAAGATGGATAGCAGTACGTAGTCGTTAGTTTAGCAGCATTCCTCATAGGGGTATCTATAATTCACAGTTAAAGAGTATCACCGCAATCATACTGAGGGAAACGATTCACGCTCACATGCTTCCATTGCTGTGTGATTGCATTATATAAAGATGCCGCTATGCTCTTGCAGCATTTTATTTCCCCGTGTGATTAACCATGCCGCCATGACCTACGACCATGTCCATCAATATAGACAGGTCGACGTCGTCTGTCAATTTTTGAGGTCCAGTATATGGATGCATCCATTAGTCATCCATGCCGTAGACCACTATGTTCGAAGATTCACATGCTGCATCTACTTACTTGTATTGACTCACACGATTCAACCTTCTTCGCATCTCCTCCCCTGCAGTAGGTGCCCGCTCATCTAAACCTGGGTCGAGACTCATGCGTTGATGATCAAGTTCACCTGCGCGGCCAGCACGATTTGAAACCTGAGCTGCGAGAAAAGGTGATGGCGGGAGATCAGCTAGGTCTGCAGCAGGTTGCATGCCTTGCATCAGCGCGGGATCAACAGGCAAGTCGTAACCATTGTCTTGAGAGTATTGCGGATAGATTGTGCCCTGCTGCTGTGCGGCCTCGAGTTGTAACTGGCTATTCGGAGAATCTGACGGAGGCGGTGGTTGCGTTGGTGAAAACAAGCTCGGTGGGGTAGGTGTCAGATTCGGCTGCGTGGCGCTTGATGAAAGGAAACTAGATCCTGATCTTGCCTCTGCACGCGCTTGGTTTTGACCCTGGCGCATAGCTGACAGGCCTTTGTTCATCTCGCTGCACTCTGGACAGTTACGAATGACCTGGCTAACAGTCTCCTTTATGCGAACCCAATGGTAGAGTTCGGCAATCGCTGCAGTAGTCTTATTGATGCCCCCATGGTGCTTGTGATGGATCTCGCGAGCAATCTCGTACTGCTGCTTAGGGTCTGCAATAACCTCCTTACCCTTCAGCCACAGCTTCTCGGGTTCGTCGCCCTCACTCGGCGTAAGCTTGTAATGAGTAGCTGCACTACGGAGACGGCTCTTCTCAGCTCGGTCAGCACCGTTGGGGTACTTTCCGTTCTTGAGATAGAAGCGAATCTTGTCGAAGCGCTCCTCAGATACAAACTCGTCATCTTGGCCTAGATCCCGACCGTATATGATGGCATCGACCAGCTCGCCTGGATATGACTTGAGGTTTCCACAACCCTTCACACGACCGATGCGCTTGAATCCGAGGGCGTCCCATATGCGACAGGAAGCGACGTTGGTTTCGTAAACGAGGTTGAAGACGGAGTATGTATAGCCCTGAGCAGGTTAGCGCATGCTGCCTAACGTCTGTGAAGAATCTCACAAGCTTTGGTGCCCAGTCTAGGTATGTCTCGCCCATCAAGCGACCAACACCTCGGTTTCGCGACGCATCTGTGACCAGAAACCCGCCGTTGCAGACATGGCTCGACCGTCCCGGGTAGTTGGGCTTGATATAGAAGCTACCCAGACATTCCCTCTCCCAGTCGCAGCCTCTCCGTGCCATCTCGTGCAGTTCTCGGCCATCCTGGATCTCACCCAGCAGCATAATGGCACCAAAGACACCGAACCAGTATGGACCAAACGCCTCAAGGGTCAGCGGCTCAACCATGGGATAGGTATCGCCCTTTTCAATCTCGCGTCCTAATTGATCGCATAGGTATGCCAGTAATGTGAGGGGAACTTGGTTCGGCGCAGAGAAGGGAATTATCGTTGCGCTTGTCACCCGGTCGCGCAGGATTACTTGACATGGTGCAATGCCCACTGGCAGCGGGCCACCAGGCGGAGGATATGGTACGTCGCCGGAAGTCCTATATATGACCGGCGCAGTAGGGTCATCTAGCATAGCGGGCATGGTGGGCAGACTGTCCTATGGGCTGTATCTACTGAGAAATTAGTATCGCGAGAATGACATATCGAACCCCACATTGGGAGCGGCATGTCCTCGCGACGGCGCGATTCAGGCGCCATGCTGGTGAAGCACAATTTGTAGACTTGGTACATGGTGACGACGTTGGTGTAGGACTTACGGAACAATGCGTAGGTGCCTGAGAGGCCCTAGGAATGGTCAAGCAGGATGAGAGATACTGCCGTGATGTGGTGCTCGCGGTGCGTGCCCAGCGAGATCAGCGAAACCCCCACTAGCGCCTTTTGGTACCAGCGAACCTCTAGCGCCATCAGCTCTACAACCGAGCAATCTGTACATGGTGTCTGACATGCCGCTGCTGGAGTTGCACATGTTGGCTTCATGATAGACACTGGAGCTGTTCAAGTAGCGCCGTCCGGGTACGTCCAGTAATCACCGACCTTCACCGTATCATAAGTGGAAAGCAGATCAGTGCACAAAGCGAGCAGCAAGTGTTCGAGACAGATTTGATTACGAAGCGCTGCAATAACGCCTACGCTATAGATGACATTTCAAAGAGACGATGACATTTCTACGAAAAACGATAGGGAAGAGCCTTTGCTGGATATCAATTGACATTTTGTAAGGAAAAAAAACTTTCGCGTCCAATGTACATTCGAAAGGTATTATTCAAGAAAGATCCTTCATACACAAGCATTCAAATGCTTCTTTCACGATCCCATCACACACACACTCTCTCTCTACGCAACGTCTTCACCACCTTACATCTCAGAGTACAGGAAGTTACCAGACTCGTCAACGTACTCGATGGTCTGCTTGGTGACACAGTAGCCCTGCTCCTCCCAAGGCATGGATGGGTAGGGGAAGACACCGTTGGAGGGGCTCTGGGGCATGGAGCCGTCGCTGCTAGGCTCGTTGTACTCGTCGCCGTCTGGTAGAGGGATGTCGAGCGCGCTGGGAACGTACTTGAAGGGCTTTCCAGCAGGAAGGTGAGCAGTGACGCTCTCGAGGACCTCGTAAGGAGCGCTCAGGTCAGGAAGCTCGTCGTCAGAAGCAGCAGGCTTGGCCTTGTTGCACTTGACGCTGATGTGGAGGTTAGGGATGTCGTCCGCGTTAAGCTCGCCGTCAACACCAACAACCTTGTAGTAGAGGTTCTCCTTGAGGTACGGCTCAATGTGTTCGGGACGGAGCGACTCGAGCTCACCAGCAGCTTCCTTTCCTTGGAGGCAGGTAGTAAGAGGGAGAGCACCCTCAGTCATGACAGACTGGGAAGCGTTACCACCACCTTGCATCATTCCACCGAGGATACCGTAAGAACCAACGTAGTTGGGGTCCTGAGTATAGTCGGTAGACGGGTCGTAGTCGGCATCGGCGGTGCTGTTGCTGTATGGAGAGGTACCAGTGCTGATAGGAACAACAGCGGAAGCGGTCGAGTTTGCAACTGGGTAAGGCGCAGTGGAGTTCGAAGTAGAGTTGTTGCCGGGCTTGCCAACAAAGCAGTGGACAGTGTAAGATCCCTTGAGAGCGTACTTGTCGGCGATGACGGAAAGAACAGTGTGGTAGTCACCCTCCTTGATAGGACGTCCAAGGTACTGGCCAGTCTCCGACTCGTCGTCACCACGCTTGGTAAGTGTCCTCTGACCGGCACCGTAAAGCTGAGTAACGGCGCGAGCCACCTGTTGGTAGGAACGGTCACTGGTCTCAGGGTAGTAGTATCCAAGGGTGCGGGTCTCCTTAACATCAACTGAAGTGAAGTAGTTACCGGCAGAGTCCTTGGTGAAGGGCTTAAGAGGAGTGTACTGGTTCTTAGGCTCACCCTGGTTCCACTGAGCCATGGGGCGCATGACGTTACCGTTGGAGACGTAGGTGTTGGGGGTAATGAGCTGGTACATGGCGAGCAGACGGTCAACATTGGTGTGGTGGAGCCAGAAGAGGGGGTCGAAAGCCGAGACATCGAGGTAGTACATGTGTCCTCCACTCTCACCACCAGCAGTGTTGTGGATGGCATCGTGAACGGATTCAAAGCTGTCAACACCGCCGCCGCTCAGGTCAGTGCGGACACCGATAGCAGAAGTGCTAGCAGCACCCCAGTTGGCCTTGCTGGAGAACAAAGCAAAGACACGGTCACGAAGAGAGACGCGCATAGCGTTGAAGCGGGCGTTCATTTCGTTGTTGTTGCTGCGGGTGGGGTTAGCAACCGGGCGACGGAGCGTCTGAGGGAAGTTGTTCCATGGGCCTCCGCCCATCTCAGATGGAAGCGTGTTGCCAAAGGTGTACTTGTACAGGGGGTTGTTGATGGTAACAGTTCCCTGAGGCTTGGTCACGGTAACAGTCTGGTCACGCATCTGGGTAGGAACGGTGGCGCCACCTTGTCCTGGGTCCATGGCCCAGTCCCAGTAAGGCATACGGAGAGTGGCCGCGGCGTTCCTCCATCGCTGCTGCTGGTTGGATGGGAAAGTAGCGATGACTTCCAAGACGCTCTGGTACCATGCTTGCTGCCAACTGTTAGTCTACGCTTGAGCATTCAATTCGAGTTTCATACCTCGTAGATGGCAAGGTAAGGCCTGTGCCAGGAACCGAAGAGAGCCTGCGCGTGAGGGCAGAAACCAGCCTGGTTCATGAGAGGCGTGGGGAAGTTGTTCCAGCTTTGAAAGGGACGACCGTGGACACCAGAAACCTGGTAATACGAAAGCCTGTCGTTCTTGTCCTTGGCCATGAACCTCTCCATACCCAGGAGGTACAAGTTCCACTGGTCGGCGTTGCGCGCCAAAGTACGGAGCTCGAGACGGGGCGCAGCAGTGTTACCGCCATTGCACTGGCCGTTGGATGCAGTACCGGAGCTGCACACACCAGTGATGGTTATGAACCCTTGCTGCGACTGACGCTTGGTTAGCTCACCCTCGATCTCGTTGATGTGAGCCTCAATGGCAGAATCTGCGTGGCGAGCAGGGTGGGCATGGTGGTGCGAGCCATGCTGGAAAGCAACAGTGAACTGCAAAATGGACAGGAGGGCGACTAGCATAGTCATCATGCTGGCGGGCTTGCTGAAGTTGGCCATGGTGAAGAACGTGGTGTATGCTTTTTGTGTTTGGTTGAAAGACCGGACGGGCCAAGAGTCTCGAAAGAAGCCGACTCGAAGAACCCGAAGAATGAAGAACTATTAAAACCGATGCTAAAGAGCGGAACGACCTTTGGATCAAGCCCAGAAGGTCTGGAAAGAAAACGTATGCTGTAGAAACCTCGACGTCAAAGAACGAGGAATCAGAGATGCGGCGTAACCGTAGCAGGGGCGGGCACGCGGCAGGGTCATATATCGAGGTATGCTATTCCTAGTCCATGCTCAACTTGGTCTAAACTCATGCTGTTGGTCGCCTTTTCGGACACGAGGCGGTTGAGCCTGGACCGGGGGGGTATATCGTATTCGTGGCGGCGTCGATAGTGACGGGGCACTATTGGATGGAAGATGGGATCAGTGGGGAGGTGAAGCGCCCCTGCTGGTCCCGAAACGTCTAAGGACGACTGATCCGCGCCGCCTTCCCCTGACTTAGCTAGATACGGACAAGAGCTTGCGCGCAAGGGCCGTTGAAGGCTGATGATTTGGGAGCCGACTGGCGCCGATGTGCGCCTCTCAGATGTCTCACGCTGGGGTCGCCAGATGCTGTGTCGCTACCACTGTAAATACGACGACGGACTGCCCTCCCTATCATCGTGCGACCTGTCCGCGCGACTGTGGACCAGAGCAAATACCGTGTCCACTCTCCGTACCGATGAACGAGTCGTTCCTCCGAGCGGGAAAAAGACGCATTTCGGCAGCAAAGGCCTTTCTGGGTGGCTAGCACAGCCACCTCGACGCCCCAGGCACGCTCCTACTGAGGAACCATTCGCAGTCCACAGGAGGACCGGTACTTTCACTTTCTGTATCCACTTCTCGCGCACCTTTTGATTGCGGCGTGTCTTGCGCATTCGCTTACCGGTCACATACCCACTCCATGCAAGGACACGCGCCATTGCGTTGCAACCTGCTGACCACGGCCTTATCAACGCATATCCTTATTTTGCCCCGCCGCTCATCGATTATGTGAGGAAGGTCTGCTACTATGCACGTTATGCGTTCTTTGCCCAGCAAAAGAGTGTCTTCGCCCCATTGCCCTTCTCGGCTGCTCGCTTGTTGGCCAACCTTGATGCAGGTACACACACCAGGCCATGTTTCACCAGGCCATGGATCACCACCCACATGTCAAGCACCTGAGTCGACACCGTTGTTTCAACCCTCCTATTTTCTGCATATCGCAAGTGCTTGAGTTGACTCAAGCTTTTCATCTGTGGAGATGGTTTATCGATATTGTCCCTCAACAAGTGCTGTACCTGCGGAGTGACGCCCAAGGACCTAGGTGGCGGGTTTATTAGAACCTAGAAGTCTATCTGGCTGCGTGTTTGGTCCGCTCGGTCGGTGCGCTGCACGCCCAGGTTTTGCAGCGGCGCGGCAATACGCCTGTGCCTATATTCACAGACCCGCGGTAAGATGCGAGGATTGACCCTCTCCACACGCGAGCCTCAGATCCGCCACGAGCCCTGGAGGGTCGCCGAGAATAAGCGGTTCGAGGCAACGCGCAATTCAATCCACTTCGTTTCTTGTGACGACATCGTTTCCCTTGACAAGAAAACCGCTTTCTATTTTTATTCGCTTATCCTCAAATACCGAGGGTTGATAGCTGGGGATCTAGAACGTGACGTTTTCACGTACACAACCTTGAAGATCATATTTTCCAATGTCTCGAACCGCGACCCGCGTCGCAGTCAACGAAGCATAATTATGGCACGGCCCATGTTGGCAAACGGCGCAGCGTTTCGTGAAAATGAAGGAGCGTCGACTAGGATGGATTCATACAGCAGCGGTGCCAGCTGGCAACATCACCAGCCTGACCTGTAGATGTATGATTGCGCTCTTCCAACGGCGATGTTTGATTGGGAGGTCGACAGCAAAACGAAACAAGCAGTCTATGGGAAGCTATTGTCCCAACGCAGTCGTCATTGATACACGTATCGAGGACCCGCAAGAAGTACCACGAAAGCACCGAAAGGACAGCGAACAACGACGTGACGGACAGGGTACTCGCCGCAGCCTCCGATCCAAATCAATCAACAAAGTAGATCTCTATTTAAGACGGACAATGAGCACGATATCGAGAGTATGCCGAAAGCACAATCACTGAAGCCAGGCCTTCAGTCATGAACCCGACAACTTCTTTCTTTGAGCTCTTGAACGACTATCTCCAAACCATCTCAGCTAGCCTAGCTATGTACAAAGACTTTGTTCGCAAAGATTGTTTGATCTGACTAGTAAATGTAGGCGATATAGCATACGAGTAAAATAGGCTTCAATGATACCCACGACCTGAAAATAAAAAACTCTTCGTACATCACTCTATGCATTTCATAGGCGGCGTCATGTCCAAATGTTCTTAGCCGTACGATAATCCGCCTCCACCCCTACTCGGAATGCTACGAAGAGATCGGCGGGCAAGCCCATGAAGTACGCAAGAAAAGCGGCCCAGCATGTGGAAACCTTGCGAACGGGCCTACCAGCGTAAGTGCCAATGTACGAAGTGCATGTGAGACATACACTGACCTCGTACATCCATATTCAGAGTCACCAACTATTGCCATGTTTGTAGAGAATGTGAGGTTATGGTCCGAATGCAAGAAGATCGTACATCGAGACAAGGGAGTTGAGAGTTGTCTCAACTATAGTCGTGGTTACTGGTACAAAGTGTAGATTTGGCGAAAACAGAAGTACGTCATGCGGACTATAGAGTTGGGTGGACATCAAGCTTCTCTCTGCAACCCATCGAAGAAGATTTTCATGTCATTATTTAACATTGAGCGTCGTAATGCGCTGGTCAAACTACAGTACTGTGTTCGTCGATGTCCTCTACTCAACGGTATAGTACAAGTCATGTTCATTGTATCAAGTGAAGAGGGAAAAGAGTACATGAAATATCATATTGGAATCCGCGCGTTACGCTTCAAAAACATAGAATTGGCAGAAAACAAAGAAATTGGGTATATGTTGTCTAAGACAAGCGACGATACAGTCAAACCTCATAGCATATAACCGATATACTCTTTTACAGATCAAAATCCATTCGTCATCGTCATCAATTCCCGCCTCAATCCTCCCTAATATACGCACACTACTGGAAAGCTCCCCTAATCTTAGCATAAAGCTCTGTATCCAAGAAATTGTAATTCGGATCGCTGAAACAGAAAGGCGCTCGTAGGAGCGTTTCAGCCGTAGGACGCTCCATGGGATCAATAGTGAAGCAGTCGTACATGAAACTTAATCCCTCTACTCCAATCACCCTGGACACATCTTCGGGGATGGGAGGAGCCTGGTTCAAGCTACCGAGCTTGTAAATGGCACCAATGGCTTCTTCCTTGGACCACGGACGTTTACCAGCAAACATTTCTAGGACAACGCAACCCAGAGACCAGATGTCGACCTTGGCAGAATACCCTTGGCCCTGTGAGCGAATCACTTCGGGAGCCATCCAGAAGACGGAGCCTTGCATGCTGTTTGTCACGTCATTGCCGTAGATATTGTCGCTCTTCTTGGATATGCCAAAATCTGAGATCTTACATGTGCCGTCCAGGTCCAGCAGGATGTTGTCGGCTTTAAGATCGCGATGAAGAATGCCTTCACGATGGAGGTATGAAAGGCCGAGCAGAGTCTGCCGTGTGAGTGAAGAGACAACAGACTCTTCAAATTTGCCGTGCTTGCGGATGCAAGACCCTACACTACCACCAGAAATGTACTCGAGAAAGATTGAAATGCTGTACTCTTTGCGTTCGCATCCGAGGTACTGCACAATGTTGGGGTGGTCAAGATGCTGCATGGTATCGATCTCTTGATCCAAACTCTTCACGAGTTCTTTGATCTTGTCTTTGTCGGACCCAGCGGCCTTGGCGTTGACCTCGACTTGTTTGACAGCGATAAGCTCTCCGGTGGTGATGTTCATACCAAGGTAGACGCGACCAAATGTGCCTTTGCCAATGAGTTGACCCTTCATCCATTTGAATGTTGGCTGCCGCGACGGGACACTTGGTAGATGATCTTGAGGTATCGTTTCCATGACAAGGCGCGAGCCGCGTTGAGGTCGTACTTGCTCAGTTCTGGCATTGAACATTTTCGTCGACTTTCGCCTGACAATATCGCCACCATTGCGTAGCGTAGCAACTCGCGATGGACCAGCACCAGCATGTGCCTGGCCTGGGAGTGGCCTCTTGTCGAGTGGCTGGTATTGTGATTTCACCACTTCACGAATAGATTTGGTACGGCCCAGGCCAGCGCCCGACTTTCTCATGTTTCGCTGCGCGATACTCTGCAGTCCGGCACCACCACGAGTGAGGGGCTGGTTGACAGGAGTGGGCTCGACCGGCGCAGGCTGGGAGTCGTTGGCTGGCTCAGCGGCGCCATCCGCATCCTCTTCCTCAAGCATAGGTTGGTCGAGGTTGACATTCGGGAAGAGCTCATCAAGGTGTTCCACAAGGGCTTCAGCTGGCGGACGGTTTGCCCAAACATCGCTAGCGAAGGATTCGCGACGCGAGAACTTGTTTGTATCATTCGGGGAATCGGTCCAGGTTGCAGATGCAGCCGATTCAGGATGGAAGTCGCTTGGTTGTGAGTCACGATCCCCAATTGCGCTTTGCTCAGCGGACTTCTCCGTAACTTGCGCTAATGAGTTCTTTGACCGTTGTGTCTTAAGTGTAAGGTTTGGCCGTTGGCTACGGGAGTTGGTTCTAGTGATGGGTGTGTTCTTCGCAGGTGTGGGCGGACCAGCTCGTCCTGCGAGCGGCGCAGCGAATAGACCATCATCGGAGTCATCATCGTCGGAATCCAAAGGTTCAAGGTTTGGTGACTTTGTAATAAACGACACTCGTGCTTCCTCAAAATCATGAGTAGGGCCATATATAGATACCCTTGATGGCTCTCTACTCAGTGTGGACTCTGGGGCTTGCGCTGTGTGAGGGCTTCGATTCGGTGAGCGAGATCGTTCGTCTCTTGGTCGTGTCACTGCCGGGTCGGGCATAGCGAGGGTAAGGTCTGGCCTCTCATTTGACGTATCATCTCCGAAAGCTTCCTCATAGTCAGGTATTCTGAAAGGTATATTCCCCTTGCTCATTGTGAAATCGCCGGGACTGCGAGGTGACCCACCTGGACTATTCCTGCCAGAGCCGGATCTAGCTCCGAATCCATTGTCCTGCAGTATCTGTTGCGATGGTCGAATACTCTCGGGTGAGCCTTCCTCCTTTGAAGGCGGTTGCTGACCCTTTGGTTGTGGTGCGCGGTTCGCTGCTCCAATTCCCGCACCAAGATTACCAGCACCGATGATGGCGGCAGCAATGCCCCCTAATCCACTTGCACCTTGTGGAATGGCTTTGCGCTTTTCTGACTGTGATTCGGTTGATCTTCGCTTGTCTTGACCATCGTCACTTTCGGGCCATGAGCCACGGTTTTTAGCCCTTGACAACGAATTAGCCTTCAATAGCGTGCTGGTATCGGCAGGTACCGGTGGTGGTTCTCTTAGAGGAACGAGTTGCTTTGGCTTCCCGTCGAATTGTTTCTTCACGTCTTCGTAAGGAGAGGCGCGGGGCTCGTCAAAGTCAACAATGCGTTGGCTTCGGTAACTAAGGTTATCACTCGAAGTAGGGTTCAGATCAGGACTGTGTCCATTGATCTTTTGGAAACGACTCCTCAAGTATTCATCCTGTTTCCGCTTGGTTTCCTTCCGATGCTCTTCAGCAGCGGCTTCTAGCAGCTTCCGTCGTTCCTCTTCAGCCAAGTCATCACGCGGTTCCCACGCAGACTCTGGAGGCCTGTCGACCGGGTTGTTTGGCACAGGCTCAGCCTTCTCTGCCATCTTACGAAGAGCCGCACTTCTGTCGGCGACTAGCGTAGACTCTCCAGACTTTCCACCTGGGGAGTCTAGCTGGGAGTCGGCGTTGAGCCGAGAGTATGCATCTTCATCGATAGACCTGGCAGCTGTATGAGGAACCGAAACTCCTAGTCCGGCAGATGGAGGTACGGCTCCCTCTTGGGGTATCTTGACAAAGATCTTGAGCTCGCCAACTCGGTTTCCGTATTGCGACCGAGCCTTCAGCAACTTGGAGTCTGACAGAGGATGATCGTGCTCTTGCTGTCCGGGTAGCGTAAGATGCAACTCTACACCAGGTATATGGCTCAATCCCTGACTCAGCTCTTCACAACACACAGTCCGTAGAGATGCTGCTGAGTCTACATTGGTGATGTCAATAAGGCGGTAGTTCCAGCCATCCGGTGTTACGAAAGCGTATTTACGGTCTTCTCTCCCAGATGCACGGGTGCGACCCGCTGCTCGGTTGTCGGAGTCTGTCTGAGCTGATCGTCTCGAAGGGGGCCGCTCGTTCAAAGATGTTTCGCTTGAGTTCATGCCAGACTTTCCGAAAAGGGAGCTGCTTGGATGAGTACGATGGCTTGCCGGACTGGTGGGCGAATCAAGACTGGTGTCATCAGGAGATGGGTGATTCTCCTTCTTTCGCCCACCCATGATCTTTTTGAAGAAACCCTTCTCATGATCCTTAGCACTAGTCGGCACCTCCATATCGTATCTTGCCAATCCGGTGCCTGGCCGTGAGCCTTCGTAGCCGTTCTTCCGGTTCTCGTTCCGGCTCTCAGACCGGTTCTCAAATGACCTACCCGAGGGTGGACCGGAGCCAGTATTAGCGAACGTGGAGTTTATTGATTCAGTGCTATTGACGCGGTTGTGAGGAGAGTAGTAGCGGGATCCGTTGTTATTCAAACCCGCGCTGAGCTGCCCCCCGTTAGTAGCAAGGCGGGCTGATGATAAGGCTGGGCTTTGTTGTGGACTTGCTTGGCGATAGTTTGTCGTACCCAGAGAGGATGGCCCAAATTCCGAGGATGCGTTTGGACTGTGCCGGACAGACTTTGGATCGAGGCCTTGGAGAACTTCTCTTGAGTAGGGACTGCGTGCCGGTCCCTCGGAAAAGTCTGGAGTCGGACCAAGGCCTGGAACTGTGAAATTGCGCTGCTGTGTAGAGATGCGTCTGGGTGGATTTGTGCTGCCACCAGGCGAATGTAATAGCAATTGGCGACCAGGGCTCTCTTCGCCGTTGCCAGCTGTGGTTGGTGTCGATCCAAAATCCATGCCCCGCGTGCCAATGTAGGGTGAATTCTCGACAGTGCCCTCTGTTCCGGCGCTCGTCATGCCAGTATCAGATCGTTGCGGTGCTGCCCGAGGATTGGCGGTGGTGCCAGTCTCAACAATGGAGCGTACAAGTCTACGCAGCTTGCGACCCTCGTCCCGCTCTCTGTTCTGGTCCCATCCAGTCCCACTTGCGGTGCATTGCTTGGCCAGCTGCGGAAAGATGACCTGATGCATCATGGCTACATTGCCTTTGCTACCATGGCCACGGCCAATGTCCAAGAACTTTGAGCCTTCGAGACCCAATGTCCTGAATGTTTCTTGCCAGTCTCGCGAGAAATTGTTGCTCGCTAGCCAATGTTGTACACGTTCAGCGGGCCAGTGCATCGAGTGGTCGTGTGGAGATATGGGCGTGGTGCCGTTGCTTTCGGAGCGGTGGTAGACGCTGCCATGGTTCTGGACCATTGGATTCTGTAGGGTTGCGGTTGGCGGCCCAGAGGAGTCGTAAACCTGAGCTCGTTCGGTGGGTATATTGAGGTGATTGCGACTACTGGGCGTCTGGGGAATGTTGAAGCCGTTGTTGGAGCCATATTGCACGCTTTGCACGCTCTCGAGGAGGCTGCTAGAGAAGGCCTGGGCCGACGTGTCAGGGTTGGCAGAGTAGTTGTCGTCCCTGTAGTAGGGCTCGGGATAGGCTCCTCGCGAAGTGTGCAGTGGAGGTATGCCTACGCCGGGACCAAACGACTCGCCGCCGGGGATGTATGTGGCTGATGTTAGAGGGGGTTCGCGCTCGTGCTGGATTTGTTGAGGCGGAGGCCCTGGGGGAGGGGGGATGTTGTGAGGGTAATTGCGATACTGGCCCGGGTCGTAGCCTTGCTGCTGGTACTGGGGCCTTGGAGGACCCCAGTTGTTGGTAGCATGCGGGGGTGGCGGGATGGGTATGCCGCCCAGGTTGCCGTAGTTGGTGGGCCGTGGCGGCGGCGGGGGAAGGGCAATGTGGCTGGCGGGCGTGCTCGAGGGCTGGGGCGGCGGAGGGGGGATGTATTGATGCATAGCTGAACCGTCGAGGTATGGCTGCTGCTGCTGGCGGTGCGTGGTGAGTGGGTCGGCAACAGTATGCGCCCTCGCACGCGGGCTCGTAGAAGGCGCGCTGGCGCCGCCGGGGGAGAAGGAGGGATATGGCGAGCCGAGATTGCTCAGGCCCAGAGGCTGGAGCGACGACGAGGGCGACGAGGTGACGCTGGGGATGTCGGGCAGCGGAAGATTGGTGGGCGGGATGCGGTTCGGGCGAGGCCCGCGACGGGCAGCAGGGTCCGAGGGATTGGAGATATTTGACGCGGAGCGCTGTCGAGGCTCTTGGGTCATGTCTTGACCACGGCACGGCGGTGGAGGCTCCTCGGATGGGTCAGAGGCCAAGGTCCGTCACATCACGACATGCCTGGGGGAGCCAGCTGCCAGACGTGGTGGGCTCCTTGGGCTCCTTTGTCCGTGTCGATGCAAGTTGCGCGGGTGGGTCCCAGGACCAAGGCGACAGGTCGAATACGGGATACGAATCGCGGAGCCGTTGGGACGAACGGGGGGGTGAACGATGGAGTCTGGAGGTCAGAAACGCGGCGCCTGCGCTTGCGTCGACGAGGGCGCTTCGACGAGGGCGGATGCGCTTGGCCGTCGCAGCACAGATGGGATGGAACCACGGCGCGGGAGATTGCGAGGGCAGTGGGGACAGCGGCGAGGGCAGCGGCGACAGCAGCAACAGCAGCAGCAACACAACGACGAGGGGCAGCGACTGAGCGACCGAGTGCGCCGGCGTCCACATGCTGCCTGAGGGTCTGGCGGTGGTGAGAGCTACGGCCCGCGCACGGGCCAGGTGTGAAGCCGGCACCGTGATTTGCTGGACGCGCCTCTGAACTCTTGCGCTGTCAGCCGTTGCACCCTTCTCGACCCGCCTCTTGCACGCTGTAACTTTCAATGCGCATCCATCATTACGTAGCCACCGGAGAGACACCGTCGCGAGCCCACTTGCCGTGTTTCATCTCACACGAGCACGTGGCGGTGCTGGCCTCGCACCGCCACAATTGCTGCTGCAGCACTCAGTCCCCGTTAGTCAGGTACTGACTGGCCCGGCTATCTGCTCCCGAGCACCACCTTTGCTCGTATCAACCTAATGTCTAATTTCAATCTTCACCTCCTTTCGCCCTCTCCGTCGCACTCACAAAACTTTGTCTTCCGCTCCAAGTCTCGCTAAACTCCTGCAAATACCATTTTCCATTTCTCCTAGTATGTTTTGGTGGGGCACCCGGTTAGTCGACAGGGCCAACCCTCCCTCCAACCTGGGCCGCAGAGCGCACAATGTACATCTACCAGCATCACGGCCAGCTGGACGTCTTGTCCTGGGGCACCTTCACTGATTGGCAAGTTTCAATATGGCGATATTTCGGCGTTTTGGTCCTGCTACAACAGTACCTCGAGCGCGCCAGCTTGTTCGTTCCTGGTGTGGTCAACTTGGCCATTTTCAAGCTGGCACATTCGAGTGCACGCGACTTGCTCCTGCGAGGCCTGTGCAACATCGCAGCATCTCAAGCACCAAAGCCACCCCACGCATTCATGTCCTGGGCCTAGGAAGTGTCGGCGCTTTCACTGCCCACTCGCTTGCTGAGATACCTGCAAGACCAGCGGTAAATCTACTGCTTCATCGTCCCTCTCTTGTGCAAGACTATGTGGAAAATGGAAACAGGATCCGATTGAAGACGCACCAGGGCCAGAATGTAGCTCAAACGGGCTATGACTTGGAGGTGTTGCACGGTAAAACCTGGCACTTGATGCAGGATTCGCGCACGTATGGGGCTGCTGAGGTATTGCAGTCAATAGGAACCCCAGTCGATGAGAACATCGGCGACCTTATCGTGTGCGTCAAGTCTACCCAGACGGTTGCAGCCCTACAGCCTCTTCTACCCAGACTTTCGCGCAAGTCCAATGTTATGTTTCTGCAAAATGGCGCGGGCATGATCGAAGACGCAAACACATTCCTTTGGCCTGATCCGCATGTGCGACCAAATTACGTTACGGGAGTGATATCGCACGGCATCACTCTGAACAGACCCTTCGATATCACTCACACGGGGCCTGCAGCAACATCAGTAGGACCAGTTCCTCGAGAAGATGGTGACGCAGCTCAACCGCTTTCGCGGCTGCTAGACATTCTACCTCTTGCACACCGTCTGAAATGCCAGGCTTATTCGTGGCCCACTATAGTAAGTGCCCCTGTACAAACTTCATGCGAGGCACACACTGACTTGGTACACCCACATCTAGCTTCAGGTCCAACTAGAGAAGCTCGCCTGCAACGCGCTCAGCAACCCTATCTGTGCACTCGAAGACGCAGTGACTGCCTACATCCTCAGCATTCCAGAAACCAACATGAGACTCATGCAGGAAATCTCATCCGTTATCCTCGCTCTGCCTGAATTACAGGGTGTGGAGGGTGTGAAGGACAGATTTTCGGCGAAATCTTTGCACCACACGGTTATGGATATCATTGAGAAGAATAGAGCAACTACGGTGAGTATGGTGTGGGACATGAGAAATAGACGAGAGACGGAAATCAGATATATCAACGGGTACTGGGCTAGACGTGGGAGGGAAGTAGGTGTAAGAACACCCTTGAATGACGAGCTGGTGGAGAGAGTCCAGGAAATGACTGCAGATAAGCTGCGGGGAGCTGAGCTGTGATCTTCACGTTCTGATGTATGATTAGCAAAATTCAGACTTGGATCAATGTTGGGATTCTGCTGTGGATAGACGGGTGATGATGCAGGTTGACCAAATACATGTTGATGGAGTGGTACGGCCCACGAGGCGCCCCGCTTTCAAATGTCTCGATTCCACTCTGACCAACAATCTCGTGCTCGATACAAGTTATTTCCACGCCGCGATAACAGTGTTGGTACGAAGAAAATTGTGAGCGTAAACGAAGCCTGGAGCTGCAAGCGCACGCATTCGGTAGCAAGACCACGCCGCAGATCTGATACCTCACGCCACCTGGGCTGACAAACAGCGTGTATGCAGCGCGTCGCGTTACTATGGTGCAGTGTCCCACGTCCACCCGATGCACTCGCACGAGACGCGCCCAACAATGGCGCTGGCCGGTAAAGACCGGACATGACCTCATTGCCATGAACTTCGCGGACCCTTCTTAAAAGGTAGCTGCGCCCAACAGCCACCATCATACCAAATAAACTATTTTCTTAGCACCAAAGCTTCAATTATCTGACAGCTCGGCAATATGGCACAGGATCTACGCTCCCAGGATATCAAAAATCCAATTGACATTGCAGAGGTGAGTCGTGCGGACTGAACACGCATGTGAGAACGTGCTAATTGACCGACGCAGTACCTCTTCCGCCGACTTCAACAAGTTGGAGTCGAGTCAGTGCATGGTGTGCCAGGAGACTACAACCTCGTCGCACTTGACTACATTCCCAAAGTCGGCCTGAAATGGGTCGGCAATTGCAATGAGCTCAATGCTGGTATGTAAAGCTCATGTTTGCGCTACCAGCGGCTCGCTTGCGGGAGCGACCGAAGTCGATCCGCCCGCCTCATACTATATATACTGACGATCACTATAGGCTACGCGGCAGATGGCTACGCAAGAGTCAAGGGCATCTCTGCATTGGTCACAACTTTTGGTGTTGGAGAACTCTCGGCAGTCAATGCTATCGCTGGCGCTTACTCCGAATACGTACCCATAGTCCACATCGTCGGCTATCCTTCGACTGCATCCCAGAAGAACGGAGCACTGCTACACCACACTCTTGGAAATGGCGACTTTACTGTTTTCTCGAGGATGTCCAGGGAAATCTCATGTGCTGTGTCCATGCTGAACAGCCAACACGAAGCGGCCATGCTCATCGACAATGCCATCCGGGAATGTTACCTAAAGTCGAGGCCCGTCTACATATCTTTGCCTAGCGATATGGTGACGAAGAAAGTCGATGGCGACCGCCTCAACACACCACTGGATCTGGTATACCCACAGAACAACCAAGAAGCCGAAGACTATGTTGTAGATGTGGTCTTGAAATATCTACATGCAGCAAAGAACCCTGTCATCCTTGTGGATGCATGCGCTATCCGCCACCGAGCGTTGAAGGAAACTCACGACCTCATCAAAAAATCAGGCATCCCTACATTTGTTGCGCCAATGGGAAAGGGCGCAGTGGATGAGACGCTACCCAACTATGGTGGTGTATACGCCGGAGACGGTTCCAACGCCGGTGTGCGGGAACGTGTTGAGTCGTCAGATCTTGTTCTCAGCATTGGTGCTATCAAATCCGACTTCAATACTGCAGGCTTCACCATTCGCATGTCTCAGCTGACCACCATCGATCTACACAGCTACGGATGCAAGGTACGCTATTCGGAATACCCGGGTGTAAGAATGAACGGCGTTCTCTCCAAGGTTACAGCAAAGCTAGGAAAGCTGAACATTGAGTCCGGACCCAACCCAAACAACAACATTCCAGACAAGGAGACCGCATCTACTGAATCATCTATCAAGCATGCCTGGTTTTGGCCAAAACTCGGTCAATGGCTGAAGAAGGACGATATCCTCATTACCGAGACTGGTACCTCTAACTTCGGCGTCTGGGAGACTCGCTTCCCAACAGGCGTCAACGCCATCTCACAAGTCCTCTGGGGCTCTATCGGATACGCAACTGGCTCCTGTCAAGGTGCCGCCCTCGCCGCCAAAGAATCAAACATCAAGCGCACTATACTCTTTACAGGTGACGGCTCTTTCCAACTCACAGCGCAAGAGGTCTCGACTATGATCCGCAACAAGCTGGCTCCTATCATTTTTGTGATCTGCAACAAGGGTTATACAATTGAACGACTCATCCACGGATGGGAGGACTCCTACAACGACGTTCAGGAATGGAAGTACAAGGATATCCCCCGTGTCTTTGGCGCCGAAGAAGGCAGTGTGCTTACATATCGGGTCGAGACAAGGGAGGAAGTTGAGAAGCTGTTCCAAGACGAAGAGTTCTCTAGTGGCGAGACGCAGAAGATGCGGTTTGTCGAGTTGGTCATGCCGTGGGATGATGCACCGGCTGCGCTCAAGGCGGTTGCTGAGGCTGCGGCGAAGACGAATGCTAGTGCTGAGTAGACGGTATAAGGAGGGGTTTGTAACTAATAGATGGTGTTAGGAAAAGACTTGGATATAGGATATGGCATTGGGCACGGTTCTCTTCTCTTCGTATGAATAATGACAACATAGCCCTATTCAAATATAATCTTACATACGTCACTGGCTTCATGACTTGAAACTTGATTCGAACATGTAGCAGAGAGCCATTGCAAGTAAAGCAAGTTGATCTACACAAATGCAGAAGATGGAAAGTGATAACAGAAGCGTACGCCGTCGATTTGTATGTATTTCAACCATCGTTCCTTCGTAAGATCTTCGTATTGTCTTAATGTATCGACCATATCTTATCGCCTCTTGCTCTCGATATTATACCATTACGTTTACTTTCTGACCTCCAACTCTTATTTACAAAGCGATAGCAAAGACAACCGCCAACACTGTCGTGCTCATTGCCGCCCAAAACGTCCTGCCAGCGATCATCATGCCACTCGCATCACCCGAAGCAGAACCGTCAGAGTTCGCACCATCTCCTGTTGGGCTCGGGCTCGGCCTCGGGGGCGGAAAGCTTGTGTTTGTGGGCGTCTCAGTAAGGTTCTGCACTGTAATCCAGGTCGCGGCGATTCCGGTTGTTAGGTTCGCGTCAGCCGCGAACTGGCTAACGTTGAAGCCCACCCTGTTGTCTGCCAGATCGTCGTACACGGAGGGTATGCTAAAGTTGCGTGGCTGTGCCATCAGGATGAACGTGTAGCTGTGCGGGATATCGCCGACAGGAGGCGAGGGCTGGAGGTACGGGACGGGATTATCCGAGGGGATTACAAGCGGCGATCCTGTTGTGTTGGCAGAAATGGGCACGGAGCGTGTTACATTTGTGGCAATCCAGTGAACGAGTTGGACGCGCGAGTTGTTACGGGGTACGTCGAGGTCGACCATGAGGAGGACGCACCGGCCGGGGCCTTGCTCGTCGGCGAACCATACTGGGGACGAGATTGTCGGGCGTTGTGCGGTTTCTGGTGACGAGTGTCAGTTTGGAGTTGCAGGGACTCAGATCGATTCAACTCGACTGCGCCGCGACGAAAGAGATTGAAGCATACCAGGACGAGGAATCAGCTCTCCACCAGGCGACACGGTATTGTTCCCGTATATGACCGTCAAGTTCTGGGAAACCTGGATGGGAAACCCAGGTGCTGTCGCCGCCGTCGCAACACCCGCCAGTAGCGCAGTGGCGCTCAGAATGGTCTTGGTGAACATGTTGGTCGTCGTCTTGGTCGGTGTTGTTGTTGTTGTTGTTGTTGTTGATCGTGGTGGTGTGTTGTGTTGCGCCGTGATGGCAGTCGTCGCTTGATGATGCGAAAAACGAAGGAGCGTGCGCTGCTTCTTTAATTCGTGTCTTGGATCTGCGCAAACTGCAAGAGCCTGGCGGATGTTTCGTAGCTAATGGCCTAATTCCGAGTACCCGAAGTGACAGCTCCAGATGTCGTTCATGACGTTAACCAAGACTTGGTCAAGGGCCGGCCTTGCTCGGGGTTTAGGCCAGGACGGCATTCCGGCACAACTCACCTGAGCGCGAGCGCTGATTTGATTGCCTGAGGGCCCGTCTTCATGCCGTAGTCGGCGTTATAAACACGACCGCGCTGGTCGCCTCGTGCTCATGAGCCGTTGGACCTTTGGTCGGAGTAACTGACTCCTGCACTGGTAGGTGTTTTCATCATGTTCGCGCCAGTCTAAGCATGCGCCGTTATCTTTGGCCGCGACACGTGAGGACCACAGCAACGGATACCGGCAGAATGCCCATGGCTATTCATTCAGGCCGCCCTCAAGGCGTGCACGATTCCTTCAAGATAAACCACGCATGGATAAAGTGTGCCTGCAATTCGTCTATGCTCTATGTTTTAGAAGGCCTGTCTTAGCTCATGCTACTCGAAACACTGCTCATTGCCTGTCCCTATGATCGACTGATCATGTGGTCTCGTGCAGGGCCAACGCCAATCCACTTGACCTTCACTCCGACAAACTTCTCAATGTACTCGATGTAGTTCCTCGCCTGGACGGGCAGGTCGTAGTAGCTCGTTACACCAGTTGTAGGCTTTTTCCAGCCAGGCAGCGTGTCGTACTGTACTTCGACTTGGCCAAGTATCTCGATGTTCGCAGGGAAGCCTTCGAGCACTTCACCGTTGTACGAGTAGGATGTCGCAACTTTGAGCTCGTCAAAGTCGTCGAGGACGTCGAGCTTGGTGAGGTTGATGGCGGTGTAGTCGTTGCAGGCGTGCGAGTGCTTGACGACAACAAGGTCTAGCCAGCCGCAGCGGCGCTTGCGACCGGTTGTGACGCCAACTTCGTGGCCTACCGATTGGAGCTTCTCGCCCAGCTCGTTCAGCTGCTCGGTAGGGAAGGGTCCGCTGTCGTACGTTAGACCACATTGCTCGTTTTTGGATAGTAATATAAACTCACGATCCGACACGTGTGGTGTAGGCCTTCACTACACCGACGACCTCCTTCAGTGACCGCCAGCCCAAGTTGAGACCTGTGATGACACCTCCAATACCAGTGTTCGATGATGTGACGAAGGGATATGTTCCGTAGTCAATGTCCAGCATCAGCGCGTTCGCACCTTCTACTAGAATCTTAGCGTTCTTCTCCTTGGCCGATGCGACGAGTGGGATCTGGTCGACGACATAGGGAGCAAGCTTCTCGCGCAGAGTCTACTCATACTGTTAGCCTTCGCATCGCAACATGCAATGCCGCCATGACTAACCTTGTACTGCGCAATCTCCGCATCCACGTCGTACTTGAGCAGATCACCGTATCGCTTCTGGAATCCCGAGGCTAACCTCCTGAGCTTCGTCTCGAAGATCTGCTCGTCGAACAGGTCGCACATGCGGAGACCGCTCCTGGTCATCTTGGTGCTGTAGGTTGGGCCAATACCCTTCTTGGTTGTGCCTATGTCGCACAATCAGCACTGGTGTCCCTCGCTATGCGCGTATGTTCCTCACCAATCATGCCACCACCCAGTTCCACTTCTTCCAGACCATCCACCTTCTGGTGGACGTCGAAGACGACATGTGCTCTGTCCGAGATGAATATCCTTCCTTCAGTGTTCAAGCCATGTTTCTCCAGCGCCTCCAATTCCTTGAAGAAGCTCGGCACGTGGACGACGCAGCCACTTCCGATGACGTTGATGCAGCCGGGGTTTACAAGACCACTGGGGAGGATATGGAAATCGTACGTCACGCCGTTCGCGACGATGGTGTGTCCGGCGTTGTTACCGCCTTGGGCGCGGCAGCAGATTTGCGATTCGTGAGCGAGTATGTCGGCGAGCTTGCCCTTGCCTTCGTCGCCCCATTGGGCCCCGAGCACAACGGTAGTTGTCATCGTGAGAACGAGGAACGAAGAAAAGGGAATGGACGGGGCGGCGGGTGGGTTTTCAACAGCCCATGGAGAAGCGGACTTGGCCGAGTTAGTCACAAAGTCCAATAAAAAGATTTGCGCCGTTGGACGTCGCAATCAGCGCGTTGAAGCACCGTTAGACTCAGCGCGAACGGATGACTTGGGCCGATTTCGCTTACGCTGATGAGGGCTCAGATTTCACGCGCTGTGCAATCTCACGACTCAATTGCTCGTTGCCAGCGTTCGGCGTTATGTTTCTTTTACCATCTTTGTACCCCACCATACCCCACCATACGACACAATGCCGCAATTTTCAGCACGAGCCAATGACGCATGTACCTCAAACCATAACCCTATTCTTCTAAGTTTGTGCTAGACTACCATAATCACGATGGATAATCCGGTGAGACAAGACTACATTGGCAGCGAGAAAGATGCATTGGAATCTACCTACTCGAGTGCTCTTTCGCTTTCTTTGCAAAACACGTATCCGGCTACCAGAGGTCAAAGTCGCATCTCCACTTGTGGCTTAACCACGCCAAACAGCTGGACCTGGTGGCTGATATGTCTCAGGGGCTGCCGTGTACTTGTTCAGATCTACGAGAATCCCTGGGTCGTTGCTTCTGCAATCGCGTGTTAGTGTATGCATACATTACACGCTACCTCAACTTACTTGTATGCGCCAGGCAATGCAACAAGAGGTCCAGGAACCCCGCTTCCTCCCTCGGTAATTTTGATCTGCGAGCAGGCCAGGTAAAACTGCGCTTTGTTGGCTTGCATAGCCATGTGTAGTGCTATGTGTTCAACGCGAAGCAGGTACTCGCCCGCGGGTGTCGTAGCAGGAATTGTTGTGTTGGGAGTAGTATACTCATCTACAAAACACTATTAGGAAATGGTCAGATTCTAAAGGGATGACAGACTCTGTCCTGGCCAGCCCATCTGTTTCTGCGCATTTACGCTCGGCATCGTAGTGCTGATTTTGAACCACACTGCGCCACTCCCATCCCAACTCTTTTCATCCCTGCCGTCTGGAACCTTTGCAAGATAGTATTGTGTCGGTCCTGGGTGGTTGACTTGTTGCGTCGAGATATAGTGGACGGTTGACCCGGCTGGCACAATTGCAATATTTGGAGCGGTTTTGGAAGTGTAGCAGCGAATGTCAGCAACGGTGGGGTTCTACATGAGTAGTGAGTGTAACAAGTATGCGATAGTAAAGAAAATTGTGACCATCGTAGAATACCTCAATGCCTTGCTTGGTATTTGCGTTCTTGGTCTCGCGTGTCGAAGACCGGTCTTTAGCCTCTGGCTTTCCTTCAATTACGAGACGTGGGAAAGTATCTATTCATGTGAACTTGCATGAAGAACATTTGATAAAATCGGCTTACAGTGTGCCTGTGCTACAGTAGCGACAGCCAGAATTGTAGCGAGTACATGCATAACGGGCATTCGGATCATACACGATGTGAAACGGTTTTTGCTTTTACCTCGATCTCTTATATGTGGTCCATCGTCAGAGTTATACGGACGACATACCAGCTGACTCGAGAACCTTAGATATATGAGCTTGGCTATATCGCAGATACTAATGTAACCTATTGGGCACTGCAAGTATATTACAATATGCCAATGTCGATGAAATGACCAATAGACATCGGCCTCCGTATATGTCATATACTAGATTCAGACATCTGCCGGCACAGAGTGAGGGCACAGCTGAATCATATATCGTCGCAAGCGCGACATCGATTTCACAATCACAATGCGATGATGCAGACATTTTGATCACCCATAGGTTGTCGGACAAGTCTTTAGAGAAAAGTTGAATTCCCATATAGCACGAGTCATGCCGCTACGCTAACGTCGAGCAAAGTAAAACGAACGAAATGTTGAGGTCGTGTCGAATCGTGAGCATGCACATCTAGTGCATGTAGCGGAACTCAGGGTGTCTGTATCCGAGGTCCTTTATCTGAGCAGCGGTTTTGCCAACCAGACGGTGGTCTCGCTTGCCCAGGTCGCGCTGCTTGTTCTCCCACTTGCAATAAAAGATTCCGAAAGTGGCGAGAAGGCACACGCAGATCTGACCAGCCAAGTTGATAGTATGACCTGTCGGATACTTTGGTGCATCCTGGCTAGTATACGTCCTGCGATATGTTAGCTACATGTTTCAATCGTAACTTCTCTGTAATTTGACGTACCAGGTCGCAAGAATACCTCCAGCAGTACCAAGCGTGACCACGTAAGCAGTCGAGACCGAGCGGACAGCAGGACCTGCTGCATTGTTTGCCGCCCACGCGAGGAAACCAGGACCACCTGGAAATGCGCCAATGGTGATAAGGAAAATACCGCCGTATCTGACGTTCGGGTCGGTAGCCCATCGCATAATAGAGAAGCCCGCAATGGCCGGGAGCGTAAAAATGGCGAGGTAGATACCACGGCGGTTGGTCTTGTCCGAAACAAAGGCCACTGCAATGGCAATTAGGCACGCGCATACATAGGGAGGTACTGAATAAAGTTGAGACTTCGTGGCCGTCCAGCCAAGATCCCTGAGAATAGTGGGCTAGAAGTGTATGTTAGTATATAGAACTGTCCTGGACGAATATTGGCTTACCATGAATAGAGAGATACCCTGCACAGTGATGTTGATAAAGAAGAAGCCAAAGGCACAGAAGTAGTTTGTGATGTTCATCACAGCCCTCTTCACGTGGTGTACTTCCGTCTTCTCATTTTCATCAGCTCCACTCTTCAGCATAAGTCGCTGGGTAGCAATCATCCGCTCGCGCTCGTTCAAGAACCAGCATTCTTGTGGGCTGCGAGGCATGAGGAAGGGTGCTCCAAGGCCGACGAGTACGGTAAAAAGTCCCTCGAAGAAAAAGATGTTACGCCAGGTATGGATGATCATGCCCGAAGCTCCCCATGGCGGAATGCGAGCAAGACTGTCACCGAGTTAGAACCTCGAAATGTCAGAAAATCTGTGGCAAACTTACACAGTGGCGAGTAGTCCACCAAAGGCTCCAGCCATGGAGGCTGCAGAAACGTAAATACCGACGCGGAACAAGAGCTCGTTGCGCTTGTAAAAGCAGGTGATGAAGAAGGCAAGACCACTGTGCAGCGATCGTTAGAAACTGCTAGGTGCAGTACGAGAAAATACTTACGGCATTACACCGCCTTCAAAGACCCCTAGAAAAGCTCTTGCAACTAGCAATCCTCCAAAGTTATGCACAAAAGCGCTGCAGAGTGATACCATGCCAAATCCGCACACAAGAAGTGGCAAATAGTACTTTGGGCCGAGTTTCTTCAGGAGAATGTTGCTGGGTACTTCGACAAACATGTAAACAATGTAGAATATCGAAGTCACCCAGTTGAAGCGGACACCCACGAGGTTCAAGTCCTCAGCCATACCCTGAATGCGTGCATTTCCAACGTTTACACTATAAAGGTGGTCAGCAAACAGCTTTGTGTGTAGCGAAACGGTCCGTACCGATCAAGAAAGCATAGCAGATATAGAAAGGTACTGAGCGGCACGATCACTCGATCCAGTTTGCGTCGGACCTTCTTCTCCTCCTCGGGCGTCCAGGTAAACTCGCCATCAGTAGATCGGTCGCTTCCGTTGGCCTCTTCAACTACCAAACTTGTTAACGTTTGACTAAAGCAAGACTGACCAAAAACATACAAAGAACATTATCTCCCTTCTCCATCTCAGCAGGGGTGCGATTCAGACGCGTCCCCATCGATGCCAGTCCCGTTGTTGCCATCTTGATGAAGCTGGATTCCGAGGTCGAGATTCAGAGTCAGCGAGGCAAAATCTCTTCGTCGTTGTGCTGTAGCCCCACACGTTCCGTAAGTCTGGGGAAAGGAATCTGGGGAAGAGCACAGCCCATATAAGAACGTAGGATGCGTCCCGATACCCGGTTAGCTCACTTGTCGCACAACCGTGTATTGGGGCGCAAGTCGACAGCCAGGAAAGAGGAATCGGCAGTTACTTCGCAGCCTCCAGAGGAAAGGAACACAGCGCCATATCTAGCTCGATGTCCGCTCCACTACGCTCTTATCCTGTTCAAGCTGGCGGCTTGATTGAACAGGGTGCGAAGTCGGTGCGGAAATTTTACCGAGTCGACACAGGAGCCCTACACAACGCCGCATAATTGTTAACGGCCTCCTCTTTGGCTGGTGTGTTGCGGGGCTCTTTCTTGGCCGACATGGGATTGACTCGTGGAGCATGCGAGTGTGGCGGGAAGATGGATTCATTGTGGTCATTTTGAAACGCCATGCTTGGCGAAGCGGGACGAGAACTTTGGCGTTGTTAGCAGCTCACAACGGGTTTCGGCAGTTCTTCTCTCTCTTCAAAGCTTCTCAAACATGCTAAAGGTGTCGCAGTTACAGGAGTCTTGGGTCAGACTAATTTCGACTGGGCAGACTGCGGTCAGATTACGGGCGTACCTACTGTGCAGGAGGACTTTACCCACAGGCTCTTCTGGACAAGCCATACATGAACGAATCCTCTCCCGCCAGCCCGAACAGGTGGATTAGTATTTGCTGCATATCTGCATCTATGCACAGCAACACTGCATGCGGTGTATATTACTCAGGTGTTCGGTATGTTTTCGTGTAGTAATCGGGGACATCCAGCAGCGGTGCCTCTGGCTTTCTTATGCTACGCGTCATAATATGCCGATGCGCATGGATAGTACGGCCCCTGCGACCTCGGAATTCACCCGATTCCTTCAACTGCGTCTGTGTTGTAGACTGGTTTCCTTATCTGTCCATGGGCGACGCAATATCGCATTCTACTAATGCGTCCGGAGCAAGTCGATATTCTTGAATTTCTCAGTGCAAGCGTGCGCGATAGGGTCACTCAAGTGGGCCACCTGCATGCTTGCATCTAGACTGTTCCGGCTCGGTTCAAAATAGTGGCTGCGACATGTGACCAGTCTGCTATATCGATGGAGAACAAGGTTACAGAAACGTGCGCGATAGTCCTCGGTAACCGAAGCTGTCTATAGAAAAGGTGAAGTGAGACGGGCGTTGGCGGCATGGATTGAGAAGGGACCAGCAGTCACCGCCACGCGGATGGAACCTTGGAAGGTAGGATACGAGCTATCGACCTAGAAAAACGGCCACTTCGAAGATCAATATGATTTTGCATCAACACCATACAGGATACCCAACTTTTTGCAGAATCTCGTCCCAACGGCACGTTGTGTCCACGACCTACGACTCCACAGTTTCAACGCAATGACAACCGCTTCCCCTCATAACCCCATAAATCTCCACAGCCGCGCACCGGGAGGAATGTCCCTTCTCAGCAGCACTATCTCTGGCGTCTCCATCTCGTATCCACCAACTCCTTGATCACCTCTCTGAGCCCATCCGGTCTTCCCGACGCGTCACCTAGATCTACCCTTGGAGTCGACGACAGCTGTGTGGGCGTTTGTGGCTTCTCCGGCTTTACACTCGGTACCTGCTGCGTCACGGCAGTCGCCTCGAACGTATGAATATCCTCGGTTGCGGCTACTTGGTCCCGTGACCGGTCCTGAGCATCGCCTCGAGAAACTGAGCATCGGCAACGTCAGCTTCCCCTGCCTCGCCAGATTGCTCTTCTTTGTCCACAATGTTACTGTGCGGTACGATCAAGCGACCATTCTGAGACCCAGCTTATATGATGCTGTTTTCTTGCAGACCGATCCCTTCCTCGGAATCCTATTTATCATGCTCTAGGAAAGCTGTGCGGAACTTCTTCCAAGAGCTGGAAGATTGCCATGTCTGCAGCTGCGGTCTATTCGTCGGTTTTCTAAAGCATCTCACTCTGTCCGTGGGTTCATTTCTCTCCTGTCTTCAGTCATCGTGCTCTATTTATGCATGCCTGGCCTCGACCATTCACCCTCTCGATCTATGCGCTACTTGAGCTTCGGCAGCATGATCTTTAGTCAATCTTGTGTAAGCTTCGATATCTTTGTTTCGACCTTGCAAGTGCAAGTGAATGTCATGGTAAAGTATATTTGGGTACAGACTTTCATGCATACTGGTCTCAAGCCTTTCCCGAGGTAGGGTCACTCTTCCTACGTTGAGCCTTCTGTCCTTTTTTGTCACGTTCCTGGCCAACACGACGTATTAGGAGGTATTTAAATGAGTAGTGCTTTGTTTTGTTACCTTCAGTCTTATTGTATCTCTCATCATTGAAGATGAAATTGCTTCTGGCTTTATGACTACAATCGTACTAAGCTGCGAAACTAATGCACATAGCTGGCTATACAATCTGATGCTTGGATTATTAGCAAATCTACGCTGCAACCAAGATATATACGACACTCATGGCCTCATATACAGACCTTGAATCAATACTCGACAATGATCAAGGACACGTTACCAATCAAAGGTGTGTCACTAATAGAACATTGAAAGCACCAGTACTACTATGTGAAGCATTATCATCATAGCTGACAGTGTGTCGTTTCGAAAAAATTCACTACAGGTTTTTAGTATAAAATCTTGGTGTTTGCTTCGCCGTCTTTGTCTATGCTCCGTACATCACTGAGCGTTTTTTTTGACATACTCAGCTGCCGACTCCCTGAATGGGCCCAAGATGTGCACAACATACCGTGTGTACTTCTATTGTGGACACCTCAAATCCACGACTACTCACGAACAGTCCGGGGTCGAATGCACACTCAACGAAGCAAGGAGCATTACAATCAACAAGAAGTGCAAGCGCTGCATAACACGAACGTCACAGCGAAATGCAAGACTGAACGGTATCCTGGATGGCGCAGAAGTACCATCGATAATCAAAGCCGAAGACGACTGTGCTGATGCTGACAATGACTAGCATTATGGATATGTGGATGCCTGAGTCGACGTGCTTCACAGTCCGGTGTTTCACAAAAGGCTATGGGTGGTACAGGTGGTGTGCTGGATCCTATAATTGGATTTTTTTGGATTTGAGTCAAGATCTTACATCTTGTATTTACCAAGATATTGCCATACCTGCCCTACAACATGCCTGACTCCTCTAAATTGCCCAATCAACATAAGTGTGTCGTCTTGGGTGGAGCACCTTTAGAGTCAAGAGAGAAGTCTGGCGGCAATGCTGTAGTGATGTAAACTCAGCTTACAAACATTCATATCTCTTTCAGTCTCAGCAACAATCACAGCACATAAGTGACAAGCATGCGTAGCCTATACACCAAGCGCATAACGCCTCCATCTCTTCTTTATGTTGTATTGGGGGCACCAAGACTGGCCAGCGGACAGCGCTTGTGTCGCCGTTATCCAAACAATTGTAACCGGCATTGCATCCACACCACTCTGTCCATCTGCACCAGCGTCCTCGTCGCAGCTGTTCACAGCATGAACATGGGCTAGATTTGTAAACAGCTATTTGCGTTCATCTTTGTCTGCGAGGACGGCGTCCTTCCACCGTGTTGCCTTTGATGACCTGAAATATCATGTCTGATGGTGAACAGCCGTGAATTCCCGGCGCCTTGGAAGGGGCAGGCGCAAATGTTGCTATCAACTCGCGACAGGCTCCCAACGCATACAGAATGACCTAATGATATGTCTCTAAGCGTGCTAGGAACGGCTCTTAAACTCGAAGATTATGCGGAAGGGGCGTCACATAGGGCGAATGGTTGAGGACGTATGTTGCGAAGGGCGCCAGGCAGGAAGAGCGGTGGGAGCGAACAATCATGTCTCGGAGGGATGACGCGAGAAGGAAACATAGCAGCCATAAGACATGTCTCCGTACAAGTGGCAGGTGGTTTGCGCGTAAGTGACAGCGACGTGTAGAATGCAAGGCTGCCTCGCAGGATCCGATGCGCGGCCGCTTAGGGCCGGGCTGCTATCGATAAGTTCCGACGGATGTTCCGATGAACTCACCACTCTAATCCAAAGCCGCCCTCTGACTTGAATACTGCGCTATTCGCGCCACATCACAACCATATCACGAAACATCTCATCTCCCATCAATATGGCCAAAGTTGAGGGCGCACCAGCACATGGTGCTGTAGCCCACCTCCTACCACAAACGTACAAGCGATTGGTCTCGGAATGGCTCGAGGAGGACACGCCGAGCTTCGATTATGGTGGCTTCGTTGTGGGCGAGGAAATATCTGAGGCGAAATTGCTAGGGAAAAGTGAAGTAAGTGTCAGCACCCTTCGTGGTGGTCTTAGCTAACATTGGCAGGGCATAGTTGCAGGCGTCCCCTTCTTCGATGAAGTCTTCCGGCAACTGGGCTGCACGTGCGTCTATTATAGTGACTCACATTGTCAGATCTGGTATTGACATTTGGTAGTGTAGAATGGCACGTCAAAGAAGGTGCCTCCTTCCAACCTGTAACTCACTGCGCCACGGTACGCGGCCCTGTCCGCCACCTCCTTCTCGGTGAGCGAGTGGCTCTCAATACGCTCGCCCGTTGCTCCGGTATCGCCACCAAGTCTAATCGTCTACTTACCCTTCTACGTGGAGCTGGCTACCCAAATATTCTCGCCGGTACCAGGAAAACTACACCAGGTTTCCGACTCGTGGAAAAGTATGGCATGCTAGTGGGTGGTGTGGATGCGCATCGAGTTGACCTGAGCGCGATGACGATGCTGAAAGACAACCACATCGTCGCTGCAGGAAGCATCACCAACGCCGTAAGAGCTGCCAAAGCGGCGGGTGGTTTCGCAATCAAAGTTGAAGTCGAATGCCAATCATTCGACGAAGCAGATGAGGCTATCGCCGCTGGTGCTGACATCGTCATGTTGGACAACTTCACTCCTGAGGGTGTTCAGGTCGCTGCCAAAGACCTGAAAGACAAATGGGGGCGAGGTACTGGAGATAGGAAACAAATCCTTGTCGAAGTAAGCGGTGGGCTTACCGAATACAATGTGGAAAAGTATGTCTGTGGGGATATTGATATTGTAAGTACAAGCAGCATACACCAAGGAGTACCGCATGTGGACTTCAGCTTGAAAATTGTACCCAAGAGTAAGAAAGATGGCGGGGAAAGCCTAGCGGTATGATTGGAGAGTGGGTAAATTATATGTGAGTACATCTTAGGATACTCACGCCCTTTGCGCCCGGGTGATCAATAAACCAACGCGATCGACTATAATCATAGTTAATATGAGTAGCGCTGTCATTCGGCTGTGAGCATGCGAATCGGGGCTAAAGATTGTTATTCTCTTGGACTTCAATAGCAAGCGTTGGTGAAAAATAAAGTCATGCTGGATGCACTCTACAACCACGCCTCATAACAGTGGGTCTAATTATGGTGGTGGCAAGAACCGTGCCGCAGTGGCACAGTATCTTAGCCGCAGGCAGCTTCTGTTCTTGTAGTAGACTTGTGCTCAACAAAGCAGAGTATGCATTTTCAATCAAAACTTGGGTCTCGCCTTGTTCTACACAATAAGCTTGTGCAAGAAAGCAAGCATTAAAGTTCTCGGTACCCAAGCGAACTACGCTTGCTTCACTCGTCTCCCGTGTACGCCGTAGTATAGACTAGAAGGAGCGACATCCTTGAGCCTCAATCTCGTGTTGTCATTCATTATGCTTGTGTTGCATGAAGCCGAACGGTATTCTCAATCGGCTCGCAAAGTCTTGGATCCTACATTGGGTAGGATGAGCGGAAGAGCGTGCATATGCATCATCTCACGTATATGGATAAGACAAGTATAAAAGGATGAATCTTAGGCACCTCTTCGCACCATCGCTCTCTTCCACAGATTCCAGCTTCGACATGCAATACCTCAACATCATCCTCGCTCTTACTGCTGTAGTATCAGCTATCGATATTCGGGCGCACAACGAGTCGCACTGTAAGGGTGTTACCTCAACTTACAAGAACGCCCAACCTGACCGGTGCTATGCTGGTGGCGGCGTATCCTACGCTTGGTCATTTGTTGCTATTCCTACGAACTGGAAACTGAGCACCAGGTCTCACCAGGTAAGTCATGGCCATACTAGTTGCGTGTGAGACACATACTAACTTCGTATCTCCACCTCTGCAGGGCGGCAATTGTAAAGAGTTGGTTCACACGTTCAACTCGGATGGCAAAGACTCAGTTTGCCATGGTGCACCCGTTAACAACGTATTGTACACAGGAGCCGGCTACGGCTTTATCAACAGAAAAAGGTCGGAAAATATTGCTGTTGACAGCGAAGACTGCGTCTGGAAACCAGACCTTTTAACTCTAGAAGACGGCACAACGTACACCCTTACAGATGTTGAAGAAGAAACAGTGAAGATCATGTAAGCAAAATTCTAGACCCCAAATAAGCACCTGAGTATAGTGTAGTAATCGTATCGTGCTATATAGAGTCGACTACGCTTGGAACGGCACAGCTGCTGAACATATGCCAAGCGTATTCGACAAGTATATTGCACAGTAGTGTTACTAAGTGTATCATCGAGAGTTGTTACCAGGTATCCTCGGTCCGATACTGCGATTCAGTCTGTTTTATCCATTTCTTAATACGATGCTGCAATAACGCAGAGCAGACGCGCCACTCACAACTTTCTGAAGTCAAATCACACCCATTCAATCAGGTCTTCTCGAATGAGAAGTATTGGAAGTTCAAGAACCTATCGGCTGTTCATTCTATGGAGACTCATTTTCCTGTATCGTGTGGGGATACTATACATGCCAGGAAAGCAATTGGAAGAGAACTTACACCCTCTCTACTCTATTTCTGTTGCTGCTCTTATCTCCATCTCTCGTCTTTTGTGGCCTTTGGAAAATGAACAAAGTGTTGCTGGCGATGCTTTCTACATATGACAGAGATTGATGAGCCCAGTCAAAAGCAGTTTGCTTCCCTCACACTATGAAGTGTTCTCTACAGTCAATGTCTACCATTCTACTTGTTGCACATTCACCTTCACTTCTGCCACTGACATCGATGTTTCATGAATTTTCTTGAGTTTAGCAGGTGGAAATCAACATGACCCTGTTCTTGTTTGCGTAGACAACAAAGAAGCTATGGAGCACTGGTAAATTGTGCGACTGTGACTCCAACAGCTACAGCATTACACTGTACTATCACAATGTCTCCTCCAGGACTACAGTGAACCAGCCTCTATACTTCGTGTTCATCTTTCTGTAACGCAACATCACTCTCCCCTTCTGGATACACCTAACCTTTTCTGCACCGCAAACCACGTTGGCTTTCTGGAACGCACACTCCAATCATTGCCATCCGCTTCTGCAGGACAGACGTAAAGACATGCGCTCAAGAGTACTCATTACTACGGTGCTGGCCGCCCTGAGCAACGCCCACGAAGATCATCAGAGTGAAGGCGGGCAGTACACACTGACCGACGACCTGACTTACAAAAAGTTCTTCTCCGCCTTTGACTTTTTCGACGGCCCAGATCCAACCAAGGGTTTCGTCAAGTACCAGAACCAGGAGAATGCGATCAAGCAAGGTCTAGTTGGCTACCTCGAGGATACACAGTCCGTGTTCATGGGCGTTGATTACACGACCAAGGACACTGCTGGCCGCGCTTCCGTTCGCCTTGAGAGCAAAAAAAGCTGGAACCATGGCCTGCTCGTAGCGGACATCCGCCATAGTGAGTATTCCCTTACAAACTGCATGTGAGACATACACTGACTTCGTATGATCGTCTCTAGTGCCCGCCTCTGAATGTGGGTCTTGGCCGGCCTTTTGGCTTTTGTCGTCCTCGGCAGACTGGCCCCAGGGTGGGGAAGTGGACATCCTCGAGGGCGTGAACGACTACGAAAGTAACTCTGTTACCTTGCATACAACCACGGGTTGCATGGTTGATAACTCGACATCAGCAGGAGGAGGATCTGGTGTAGCCGGCGATATCGAAGCGGCACCATTCACTGGTCTTATGTCTACAGACGATTGCGATGTTGCTGCGCCAGGTCAACTCAAGAACGTCGGATGCTCTATTCATGCTCCCGAAATCATGTCTGGTATCCAAACTGGTGGTAGCGGTAACACTGACACCGGTGGTGCTGTGCCTCTTCCCTCGTACGGAACGGAGTTTAACAAAGCTCAAGGCGGTGTCTACGCTATGGAATGGAGCACGATTGGAATCTCGGTATGGTTCTTTCCTCGTGAATCTCACAGCTTCACTGAAAACTTCTCTTTAAACACAACCCTTCCCAACCCATCTCGCTGGGGCACACCTATAGCCCACTTCAGCGGTTCCGGTTGCGACTTCTCTGAGCGCTTCCGAGATCTTAAAATTATCTTTAATATGGCTTTTTGTGGTGAATGGGCAGGCGCTGAGTGGAACAAGTCTTGTGCCAAAAAGACTGGGGTTGCAACCTGTAATGAGTATGTTCGCGATAATCCCGAGGTATTTAAGGAGGCATACTGGGAGATTGCTGGGTTGAAATGGTTCCAGAAGGGTGCTACGTAGAAGCGCGCTTATACTCCGGTGACAAGTTTCAAGGCGCAAAGCGAGTAGTTTGCTTGGTAGCTTGGTAAGTGGCTCTCTATCACGCTTCGCCTAGCAATCTCAGATATACTTTTCACGACTAATTCTACATCACACAATCCAATAATTCATACTTGGTAACGTGTGCAACGCCAGAGTCGGTTGATGGCCTGCCGCGATCCCTCAGATGGTATACCTGAACCTGGGACTATCGTCACCCATCTCAGCAATGTCCTCCTCAGCCATTCCCTCGACCAAATGCTCTTCCTCACCCTTCTCACGTCTCGAGTTGATACGTCCAAGTTGAAACCACATAACAGCGTAGCATATACAAGCAAAACCCACCATGGCCATAGTAATTCCATGACCTTTGATAAAGCGAGGTCGGTCCGCTGTAGGGTATATCTGGACTTCATTAGTGTATAGTTCATAGGCAGTCTGCAAGTTAAAGAAAGACTTACAAAAGCACTCATGATACCCGCACAATTACCGATACTCAACTGCAATCCCGTTGCGGTTGTCCTCTTTCCGTATCGCGGCAGATTCGTAGGAAGCCAAGCCAATGGCAAACCAACACAAACATACAGTCCCATCGCGACGAGGAAACAACCCGCGTAGTGAACGCCAGAGCTCGCATCGCTGATCAACATGGCGTATCCAACAATACTAACCACGCCAAGCAAGATACTGTAGAATCCGCGCTTTTGCTGTTTGTCCGAGAAACGCGCAACAACCAGGTACGTAATCGCACCCAGTGCGTAACACGGAATGGTAAGGACTTGTATCATCGCGCTGCTAGCGGTGGTGTTGATCGACCTGATAATAGTCGGCAAGAAAGTAGAGTAACCGTAAAGCATGGTATCACTCCCGAACTGTGCGAAGCAGAATACCCAGACCTTCCAGTCCTTGACGCACTTCCTCACGTCGTCCCAGTGGAACTCTGCTGCTTTCTTGGTGTACCCGGTTTGGCGCTTGAGCCGAGCTGCAGCAAAAGCCTTCTCCTCAGCAGTGAAGAAATAGGCCGTTTCTGGGGTATTGGGAAGAATGAACCAGGTTGCGATACCTAGGGCAAAAGTAGGAATTCCTTCTATTATCATGATCCAGCGCCATCCACGCTGACCGGCTGTGCCGTCCATGTGCCCAATTGCATAGGCGAGGAGACCACCGCATGCTCCAGCAAGCGCAGCGGAGACGAAGAGGTATCCGATGCGCAGGGCCAGTTCACGTTTGGTGTAGAAAAATGTCAGGTAAACGGCCATTCCAGGGAACAGACCTCCTTCAACAGCACCAAGGAGCAGACGACATGCGATCAAGCCACCGTAGCTCTGTACGATACCAGTCAAGGTCGCGATGATACCCCAAGCGACGGTGATGAATGCTATCCATCGCGAAGGCGTGAGTTTCTTCAAGACCAAATTCGACGGCACCTCAGAGAGAATGTATGTTACGAAGAGAATCGAAACTGCGGTCTGAAATTGAGAATCGTCCATGTTAAGGTCTTCCTGTAGACCATAGAGTCGCGCATTGCCGATGTTGACTCTGTAGTCGCGTTAGTGGGCTTCTCGAGCGAGTCGTCAACTTGCAAGTTCCAAGTCCATCGGGAATTGTGTTTCCTCGTCCCTTTGCCCCAGCCGAAAAAGCAGTGTAACAAGCAAGAAAATCCTAAAACTGACCGATCGAGGAAACTGAGCAAATACAGCAGCATTACCACCGGAATAACGAAAAGATCAAGCTTGCGAACAATTTTTGCTTCGAAAACTGGATCAATACTCTCCAGCTGTATGCCCAGTTCATCGCTCTCTTTCGCAGCATCTGGCACCGCTGGGTCGTACTGTTTCTCGATATCGCTCATGGTGTCGTCAGGCGTTCGCGTCTAGTTCCTCGGAGAATTAAAACGACGATGATTGATGATTCGACGCGAGGGGAGGCCTGTCGCGTTAACTTTGCAGTTGCAAAGCGTTGTTTGAGCAAAGTATGATGAACGAGTGGCAGCGTCCCGTGTATTATCGCGTCTGGCCAAAAGGCTGATATGTCATCCTGTCGCACTCCAACGTTTTGCCACGAAAGGGAAATGCTCATGCTTTAAATTTGTCGGCTTCGACATCGGACGAGTCTGCAAGGGCCCACTACTGGACGACAATGCCGGCGGGCAGATCTATGGCGGGGGGCTGGAGCCAATGGAGCACAGAGCTAGCTGTTTGTGGTATGACGTTGACGGCTACCCTACCTGTAACACAGATATGGCCGCTGGGCAACTGATAACGAACCACACGTTTTCCTGGTTCGATGTTTGCCAATTTTCCAAGGTTGGGGGAGATGTCAGACGAAAGATGGGGGTGCTCGCGTACCTCATGCGTGAGGTGGTGTAGACGGTTGTCTTCCTGCTTTGACGTCTTCATCGCATTAGCCCGCTGTCAAGTATCGCTTAGGCAATGCGATTAGTCCTTAGTCGTACGTTCAACCAAACAAACAATGTAGCAGAAGCTGGAGACGTGATTGCATCATATTGCGCACTGTTGTGCAGATCAACGCTGATCTGGAAACAACTTCTTTAATACCAGCTCATCATCTATTGAAGCTATTCAAGTGGGGATTTGTGTTCGTAACTAAATAGGCCTCTTTACACCAGCTCAGACGACGTCAACGACGAATAACTAAAAGACGTTGCATCCCAATCGATAGGAAGCACGATGCCAGAGTAGATATCGATCTGCGCCGAAGGATCAACTGGCCACACCAATTCATCACGCGCCAAGTCGATCTCACCTCCCGCATATTCCGCGTCCATGGCCACGGTATTCTGGGTGCAGGTACCGGCAATACACGACCGTGCAATAGCCCGAACCTCCTTTGCCATCTTCTTTCCGAGAGGCCAGAGAGTCGCCATTGTGTTGACGAAGCCGATACTCAGACGGACACGGTCCCGTCCGATCGACAGCGCATGTCCATCCAATACATAAGTGCACGCTGACACTTGTACGGCAGCGAGTTGTGAGGTGATGCACATGGTGAAGATGTTATGCTTTTCGAGGGCGCATGGGATTGCAAGGAGATTGGTGTGGATCTCTGTCGCTTTGAGTACACGTGCGGTATGTGCGTTTCGTCCAGCTTTTGGTGTAAGTGTGAAGGGAGAAGGTGCTTGGAAAGCTTGCGTAGTCATCTCCTCAGGACAGTATCCCAGTGACGAGAAAGGCCGATGCAGCGCAGAGATAGTTCTGTCTTGGTCAGTATATCGATAGTAACACATGAGGGGGTCAACTACATTGCGGCACACATGTGTGCCATAAACCTAGAACAAGTACTATCAGCTACTATCTTTGGGTTACATTTGCTGGCTGTATAGCATACATCACCTCATCTACTTGGCCGTTTAATCGAAGTGGATCCTTCTTGCAAGCTGGAAGCAACGATGACCAGATCGCGAGTTTCGTGTCGCAGTTCTCGACCAGGACCTCGTTTACTACAGCAGTGTCAAGAAAAGTGTTCATGACTGATTTGGTCAGCTCCTAAGCCACGGCCATTCTCAGTCATTAGATGAGGTAGGTGATTGTTGCCTATCAAGCGTGCTTACCAAAAGTGATGACCATGGCAATGTCATAAAGATACACGATTGAAGAATAGATCACCTCAATCTCTGCAAACTCACGAACTTGATACTCAGCCCATGTCGCTACAGGCGGTATGTTCTGCTCATGTTAGCCTATCGACCATGATGTCATGCCATCCCAACGTACTCCTGATTCAAAGTACTCATCATCACACGGTAAATCAACCGTGTTTGGTATCAGAAGTAACGAATAGAAGGGCGTGTTTGTGACGACGGCGAGATGCTGATCCACGATGTAAAGGATATAATACGTCCGTCTCCAACACTCTTCGAGCACTGAATCGTTCTCACCGTACGCTCGAGCAAAGTCTCTTTCGTTCATATGAAGTTCCAGTGCCATGGCGGTACATGTGCTGAGTTTCTTACGAGCTTCGACTCTGTTATCGCAATGGAACTCGGCAAGGGCGAAAAGCAATAGCGCTTGCACATTGAACGGGGTATGCGTAAGGTTCGGTGATGTAACGGCCTCCAGAGCTGTCGTATAGTAGGGCTCTGATGGTGTCCAGGGCGCGTAGATTGAGCCAATCCATTCTAAGACAGATAGAAGAGTGGTTATCCCATGGTTGTCTTGTAGACGCCTCGACTGTAGGTAATGCGAAGGCAGGACGATTGGGAAGGGAGGCCAGAAGTATTCGAAATATAACTCTAACAGTCGATTTTTGTCGACTTTGAACGCCAGGTGATGGTGTTGGTTCTGAGAGGGCACGACTGGTATGAAATCATCTGCTGAGCTGCTAGTGGGCGTCCCTTGACTCGATTGATCAGATGACGATATTGCCGATATTTTGTGCTCTTCGCTGGAACAACCATCGCGTTGGGTCGCCGAATGCTGTGGATTCCTAGCCTCCTGTTGCAGTCGCAAGCGTCGTTCCGCAAGTGCAGCCTTATTCAAGCCTCCTCTTCTGGATTTCTGATAGACACATTCTTTCCCGTCGCGCCTGCACCTACTGCAAACTGGTTGTGTAGAGTCGCATTTCACGTGTCTACTGCGACACTGTGCGCATGCCAGCACTACCCGGTCGATGCGTTTCGAATCGGACGACAATTCCATCCTCGGGCGAAGATGACGCGAAGGCTGCTACAGGATCTTGATTGTAGTTTGGAGCAATGTCATAAACAACCACCCTGCACGGCAGTGCGATGAGAGAATCAAAAGTCTTTCCAGTACAAAACTTGATACGAAGGGACAAAGAGGTAAGCACAATTCTTAAGGCTTACCGAACTGGCTGTACACTGTGACACCTTTCCAGGCTGGACGCCGCGCCTGCCGAGGCGGCAAGAGTCAGGCGTGCATTTGGGGGCCGGTCCTTGGGGCCTCAACATAACCGAAAATCGTGAATATGTGCTGGTAGTGGTTAACAAGTATGATCACATATGGCACGGCACGTAGGTTCAGCTATGCAACACGTAAAGTGCCGTCATTATCTCCGTACATTCGCAAGCCTTTCTACCATACAATAAACTAGAAATAATTGCACTAATAAGTCCACATGCAGCCTTCATTATACGACAGGCCAACGTAGCAACATCCAAATCGGGTCTCAATGCCAAACATGTAATCATATGCGTTCCAGACCTGACGGGCATAATCCGTACCAGCTGGAGATTGTCGCTTTTCCATCGTGTATCTATAATTGAAGGTGAGAAAGCAGTGGGGACAAGCTGCGAGCCTATCGCAGCTTGCCATGTTCCTGGGCCTCTTTGACTTGTTCAAAGACCTGCAATATCATGTTAGCTGTCTGGACTCTGCAATCTTGGATCATGTGGTATCGCATACCTTTAGCATCTTTCTACGCGCACCGAGAGCGTTGACGCCACGCTTCTCCAAGCCTTCGTCATCGAGCTCGATAAGCTCCTGCCACTTGAGATCCTTCAGGTTATCTGTATACTTGTGCAAGCGGAGACTCCGAAGCCAGTTGGGAATGTCCGAAAGCAGTCCAGGGTCGGTAGGGTCCTCCGGAGGCTTCGAGCTGCCGCGACGGCCTCGGGGAGATCGACCGCGATCGATGTTGTCACCAAGGAAGCCATGGCCATCATTGCTGCCGCCAGCAAGGCCGAACTGAGCGAGGTTCAACGCGCCCATGCCGTTGTTCATCATACCACCACCGTAGTCGGCAGCCAAGAATCCGTTGGCCTGAGGCGAGGTAAAGTTACCCATGGCACCCATACCCTGGCCCTGCATCGCGAAGCCAGGGGAGCTAGGGCGAGATCGGCGACCTTGCATAGCGGCCAATTGTTGGGCCTGAAGAGCAGCCGCCTGTTGTGGGGTCAGTACCTGACCCAGCTCATTGGTCATGAGGATATTTCCATTGCCCATCTGAGGCATGCCAGGGGACATGGGCCCGTTGTCCGAAGACCGGGCACGGCGGAACTTGCGCACATCATCCAGCTGGATGCGATTGTTAACAGTGGACAAGGCAGCCAACTTCATAGCAGTGGCATTGGCTACCATATCAGCCTGGTTGTTAGATTGTTGGAAGTTGGCGACCATGGGAGTGCTCAATTGAGAGGCCCAGCTTCCACCTGGGGCGTAAGAGGGCGAAAGAAGTGGCATGTTGGAAGAGTTGGCCTCGAGCGCGTTCAGTGTAGTGGTCTGCACATTGTTGCTATCGTTCTGGAGAGGGAGGCGAGGCGAGCGGAGACCGGCAGATGGAGGTGGTTGAGAGAACTGGCCCATGGGCGGCTGCTGGTGTTGCTGCTGGCCCGAAGACTTGGGGCGATTCGCGCTCTCGTTCCAGGGTGATGCTGGCGGAGCATTGTTCTCCCTCTTGTTATCTTCGGGAGCGGAGATGGTGGGAGCTGCCAGGGAGCTGCGGTCTCCAACGGTGCTATTGCGGTTGGACGCCGGCGCAACGCCGACCACATCGGTGAATTCAGCCTTCTGCTTGGCGATAGCAGCCGCGGCGTCCGGGAACATGCGGTTGATCTGGGATGTCTCCAAGCCCGAGTTGCGTTTTCCAGCACCCGGGGATGGCGGAGGACGACCGAGACCCATGGAATGACGGTTTTCACCCGTGCTGAGCTTGCTCATAGCGTCGCTCAGCTTCTGTGTCATGGGATCTGGTGCATGTCAGCATGGGGAGGACGTTGGAGAAGTTATCTGACTTACCCTTCTCTCCAAAATTGGCCGGGGACAGAACTCCGGACATGGGCACATTCTTGGACATCTGCTGCAAGACTTGGATAAAGAAGCGAATCTGCACCTGCGTCGTCTGCTGCAGCAGAGCATAGAGCGCTGCAGTTCTCTCGGCCTCGCTGAGGACGCGGAACCACTGCTCTATAGCACTCAGCTCGTCCTTGAAGTCCTGGTCGAGGGTCGCGGTCGCCATCTCTTCGAGTGTGGTTTCATACTGGTCGATGTCGGCGAGCCACTGCTGAGCAGCGCGTTCCATTTCGTCCGGGTTACCCGACTGTGTGTTGTTGCGACCAAAGTAGATTTCGGAAGCGGGACGAATACCACGGTTGGCGAGAGGGGAGGGGAAGCCGCCTAGATCAGCGGAGGCACGGAGATGGTGGTTGGCACCGAGGGAGCTTCGGGCCTGGGGCGGGCGGAGCGAGCTGGAGCCCTCGGGGGTGCTGTTCCTGTTCGCAGCTATATGGCTGGCAGACATGGCGGCGTGAGGAGGTTGAAATTCTGGCCTCTGGTCAGTATGGTTCGGGCGGATACAAGTGATGGCATGCCGGATGCTGGCAGACGTACAGTGTGGGTAGCCGAGTACACGGGTGGTGGTAGTAATGTGTGCACACGAGTCCTGCAGTCCCAGCTGTGCCTCAAAGGACGTCGAGTTGCGAAATATCAGGAGAGTTCCGGTTTCGCGGGAGGGCTGATGGGTGCAGGGGATGCGCTTGGCCGGGATGCACGGGCAAGCAGCGCAACAAGAAGAAACGGCGTAATATATCAAGGTACAGAGAAGGGAAACGTCAGCGAGAGAGAGGTGGAAGAGCGGAAGAGCTCACTGCAAGACGTGAAGGGGGAGGACGGTGTCAAGGTCTCATGGCTCGAAAAGGCGTTGGTTCGTTGCTAGCGCGCAGCCAATCACGGAACCCTGCGTCAAGGCTGAGGCAATGGCTCGATTGTTCTAGCGCTGGTGCTCACCTGTTACAGACAGATGGGGCAGACATGCCTACAAGCTGTCTGCTTGCATGCCTTTGGTCGTCATCTCCGACTGTCTTAGCGATGCAGCTTGTCATGGCTGCCTGTGAATCCCACGAGCGTCTGTGGAACATATCTCCGCACACCAGCACCACTCCACTCCACACACCCACCGAACGACATGGCACCTTTGCTGTTTCGAGCCAGTGCAAACGCTCAGACACACACTCGTTAGCAGCCACTCCATGCTAGGCTGTCAGCAACAGAAGCATACGTAGCGCACCCTTTCTGTAACAGCTTCTCTGCCGTGTCCTACTGCTTATTGGCGAGCCGCGCCGTCAAACGCCCCGAGAAACAAAAGAAATTCTTCCCGAGACGCGTTCATGCACCGACTGTAGCTAAAGTTAGTCGTTCGGAACCACGGCCACAGAGGTCGTGCGTCTTCAAGTCGTGTCCCATCATTACAGGAGTGTCGTCGATGCCTGACTGGGGTCCACTTATTGCCTGATCAGCCATCCGATGCTCGGCAGGTACATGCACTAACAGTACAAGCTACACGCCCTGGAGAGCACTACTCCAAGCATGTCTGATAGAGACAACTACTATATACTACTTGTCATAATAGAAAATCGCACCAAAACGAGCAATGTTCCCCAATCGAGATTTAGCCTTGGATGACATTTGAACTGTTTTCCTCGAAACGCCCACCAAATGCTCGTCGTGGTAACCGTCAATGTGGTCAACCAGTATTCAGAAGCGACTCGTCCGAAGCGCTTGATTGGTGGAGGAGCCCTCATTCGTAGTTGGGTGTGGCTTATCATGTTCCATGATGTCGAGAATCTCTTCAGCATCCATTGCCTGCTGCCAGATGTGGTCAACCTCTGGGTTCACGGATGATCACGTTGTGGAGTTACGGGTCCAAGGCGGTATCTTGAACGGAGGCTGATAAACAGATGTTCTCGTGACGACAGGGAAAAGGTAGACATTCCTGGAGATACTGATGCTAAGGCAGGTAAGATTGTCTCAACCATCGTGATAACGCTCTCGGCCAGACAATCCACGTCAAGGGGCTGCTTGTTGATCAATAGCATGTCGCCAGGCGAAGATGGCATATTCCATTCCTGCTCTTTTAGGTTAATCTCATCGTCATAGCTGCTGTTATAGTCGTGATCGCTGTCGCTGTCGCTGGGAGAAATAACTGCGAGGGCGCCAGGCTAGAAGTCGCGAGGCACAAGTCTGCCTTCTCCAGAGATCCACTAATCTGAATCGTTATGAGTTATACCCCGGAAGTACTCTCAAGTCCCATTCGCCGACCATTAGTTCTTACTGCTATGCGGAACCGGACGGGAGAATCCTTGTGAAAGATACAGGACAATTCCTGCCGTAGATGATATTGTCAGATTTTCGTGGTGGATGCAAAACTTTTCATGGTTGCAATGGGTATCTTCTTATTTTACACCTGCCGCACTCCGATTTCATGACGACGCCGCCGCCTGTTGCGATTGCTGTGCCGCCGACTGTATCTGGATAATCTGGCTCGTTTGTTAACATTACACGCAACAAGACGCATTCAGAAAGCATACCTCGCCCTTGATCTTCTCACTCTTGTCCTGTATTCCCTGGATCTGCTTCTCGATATCCTTGCTGCTTCCAGTCAGAGAAGAACGTCTTCCGTCTCAATCAGTCGACCTACATCTGCTTGTCGATGAATTCGAGGCGGCCGTTCACCGACATGACGGCCTCTGTCTTGTCCTGCTTCAGCAGTACTGGTCCGATCTGCTTGTAGATGTTCGCATCGTCGTCGAGTATGTCAAATTCCTGTCGTGGCAGCGATAAGTACGGGTTCCGACCTCGTGTGCGTAAAGTCCCACCTTCTTGACCGTACTGTTCTCCTGCTGTTGTGATTCGAGCTTCTGGCGTGCTTCTACTGCAGTTCCGAGCTCTGTTCCGAGATTAACCAACGAATTCGTAAGCAGAGCGAATGCCTTACCGGCCTGGAGGCCCTGGTAGCTGTCAGACAGTGCCTGGAGCTTCTTTTGCACGTCTGCCATGGCTTTGGTGATGCTGAGTAACGCGTTACAGAAAGTTGGCCCCAGTCTTGTTCGGAAGTCGCGAGTGGGATGCTGAACTTTCTCAATGCAGTTAGAAGTAACGCGGGGCTAGGTAGGTGCCTTGGCCGTACCTAGAACGACGGTCACCTCCAGCGCTCTTGTGTACGACTGCAAGCCCGGTTTCGACAAGCCGATCCCGAGCCACTTTCCGCTCAAGCACCGTCGCCCTCAGCTGCCTTCTCCTTCCTTGCCTCACACAGTCGCCCCGACCTCGCGAAACCATAGGCAAACAACACGCGATTGCCCCACTCAGATCGCCCTTCGCCGCTCGTACAATCATCCTTCACAACTCAAGCGGCGCGCGCCCCAGGATTCACGCTCCCTGAAGCCTCCACGAACCTTCCATCTTAGCTATGAGTAACGCCGACTTTCTCGGCCGGGCCATCGAGACGGTCAAAAAGGCAATTGAGACGGACACGGCAGGCGAATATGAGAAGGCATATCAGCTGTACTACAGCGCTCGTTAGTAGCCTCAAGTATAGCCCATAGGAACTTGTGCGCTGACTCGTTACGCAGTTGAGCTTTTCATGCTCGCTCTCAAATGTACTGTGACCGTCCTTACGGAACCGACAATGATGCTAATACTCAGCAGGGGAGAAGAATCAGAAGTCCAAGGACATGATCCGCGGCAAGGTGGCCGAGTACATGGAGCGCGCAGAGAAGCTCAAACAGCATCTGAATCAAAATGATGCCTCGAATCGCAAGAAGCCAGCAGCCATGGGATCCAATGGCAAATCAGCAGGCGGAAGTGGAAAAGGCGGAGGGTATGCATTCACTCCGCACACAAAAAGCACCAATTCCCACACTAACTTCTGACAGTGACGAGGATGAAGGCGAACAAGACGCCGACTCCAAAAAGCTCCGCGGTGCGCTCGCAGGCGCCATTCTTTCCGAAAAGCCCAATATCCGATGGGAAGACGTAGCAGGTCTGGAGATGGCGAAAGAAGCACTCAAGGAAGCTGTCATATTACCCATCAAGTTTCCGCATCTGTTTACTGGGAAGCGACAACCATGGAAGGGCATATTACTCTATGGGCCACCTGGTACGGGTAAGAGTTACCTGGCAAAGGCGGTCGCTACCGAGGCGAATAGCACATTCTTTAGTGTTTCCAGTTCCGATCTCGTCAGCAAGTGGATGGGTGAATCAGAACGGTGGGTCAAAACAACATGTATTGATGCGAAACGGCAACTGACACTATACCAGACTCGTAAAACAACTCTTTGGCATGGCTCGCGAGAACAAGCCTTCGATTATCTTTATCGATGAAATTGACGCCCTCTGCGGACCTCGAGGCGAAGGCGAGTCGGAAGCATCGCGACGTATCAAGACGGAACTGCTAGTGCAGATGGACGGTGTAGGCAAGGATTCCAAGGGCGTGCTTATTCTCGGCGCAACCAATATCCCCTGGCAACTCGACTCTGCCATTCGACGACGATTCCAGCGCCGAGTCCATATTTCACTGCCAGACACCCCTGCCAGGATGAGAATGTTTGAGCTCGCAGTCGGTAATACACCTTGCGAGCTGAATCAAGCCGACTACAAGAAGCTGGCGGAGCTCAGCGAAGGGTATTCTGGATCTGATATCTCCATCGCGGTACAAGACGCGCTCATGCAGCCTGTACGACTGATCCAGACGGCGACACACTACAAGCCTGTCCAGGTAGACGGTCAAACAAAGTGGACACCGTGCTCACCTGGCGACCCACAAGCGGAGGAGAAGTCATGGACAGACTTGGATGGCGATCAATTGCTTGAGCCGCCTCTCAAGGTCAAGGATTTTGTCAAGGCAATCAAGGCTTCAAGACCGACTGTTAGTGGCGAGGATTTGAAGCGCAGCGCCGAGTGGACAAAGGAGTTTGGTAGTGAGGGTGCGTAGCTGGGCTGTTGGTGCTATATACTTTTGAGGCGCTTTTGGTGTTTATATCCCCTTCTAGCATAGCGATTCCAGGCCGTAGATGGACCGGCCGGCGTTGATGCTTCAAATACACAATCAACTTGAGCTGTTCTTCCTTGACTATTTTACCAACTGCATTTATCCTGATTCAGCCTCGTTTTAATAGTCGTTGGAAAGAATCAGCATACTGCAATGGATCACCACGGTACATGATAAAGGCTGTTAAGTAATGGTAATTTACTTATCTACACTAAGCCAGACCAGCCGAGTCTAATCGATAGCATAATCGGAGTGGATGAGGGGATGAAGGGGAAACATTTGGGGGGAATCTGTGTGAAACAACCTGACCTAACCTAACCAAAACAAGCATCCCGCCGCAAAAACAATGCCATTCTACACTTCGCCAGCCTTAGGAATCATGACGAGGCTCAGACGTCCTCACGGCATTTCCTTGCATCGTGTCTTCATGCTAGTGTGCTCATGTCACAATTCCAAATCGAACGCCGCTCATGCATCGTGTCCCATGTGAATTTTTCTCCACAAGTCCGTAAAGTTGATCGTCCGAGAATGGCCTACTCAGCCTCTAGCTAAAGTAGGCTTGCGCGGTACGCTGCTGCTCCGGTGTCAGAGTGGCTGCAGCTTGACCGAGATCGGTGCTAGTCGCCTGAATGAGCGCCTTGACGGATGCGACGACGCGGTTCGCGGTCTGTCCTTGCAAAGTCTCGGCCTCGAGAGCTTGCACAACGTAATTGAACACCTTCGCGGGCTGGGAGAATACGGCTTGGTTTTGCCTGTCAAACAGTTAGCGAAGTTCTCTTGCGTATCCTGCCTGATATGTAGACGTACTGTTCAATCAGCTGGGACAAGAAGGCATACGCGTATGGCGCAGCCTCCTCGTCGTTAGTAATTGGAAGGGTGTCGATCCAGGCTGCAGCCACGCTATCCCAATTGGCGACCTTGCTTGCGTTGTAGTGTAGGATCTTGGCGATCGCAGCCGATGCATTCTCTGTCGCAAAGATATCGTCGTCCGCGCGGGCATTGGGCCTCTGTGTAACCTGGAAAAGTGTCTCTAGAGAAGCAGCAACAAATTCTGACCAGTTCTCTCCACCCTTGTGAGCTGCGACACCTACACCATATACTGCCGCCTGGCGATTAGCAGGAACATCGTCTTGCATACCGTCAATCAGGGGTTGGATGATTTGGTCTTTGTATTGCCACGACTCTGGGCCACAGAACTCCAGCACATCGTCGTAGATGCAAATCGCCCATTGGCGTTGAGTAGGGTCGGGGTTGACAACAGCCATGCTGTAGAACTCGATCAAACCTGCCCAGTGAGGCAAGAACGATGTACCCATGGTCTTGAAAATGCTGTGGAATGCCTTGTTCATGTCTGACAAAAGGTTTTGGTCATCTTCGATCGCGAAGAGAATATCTTCCGAGGCTTCCTCACCATCTTCGTTTTCGGCTTGCTCCTCTAGGCGTTCTTTGACGCGGATGTTGTAGTCTTGAAGCACAGTCCTAGCGGACTCAATGAAGGTGGTCATGTGTGCATCCGACAAGCAGTTGCGGCCGATGCACTCGAGGCACTCGTAGAAGCACTGGTACATCTCGGCAAGAGTGTCAATGGCAGGCTCAGTGCTGAGAACTTCAAGGACGCGCTCGACAGTACGTCCCCAGAGTGCACCCAGCTCTGCTGATTCGGGACCGTGGGCCTTCTTGTATGCATTCAACAATGCCGGGACACATTTGGCGGATGCGACTCGTACGGGGTCGTGGAAGAAGAAAGCTAGACCCGGAAGGGCAATCTTCTCCATGATATCGTTCACGTAGGGCTCGAAAGCATCCTCTAGCACTTGGGCGTAGATTACGATGAGCTCGATAGCCATGTGCTTGTCATCGAGGATGCTGGTCTTGATTCCAATAACCTTGCCCTTGAGCGGAACCAATTCCCAGCCTTCTTCATCTTGAATCTGAGCAACCTGTTCCTCGTCATCAAGCAGCTGAATGTCAGCCTTGGCTCCAGCAAGCTCGGTCAGTGGCGGGATGACACCGGCGAGGAAAGGAACAAACTCCCGTCCTAGCACACGGCACATGCGGCCCCAGCAGTGAAGCAGGTATGAGGCTTGCGGGTCATCAGCCTCGGAGACGCTGTTTTGAATCCGGCCAAGCAGCTGTACAAGATTGAGCGCATCCTGGCCCATACGGTCCTTTCCGACAGCCAAAGCAATGAGAGTTGCGCACTCCATAGCCTTGGCACGAAGAAGTCTGTATTCCTTCGACTGTTCCTCTTGCAGAACATTGAATAGAAGAGGCATAAGGGTATCGTAGTACTTGGAAAAGGCAGCCTCTGCAGAATCCGCAACAGTGGCAATGGTAGACAATGCTTGTTCCTGCACAAAGCGCTTAGGGCTCTGCAAAAGCATGAGCAAATGGTTAAGCAGCTGGTCAAGATATGATTCAAGGATGTCCTTCTCAGCCTCTTCGCAAAAGTTGACGAGAGCGGCAGCAGCGTGCGCTTGCACACGAGGCTCTGAAGATTCCAGGACTGGGATGATGTTTGGTAGGACGACCTGATGGTACTTCTCCTGCATGGTACCAGCAAAGTCAGTCGACATCTGGCCGACGGCGTTGCAGGCAGCCCATCGCACACGAGGATGGGGGTCTCGGAGGGCAGGCAGGACGAGATCCAGCACCTTGTCTAGCTCGCCAACCATCAATTCACGGCATCCCTCAGAGATGGCTGATATAGCCATGAGAGCTGCGTGTCTGTCGCGCCACGCTGAAGAGGTCATCATGCGAGGTAACCAGTTGAAAGTCGGGGGAAGAATGGCTTGTCCGCCAAGCTTGTTTGCCAACCTATCCATGCACTGCTCTCCCGCGACATGATTTGAATCAGATTCTTCGTCCAAGTCTTCAGAAACATTCCATTCTTCAGCGTCATCGTCATCTGCACCAACGTCGGTCATCAGAGACAGACATTGGGTGACCATGTCGTTGGTGAAGTTGGCATCCTTCTTGCACATGAGAGGTGCGTTATCGGCGAAC